CGAACACATGCATTTTAATTAATCATACACGTATTAGTATATGCTTATTGATTTTATAATTTTAGATTCAGAGCGAGGAATCTATTGGTTTCACTTCTAGATTCCGAGCGTAGCGAAGGAGCTATTGGTTTTACAATGCTGTTTATTTCTTCTTCTTTTTCTTTGTTCTAGTTTGTGGACACGTTTATTCCCGATAAATTTATTCGGATTTTTACGTGTAGCAACTTTTCTGAAAGCTCATGTTGTTTAGATTGAACTTTAAAGTAATAAAATCACTTAAATGAGAAAAACGTAGGAAAACGTACTGTTTCACGATTTCATTATTTCATAAATTTTATAAACACGGACGACGTTTTCCACCAGAAAAAAAAATTTAACCGAAAAACCACAAGACACCTTTTTTGTTACCTTTTTGATTTAATTTCTTACGGTATTATCGCCAAAACTTTTAAATTACTTTTGAGCTTTCAAGGAATTATAATTTTTGAAAGTTTGTTTTGCTGTAATTCAGTTATAAATACACGTAGAGACCTAAAACTCGGTAATAATAATTATATTGGACTTACCTAGACGTGGTAAAATTTCATCGGACGACTTTTTTTTTTAATAAGCGTTTTGAAATCAAATTTAAACGAAAATCGCAATAAAAAATACGGCACTTCAAATGGGCACTTTCAATGGGACGACATAATGTAGCGATAAGTTTCGTTTACTGTCATTAGATTATTGAATTTCGTTGAGTATTTCATTTATATCTGTACGATGCAACGCGTTACCTATATGTATTCGAAGAAAAATAGTTTTCAATATTATTAAAATGGACGAGCTCATGTTAAAATGTATGATTTCAATTTTAATTTATTTTTGGATTGAAATTCTTATTATATTATTTAGGTCTTCAATAATTAAGTTATTAACGTACTAATTTTACTTAAATAAAGCAGCAAATATTTTTAGAACCTCTTAGTGGTTTGATATTTTTTTTAATATAAACCTAAATATATGTACTTTAACATGATATGCTAATTATAATCCACTGAACTCCCTAATTAAATTTTTTATGTCCTTTTAGACAATGGTAGTAATGAATAAAATATGAAAAATGGTTATATATTTGAAGTATGTTTGAAAAAAGGCATAAGTACACATACAAGTGAAATGAAAATTATATTGATGGATTATTTAAAAAACAGACTTGCTAATAATTGGAATGTTGAGAATAAAAATTTTGAAAATTGTATGGTGAAAAAATTAAGAAATTTTATAGTTATATTTATAAAAAATGGATAGAGTCTAACAATTAATTGCCAACGTTTTTTTAAAAAAACGAATATTGGTTACAATTACATTCTAATACCTATTCCTTTTATATCTAACCAACTATCAACAATTACCGGTAAGCCATTTAAATGTCTCCATCTAAATTACCTCCAAAAATTATCTATTTATTAACATCGAAAAACATTCGAAAAGTGATTCCTATTAATTTTTTTTAATCTATTTATAATAAAAATAATTTAGAAAAAATAACACTCTAATTTCTACAAAGTTTTTAAAAAAAAAATACATATATTTGACTTTTATTATATTATAATGCATTTATTCTCGTTTTGTTATTATTATTAATGTTTTGTTTTCGTTAATAGTGTAATAAGTGTACAGTATTAAATTCTGTTAAAATAAAATTTATTATGTTTGTACTATATATTTACCTGTATTAAATAATGTATTCATTTTGTGAATTTTACTGTCATATAATTTTAATAATAGATACCTACCAAAAAATAAAATATACATTATAAAACACGCAAATATCTAATACACACCTATAAATAGGCTAAAAATAGCTAGAATCTTTAGAAAACTATACTACGTCTATAAAAGGCCAATACAAGTATTTTGTAAGAACTGCAGGTCTCTACAGTTACTTTTTACAGTATAATAACAACAAAATACAAATTTCGAACACTTTACCGTATTTCCTACGTTGTTTTCCAGTTTTTCGTAATTATTAGGAAAAATATATAAAAATTTCGATCAACAAGTATGTTACTCACAAACTAGCCTTTTCCTTTTTAAATGTATTTACACGGCCATATTGTTAAAATGAGACGCTTTTAAAATGGATCTAAAGTCATTAGGTTGTCCTTAAACAGAATTGTTAGTCCAGGGAATATTTTCAGAAATATAGATACTCGGAGTAATTTCATAATAAATATTATAATCTACGAGTACAGATGACGAGTTTTTTCTCTCGGTGCTTATCGGTGATGTGAAAATCCAATTGTATGTACAATTTTTTAACAAACTTTTCAACTTTTATACGAGTTGTAATACCTAATATAATATGATAATAATAAAAACAAAGTAAAATTTTGGAAATACTGGAACAATAGAAAACCCATTATAATTTATAACAATAAATTATTTAATAGTTGTCAAGGAGTCAAAACAGTTGTCAAAAGTCTATAATATAAACCAATACGATTGTTTTTTACGATAAATTTGACCTACAACCGATTTGCAGCCACGATCAATTTGCCTGGATCCTTAAGAGGCACAATAGGCTTAATAGGCTTAAGAGGCTTTCAATAGCACACATTTTGTGCCGTTAGTTTTAATATTAAAGCGATTTAACCAATTACCAAACTTAAAGGTAACATGATTATCCGTGCCCTGGCATTAATGGCATTACGATATTTTAATTTTTAAGCAAAATATAATCATTTTTAAATCGCGATATCGTATTTCACATACTCGTAATATATCGCTTTAAGATAAAATTATAGAAAAAACATCTAACAGCACAACATTTGCCCGACTGAACGCAAATTCTCTATTTCACGCGTTTATAAGACGGAATGAGAGCAGTGTGATGGATGTCCTCCTAAAAGGACGTCATATTCTGATACTCGCATGTGCTGCACGTCTCGGTCCAAATAACGGGCAATACAGCAAAATCTATTTTACGCAGACTGTCGCTTTGTTTCGATTTTATAGTAAAATCTACAGTTATAAAATTTAAAGAGAACAATATTCTGGAGGATAAGACGATGCGTTATTATTTTAATTATTATTCCAAATATAACGTGCGATACATCATTTAGAATTTAAGACTATTTCATTATTTTTTAAAATATTGTAACATTAAAAAAAAAAAACTCATTGTCTAGCCCTCCTAATTTTTTATTAAGTGCTTTAACATTGAAACGAGTATTAATGAATCTAAGTCCTCCTTCATAACATTCACCTTAAAAAAAGGAACATACCTTCAAATCACAAAGAACAAAATTCCAATCCCTATTTACTTAGAAGTAAAATACCTTGGTCTCGTCCTTGACAGGAAACTAACTTGAAATTATCATCTTAAAGATAAACGAAAAGCCCTTAACTCCTGTCTTGACCTCCTAAGACCCCTGCTGAAATCAAAAATGAACGTCAATACTAAATTGTTAATTTACAAGTCTCTACTTAGAATACTTTTAACCTACGGCATCTAAATGTGGCGAGCCGTTAAACCCTCTAACGTCAGAACTATCCAAGCCTTCCAGTTCATATGCCTTCGAACAGTTTCTTCTGCACCCTGGTACATTACAAACGACAGTATCCACAAGGTCCTTAAAGTCCAAAATCTTAACCTAATTTCCAAATTATATTACACCAGATTTCAAAATAAACTCCAAGTGCATACAAATCAATCAACTGATCAATCAATGAATCAATCAATGCAACTAATCTCTAAACTTTCATTTAACACACTTCCCAACAACCGGCCCGGAGACTTAAAAAGGAAATGGTGTAGAGACCTCATTTAGTCCGCTTAAATGACTTGAGTGCTGAGTGCTACCACTGGTAGCACGTCTATAATCATAATACCTTTGTACTTGTTATTCTTTTTATATGTATATATTATTTTCCTGTGCATTTCTCACTGTCACTTTACTGGGTGTTACCACTGGGTAACCTCCCTAATCTGAAGATTCCACGTTAATACAAGATTGTATAGACCGCAGATAACTTTAAAATAAATAAAAAAAAAAAAACTCTCAAATCAAAATTGAACGAGTTCTAAACGCAGTCTGCGTAAGGTAGATTTTGCTACATTACCCGTTAGTCGAACTGAGACGGCACAATGTGCGGGTATGACGTCCTCAAAGACCCACGGGTGTTATTCTTATTTACAATTGTTTATATACAAATTTATCATAGCTATTATTTTAACATTGTTTTTCATACGCACACCTGTCGGAAATCTGTAGTTCGTTCTGTTCGTAAACTACAACGAAATGCACGGATAAAATATTTAACCGTCGCTATGAAAAAAGATGATCGGGTGTTTTGGGGCGCGCTAATTTCAAACAGGTGTCCGTTAACGCGTGTTAATATTTCGGCCTTATGCCGTGCGCGTTGAATATCCGGGGAAATATTATTTGACCGTGTGAACCGGCGGGCTTCACACAATAATAATAAACGCGCCGGTCGGATTTTTATCGATATAGACGCCACGAGTATTATTATTATATTGTCATTATCGTCGGTATTACGGTGCGGACCGCGTCGGATGTCTGACGTTTGTGCACGCGTTTTGATCGACGACGACACCGTAGTAATATTATTACACCGCGCTGCAATACATTATGATAATGTGACGTATTAATACTCACGTAATTAATAATAAATGTACGTATGTATATATATATATGTATATATATGTATGTATATTATGTACACGTATTTATACATAGCACATGCGGTGGTATTTGTTATATTTCGGGGGGGGTGCGGGACGGGACGCGGGCCATGTGCTCCGGCGTACGGTCCGCTGTGGTTGGTCGAGATCGGGCGATTATGGGCGTGGACGTCCGCGGTACGCGACCCGGACGAGCCCTGCGTCCCTCGCGCCGTCGCCGAGACGCCCGCAGTGAACCGAGCAGACGCGTCACCGTCAGTTGGGGTCTTTGCGCGGCTATACACGCTACAGCACCGTCGCCGCCGCCGACATGTCGACGATGAACCAGTTCGCGGACGAATATTTTTACGACTACCATCATCACCGTCCCTCGACGACGACGACGACGGCGGCCGTCGACTACGAACAGCCGACGGCGACTTACCCGATCTGCAAGCAACTGAACGACGACGACGGCGTCGGCGAATACTTCGGACAGTCCACGGTGGCGGCGGACCCGTCGTACTACTATAACAACTACGATTCGACGGCCGCCGCGGCGGGTTACTGCGGCGGCGGTTATTACGGCCCGTGCGACACCGTCGTCGCGTGTCCCGCGGACGCGAGCTGGCCGTCTCCTTTGCCCCTGCAACAGTTCGCCGACAATAATCCGTCCGGCTGTGGGACGGACGACCCGCAGCGGCCGTACGCGTGCGACTGGACGCCGTCGTGGCACCAGCCGTTGTCGCCGTCAATCCAGCCGGCGCCGCTGTCATCATCACTTTTGCCCGCGGCGGCCGTACCGGAATTCGCCAGTTTCTACGACAGCGATTATCGGCCGGTCGAACCGACTTTTCAGCTCCTCGAACGCAACGATAACGATCAAATTGCCAACGCCGCCACCGCGGATGCCGCCACCACCGCCGACCAACTAATATTCAGTAAGAAAATTATCTTTGGCAAACATTGCCGTAGCCAGAAATAAACTGGTTCCGGTGCAAATTCAATCTGTTTCAATGTGTTTGGGCACATTAATATTTAATTTAAACGTAATCCAAAAATAATAATAACATAAAACAAATTTGGTTTCCAATTACAATAAAATCCAAAGGTTCACATCACAATCCGTGTGTTCTTCATTAGATTTAATGGTCATTTAGATTAGTAAGCCGATGTGTTTTGATGTTCTTCGAAAATCGTACACGTCTAATTATTGGCAGTCCGATTAACTCTCGATGCATCCGACGGACAACCAACTAGCATGGCTGGGACGCGAGGCGATGAATTGATAAGGTTTATTGTTAATAATTAATCCGGTGTCCCGTCGGATTGAAAACTCGATAATTGTTTAAACGAGGAACACGCGAAATGTCAGCGATCACAAACGGACAATATACCGACTTTTTTTTATATAAAAATTTAACGAAATCCACAATCGTGGTATAGTTGTGACACAAGATTCATAATCGGGGATGTAAGCAATATACGGCAAGTTGAGGAAAACTGTATATGAATGTCTGAAATAGTTAGTGTTCCATGCAATTTTAAAAACCTGGAACCTATGATGGGTCTCCATCGCGGACTAAAATCCGTTGCTCCCATCGGCGGTGTGAACTCACATCACGAATGAGTCTGGCGAAATTATTTGACCCATTCACCTATTTATTAGCAAATGACTTCACACCTTCCCCTTAAATTATTATATAATCGCCTTTTACAAAAACAATTAAGCTTATTAAGTAGTACTGAATTAAGAAAATTTTTTAATTTTTTTCATTGGTCATTTTTGTGAACAATTTAACGGGTATTGTACATTTAATAAATAAATAAATTTTGTTGACAGTTATCTTTGTCAGGGGGGGGGCGAATAGAATTCTAATGGGAGAGCATTTGCCCTCCTCTCTGAAATATACATAAATTCTATTATTAAAATACCTGATTCTTCTTCGTTCGAGTACCTATTTCTTATATACGTAATAGTTATCTAACGCTTACCCAATCACCTATTTAAAAAAAACCTACGAGTCTTCAGACTCGCAGAACTATCTAACGCTACTGGTTCCCACACACAATCTCCAGACCGAATTATCATCTATATCAGCATTTTCCAAACTTTTTCTCCGTTGGACCCCTTAGAGATAGTAAAAAATTATCTTGGTATCCTCTTAGTAAAAATAAAAATAAAAAACAATAATGTATAATAATAATATTATTGCTTTATTTTATTAACTAGATGTTAGTGTTTTTATGATATAAAATTGAATTAATAAGAAAAATAAATGGATAAATAGGTATATAATTTATTAAATTAGTAAAAAAAAGTTCAATGTAATGGGTGGAGTTGTTTCTTCGATCCTAAATCTGGTATTTTAGGATCTAAATAATTAGCTTCGTAAATCTGATTCTACTTGTAATCGATTTCTATATTTATTTTTAGTATACACATAAGTTGAAAATCCATTTTCATTAGAGGTAAGTTGTTAAAAAAAAATTCAACAGCCTTATTGCTGCTTCTGATATTTCTGGATAGTCTTGTCTTAAACCAAAAAAGAAGACAAAAAAGATTCTTTGAAAATCCTTTTCAAATTAGAATTGCAGGATGTGTCGATTAATTAATTTTCTTGTGTTGTTAAACCAGTTATTTTGAAAACACCTACATTCAGGCACGTAGTCGGGATTATTTTTTTTTTTGGGAGGGGGATTATCCAAATATAAAATGTATCACTAACTACCAATAGTTGTATAACAATTGTTCAATAATAATCTGATTTTTTGTTGAGAAGCTTAAATTTCGCTGGAGAGGACCAGTGGACACCCCCTGGCTATGTGCCTGTTTGCATTAAAAAAGGTCGACTACCCAATTTTTGTTTTATCTAGGACAGGAAGATATTTTCGATATGAAGATTTCAAAACTTGAGGATAATTAATAATTATCTCTTGTACATCCCGAGGAAACCAGATGATAATTCTAAAAATGCAGAAAGAGTTGAAAAGTGGTTAAAATTGTTTTAAAGTAAACGTTTTCTCCATAACTCAAGATTTTTTTAACCTGGCTTCAATGTTATCTTCATTATCTTTTGTCTCTTGTAAACTCATACTTAAAAAATACATACAATTAAAAATATCAGCTTAATAGACTATTAAATAGAGACATATATAATTATTGAAATAAGTAGTACATTTAGTAGCTCCAATTGAGTTATTCAAAAAGAAAATTCTATAATTTTATTTTTCAGCTCAAAAATACGTGAAAACTAAGGTTAGAATTTATATTCATTATATTTAATATATGCAAACATATGCAAAAAAAAAAAAAAAACACCACCATTTACTTTAACATGAGGTAATTTGTGAACATAATTGACAAAAACAATAATCAAAACTTGCAAAAAAAACATACCAATGCATATATTATATCTGGCTGCACCCGAGTTCCGTCCCAAGTGTAAAATTTGAATTTAAATATATGCTAGTCCCGTCCCGGGTTTTTATAATGGATGTAACTAATTCCGTCCCGTGTAATTTATTTAATTAAACGAGTTCCGTTCCGTTTTGAATTTTCTACACTTTATTAAAATAGTATACAATTTACGACTACGGTAACAATTTTTATATTATTTAGAAATAAAGATAATAATGGTTTCAGTTATCGCACTAAATAATCGATTTTGTATACATTAATACTTTAATATTATTTTAATTTTTTCTGTATTTTAACATTGATAAGAAAAATGTCCATAAAATTATTATTTTTTTATGTATCACATTAATTTTATCTAATAACAAAATTTGATTTATGAAAATATATACTACGTTTGAACTTTTTGTGTTTAAAATGTATGTATTTTAACATTGATAAGAATATTTTTAATCGGGACGGAATTGGTATGTACATTTTTTTTAATCGAGACGAAATCGGTATAAAAAAAGGTTATTGGGTTGGAACTTGAATGAAGCCATATATCCTAGCCTTTTTTTTTTCCCGATTAACCGACATCAATTGATTATCAGTTTTCACATTGCTACCCTACTACTGCTAGTATATCCTAGGTCTTGTGATAACCAACGTACTTCAGCGTGCAATAGTAACTGTTTGTGTATGTGTTCCATATTCGCAACATTATATTTCCTTGTGTGATTACGAATATTGTATCAGTATTTTCATTTGTGTACATAATATTTTCAATTTACCTTCGTGGACCTCCTTCGATATACGTTCGGACCCCTCTATGGGTCTACAGTTTGGGAAGCGTTGATCTATGTAAATAACATTTCACTATTTCAAATAAGTGTAAATATTAATGTTACACTCTACAGTAGTGTATCCAGGACGAAAACAGTCGATTGCGTCCAAAAGTCAGACAAACGAAAAATAGAGTTATTTATTGATTAAAAATGTTTAGTTCTAATTTATTAGTTTTATATTTAATATAATATCATATGCAGTAATGCAATATAATATAACTTTTAGTAGTTGGAATAATATTGCCGGATGCAATCGGAATTCTCAATTTTTCGTTTGGGAAGTAAACGGGTGCATGCCTACTAAACCCGAACAAAATTGAAACTCGAAGAGGGTTAAAAAGGTCAAAGCGGGACGCAATCAGATGACGCCCGTCCAGGATCTTTCGACGGAAGGGGACGTAGCAAATAATAATCATGAATAAGCTTCTCCTTTGCCCGATTTGACTGTGGGAATTCAAAAGCCAACTTTTAATCAATAAATCAAGCTCTTCCTTGTTATTTGGTTGCAATATATTAGGTATATATTTCGAGATTAAATCATTCATAATATTGTTGTATTTTTTACCTTATGGGGCGGGGGGGTATATTTCCTATCCTCCCTCCCCCTGTGCACGCCACTGGCACTATATAAAAACCATGAATATAAATAAAACATCACGTTGACACTAAATAGGTATATTTTATAATAGTTTATCGGGTAAATAAATAAATAAATAGTTTAAATTTAATATAGTTTTATAATATAGCTAAGCTAAGGTAATTGATACGATTTGGGACGATTGGGTGAATGTAGTGGCGTATACATAACTTTTGTATGGTGGGGGATCAATTTCAAACAAATTATTATAGAAGAAAAATGTCTAAACCTAGGTACCTGCACATTAAAATAATGAACAATAAAACATATTGGTATTTAATACATTTTATTTCAAAATTCTACAAACAATCATAATTATACAAAATTTAATTTTCTTTTTTTTAGTCAATCCATCAATTACTTCTTCAGCAGTGATAGGAATGATCGCGGCCGAATGGTCTAATGATATTGAATCTTGTTAAAATTATATTTTATATAATCCTATATATGAAATTAATAAATGTATATTGATTAGTCATTAGTAAATTAATTTTAATCCTTACTATTTTTTTTTTTTACGTTTCCGTGTAACGATCTTACAAAGAATACTATTTTATACACTTTAAAAAAACTCCTGGGGGAGGGAATCTGTCCCCTACATCTTCTCCCCCTGCATACGCCTCTAGGTGAGTGTTACACTAACCATTCAACCTACTACCTCAATTCAATTTTGAGTGTGCGCCATCGGACTCTTTGTAATAATAATAATATTATTATCGTTTAACTGTATAATATACAGTCCTCATATAAAATAAACAAATGGTTAATTAGAAAGTGATCAATAAAAACCGTACTTTGCATAAATTTTATTTTGTTATTTTGTACATGCATTCAATGAGTTTTCATCAGTCATTGCTTTCATCGATAAAATAATAACATTTTACGTTGCATTTTTCCGCATAACATTAAGATTGTACATACATGCATACATGTTATTTAATCGCTAAAAATGTAAAAATATTATCTAGGTACATAATTTAATTTAAACTTTGATTTTTTGTTTGTATAGCAATTTTACTATTCGGTATTACCTAGTTTACATTATTAACGTGCATTAACCAGGTACCAACATTTATATCTATATCTACTATATATACTATATATATATATATATATATATATTAATCTAATCTATATCTACAAAAAATTAAGTGCGTTTATAAAAACATGAATCTAATATAAACATTGACATCAATATTGTATAGTATTGTATTAACATAATAGGTATATACTAGGTATACCTACTCAATATTTCAACTATTAATTACCTACACTACGAGCATAATAATTATAATATTATTTATTAGATTATATACTATTTAGATTTAATACCTATGTAATTAATAAGTACCTATACCTGCCTATGAAAAATAACTAACACTACTGACGGGTGTACCGCTGTTGTAGGTGGAAAGTTGTAGGGGATCAAGATATACATAGAGTATAACAAAATAATGATCTAAATATTTTATATTTCTTAATGCATTTTTAGAAGCATTTAAAAGAGGTAAGTTTCCAAACATCGAACGAAACCCACCACTTTTAGATTCTGAACAAACGTAGCGAGGAATTATATTAGTTTTATTACTTATGAGTGTGATAAATTTTGTTGTATTCAATTAACTTTTTGACCAGAAATTTTGATCTAATCATTAAGATCAAAGGTAGTTTTTGATTCCAAATTTTATTAAGAAAAACCGTTGGAAAATGGAAACGATAATAATCTCTGCTAATATTTTCAGAAACTTACTTATACCAGCACTTTACATATGTACTGCAATACAAATTTCAAAATTGTCTGACGTTAAATTTATTAGTAGCTATTTGAAATTTTCAAGTTTTTATTTTTGGATTTATTTTAAAACTATAAAAATGTTGTTAAATCCAAAATTATTATAAATATTGTTAAAACACAAACAATCGAGAACTTAGTTTATTTTGTCGTTATATAATATTATAAACACAATTTTCAATTTAAAATCATCATAAAATATCTATCCAAACTCCTTTCAAAATCGTTTTTCATTTACCAACCGTCACCTGCAATATAGTGGCCAACTCACAATATCATAAGCGCAACTAAGGGGGTTGGGGGGCTTATCCCCTAAATTTACTAATAACCCCTCAAAATAATACTTTATATGTTCTTGAGTTGAACAAAAAATAAGTAAAAAGTAAGTTCAACAAGCAAGTTAGTACTTAGTACAAATGTACTAACCTAAGTACAAGTTGCCATTACATTGCCAATTTCCTCTGCAACATCAGAATGTATATTTTCTGTCATGAGGTGGATAAATAGATACTTAAGGTCAACAATGGACCAAGATCATTTCAGTAATTTATCCTTACTAAGTATCGAAAAAGACATAGAAATATGTACAAAAATCATTAAAAATAAAATAATTTTGTTATTTTTCAGTGTATATATTTTAATATATGTGGGGGTAAAGCCTCCCACATGTTATTTATGATATAATATAAAAGTAGTACTATAGCCCCACTAGGATTTTGTGCTAATTGCACAACTGCACAGTTCAAAGTTGTCCTCTTTTTTTTAATTTATACTGTTAATTGATACCATGAATTCTTAATTCATAGTTGATACATTACACATAATTATAATATATTTAATGGATTATTATTTTATTATAATGGATATTTTACTATTTGTTTAATTTTGTTATTTTATTTATTTATTTATTTATTTATTATTACTATTTTTTTTTTTACTGTCTATTGTAGAACCGGTTCGGCGTAAACTTACAACGGTAAACAAATGCGAACAATATAAAACCTTTAAAAAAACTAGTACCAGTAATAAATTATCAACGAGTCAAAAACAAAAGAAAAAACGAAAACCTCGAGTACTATTTTCTAAGGTTAGTAACGATAGTACTTTCGTAGATAGGTAATAAATTATCTATATAATATAAAACCATCTAGATTCTAGGTGTATATGTATGCTTAGGTATTTCAACATTGTTACCATAAACACCGTATTTAAATAAGTAGTCGATACAAATTAAAAATAATTTAAAATTTTAGTGTTGGTACCTAATACCCAGAAACGTATTCACATTGTTGGCTTTCTGAGACACTGTTCTTTCGGCGCCTTTTATATATAAGAATAATTTTTTGTTAGAATACATAAGAATATCTAGCTGCACATTATTCATCCATCTTGTAATTGCACAAGTTGAGCTATAAAATACACTATTTTATTGTGAGCGAGTGTAAACTATGGGATGGGGATATGAGGTTAATATAAAAAAAAAAAAGCTTTTAAGTATTCCAATATAAATATTTATAACCATTTAAGTAAATAAATTTACTTATCTGTTATAGATCATGATAATCATAATGAAATCTGTTTTGTCATGGCATTTATTCCAAAAACAAAATAACTAAAAACTAATGGTACAATAGTAAGATTATTAAAACGTGTTTAACAAAACAAAAAAAAAAACACAATTACTATCGAATGTTTGGTATCAGAAAATGCGTATCTCAAAGTATTTATTAGCACTGGATATAGTGCTTCCAACTGCTGCGTAAAATCGTGGTAGGAATGCCCTACCACACCCGGCCATATCTACTATACTAGGTGATTCACTTAAGTGGGTACACTCATTATCTCGGAAAGTATTAACTTTTTCCGGAATTTGTTTTCTAGAACATTTAAGAAACAAGCTGCTCTACAATTTTATATTTATATTATTTTTTGTTACCCTTAATTTATTGCGGGTAAAACCATTACCTACTTTTGATTTTCAAATGGCAACCTATATTACAAAGTCCATAAATAGAAGGAGTATTATTTAAAATAAATTTTAGTGTTGGCATTTTTGATTTCCGTCAATCCGTTGACGAGATACACCACTTTTATGTATGGGTTGGAGGAGAGTAGTGGAGTATCATTTGTGTGGCTGTACGCCGCGCGGCGTGTTATTAATGCACTACTACTCTCTTCCAATCTAAAATTAAAAGTTGAATATCTCGTAAACGACTTTACAGAAGTCAAAAATGTCAACAATAAAATTTATTTTAAATAATACTCCTTCTATTTATGGACTTTTTAATATAGGTTGCCATTTGAAAATCAAAAGTCGGTAGTGATTTTACTCCCAAAAATAACAGTGACAAAAATTAACATAAACAGAAAATTGTAGAGCAGCTTGTTTCTTAGACGTTCTAGAAAACAAATTCCGGAAAAAGTTAATACTTTCCGAGATAATGAGTGTACCCACTTAAATGAATCGCCCGATACCTGATACAAGTTAGGTAATCGAAATCCGGAGCGCTTCAGTCATTATATTGCATACCTATATGACTTTAATTTATACATTTTCTTACCAGTTATTTTAAAATTATAATACTGTCATACAGATGATAGAGTATAATAATTAGTAATTATTGATTAGTATATTATAATATATAAAATAAAAAAAACCTATATTATAATGACACATTGCCTATTGACATAATGAATTAAATAAATTTATTTTTCTTCCTGTTTGAGAGAGCACGCGGCGCTTAACTCACTTGCACTGACCGCACGCCACTGCTATATAGAACCTATATACATATTAAACTCAAATATATGTAGGTATGTACATTAGTCACTATAGAAAGTCAGAATATTTAGCCACTGCCATTGATTAAAACTTCAGCTTGATGCAGTATTTTAACTTTTAAGTATATTTGATTGTTAATTTATTATGACTAATTATTATACCTACCTAACTCACGTGACAATTTGCTTTCTGGTTTTAATCTTCACAAAATAGTAGGTTAATTATATTATAGGCACTAAAGATAAAACTTAATAAATTGTTTAACCAAAAGATAGGTTTAGAAACCCACGTAGTTCACCTTGAAGCTTAAAAATACACACATAAATAAAATAATTTATATCCTATAATATTGATTATTAAACATTGTTTTTGCAGGATGTAATAACAGAGTTGGAACAAAGGTTTCAACATCAACGTTATTTGAAACCGGCAGAGCGAGAAGAGATGGCGTCTAGATTAAAGCTAACACCCACTCAAGTTAAAATATGGTTCCAAAATCGACGATACAAAACCAAAAAGTTAGTAATGGTCGATAGTACGACATCAGATACCAATGAAAAACCTCGCCGAAGGCAATTTCCAGTAATTAAACATTTTACAACAGTTTACAAATTTAACATTACAAATAATAATCTTAACTTCAATAGGTGTTTCAATCAGTCAGCGCATTAGGTACCAGATTACCTGTACAATGTAGAAATTAATAATTAGTTTATTTTTAATATTGTAAATGTTATTAATCTGTTATGTTCATAAAGAAAAATGAGAATGAAGTGAATTCAAACGTTTTAAATATTGTACCAATAGAATTTAGAAAAATTTTCTGAAAATATAGCCTGCATAGTTTAATATTCCTTAACAAATTATAATTATTTAATCTTATCAAAGATTTAACAAGGTATAATTTATAATTTATCGTAAATGTGTGATTTTTTTTTAATTTTAATACGTAATTAGAAAATAAATACCTATTATTTATTGAATAAAATTATGTATGTAGATTAATATATACCTAGGTACCATCGATACGTAAATTAAAATTTTATTTATTTAATGTTAAAAATTATATTATTTTATAATTTTATATTACTAACTAATAGACCTAAGTAAGTATAAACTTTTTTAAACTATTTATGATGATAATATTTTTTGAACTGACAATGTATTATACATTTAAAATATATTTTTTTTATTTAGTTTTAAGTTGATGTTAATAAATTATAACTATTGTTTATTATACAAATACCATTATGCTATTGTATTTTATTATTATTATTATACCTGTCTTATAATAATTATTAAATTAGTATTAATAAACAAAATGCAAGCAATATGTTTATTTGTAAGGCTCCGAACATACATAATTAGTAATTGTACGTTTCGTTCTAGGGTGGAGCGACACAATATAATAATTTGTACGTAACAATAAATTGAACAAGAATTTATACATCAATATGGTAACTGATTGACGTACAACTCTTTCTTTATTTTTAACTTAATTCAGTAAGAACTAATTTCAGTTATAATGATCAATAGTGGATTTGCTCTATTTTTGATAGAGATGATTATATATGCATCCCAAAATATTAAAATATGCGCGATAATATTAATATCTTCTAAAATTTTTCAAAAAAAATTCTTCATAATATTATTTATCTCATTTATGTTTTATTGATGAGAAGTAGGTATTTAAAAGTTTATTAGTAGTTATTATTAATATTAAATATTAGGGATAATATTAACAATAAAATAACAATTTATCAATATAAATGTTATTTGCTTTATGACTTGAGGCACCACGAAGTTTTGATTTAAAACTCAAAGGCACTGCATAAATCTCAAACTTTTGAATATTAGGAATTGGGAAATTTGGATCCATAAAGTTATTTATATCTGTACACAATATTAAACCATTGCTAATAAAAAACGATTTTGAGTGAAAATCAGTTCTGCATACTTTAAAATTTTGACTATTTTCTGCAAAATTTGTTCCTAAAGCACTTTTTTTAAAAAAAACTTCTACATAATGTTCAATTTTTTTCTGACCACTAAGTAAAATATATAAATGACCCCTGTATTAAATTTTCTAGTACTTATTTTTGTTTAGTCAAAATAATTATTTTCATATAAAATTAAATAAAATCTAAAAAAAATTCAAACACTTCAAATGCCTGTAAATAACTAAAAAGTCACCAGAATATTTTAAACACTTTACCACGTCAAGAAAGGGTTATTATTAGTATTTTATGAAAATTTCGAGTATCTACAATTATTTTTAATTGGATTATAACAAAAAAACAAGGTCAAAAATTATAAAACCTTTAGTTATACACTTTTCAGTTTTTTCCCAATTATATAGTTAACGACAAAAAAAAAAAATCAAAAAAACGACATTCTTATGTACTAGTAGGTAAAATATTATTTCAAAAAAAAATACTACTCTTAAAATACAGAAACAAATTTCTGGTAGAAAAACAAAATTGAAAATTATAATGAAATTATTATTGATGTAAATTTATCGATTTTTCCTGTATCTTTATTTTTTCGAAATATTACAAAAACTATCATGAAAATCAAAAAATTATTTCTACAATTGTATGTACTAAATCCAAAATGCTATAAAAAGATGTCATATATAGTAAAACTAACACACAAAAAGTAAAAATTGTTTTAGATTAATATTTATTATTATAATTAAATGGAAATTTATTAAAAAGTACCAAAAAATGTTTGGTAAATAAAATTATTTATCTTCTTATGTAAACACATTTTTTTGTGTTAAAAAGGCTATATGTACTTGTAGTACATAATAGCATAGGTATTAAGTTTAAGTTTAAAATATTCATCATTTATGCATATTATAATAATTAATTTGATAATATTTATAATAATTACAAACATTAATAAACATAACAAATTTAATTAAATTGACCAATCCTTTGTCTTAATTCTTCTAGAGGATCTTGAAAATATGTAAATTATTTCATTAATATCTATAGGTATTTGTTTATCAATGTTTTAAACAGCTAAGCAGTTCAAATGCTCCTAACCCATGGTTGACCTCAAATAATTATAATTTTTTTAAACATCTTAATGACGAGAAACTTCTTTTAGTACTAGCTGTGGTAATTGGTATGATAGCAAATAAATGCAATGTTTTTATAATAGGGAAATATTTATCACAGTGTTTTAGAGTTTTTATTACTGTATCTGGTTTCATAGTTAAAATATTGTACCATTTATTCTTCCAGATTAATATTTCTGATTGTATATCCGTTTTTTGACTTGATCAATATTCACTATATATCATTGCAACTTTAATATTATTTGATTCATCATATTTATCAATATATTTTGGTATCAATCCTTCTAAAGGTATTACTTTATTTAACTTTTCATTAAATCTTATTTTTAGCTAGGAAATCAAATGATCAATAAAAGGTAAAAATAGTTATCCTATACCATTCTATTGGATCAGTCAGTTGAATATTACATTGTGTTGTTTGACGTTTATATAAACGAGGTATAATTATTTCCTCACCAAGAAGAGCTGCCATATCAGAATCATTTTTAAAATATGTTTCAAACCTAGATATATACATTTTTCTAATATTTTCAATAATGTCAATTACATCCTTTACATGAGAAAAAGCCTTGAATAACTCCAACTTAGGACTATTTAATACTAAGCTTAACATTTAGTATGAGGAAGTAAGTTAACTACAATTTCTAAAGATATTAAGATATTAAAAATTAAATTTGTTTAATACTTGCATTGAAACCCACTTGGACATTTTTTTCAGTTCTTATTAAGTAGTACAATAAGAAGCAGTTACTGCTGTTTTCGTTGGAAAAGAAAAAGTAACACCAAATTGAAAAAAAAATTTGTAAAATTGAGTTACTGCCTTAGTTGTATTTTCACATTACTTAAGACATAATGGGAGGGCTTCAGAGACTATAGCTCCTGGTAAAAAGGTACCTTATCATTATACTGGTGTTAATTATGTATTATATTTAAAAAAAAAAAATGTAATTATTATGAGCTCATAATAATATGACTCATATATTTAAAATTATAATTTTAATATTTTATTATATTATAATAATTTGTTAGTTCAAACCCTGGTTTGGTGTAATAAACTTACATAAGTTACTTTTTTTTTTTTTAAAAAATATAATTGGAAAATAGGTATTGTTTCAACTTTTTGTAAAATGTTATTAATTTCTTTAATACTCATAGTTTACTATTAATTTTCATTGTTATCTTGTTAACTATTTGATTTGATATAATAAATATAAATGAGCTAAATTATTTTAAGACAAGCATTAAATTATATTTAAATTAAAAATCACTAGAATATGTTAAAAGGGACCTGTCACGAGACAATATTTGACTAATTATAGATTTAAAAATGTTTTAAAAATATTTGTCTTAGTTAATTATTTTTAATGATATTTTATTTAACCAAAATTATTATAATTAATTTTAATATCCAAATTTAATAAGAGCAAAATAGTTTTTTGTTTCTCTTGAAATGTTGTTGAAAATATATATAATCATGTACACAAGTTACAAAATACTGGAATTGATAAATTAACGTTTTCATAATACAAATGAATACACATAAATTTGATAACCAAATTATTTTTGTTAAACACGTTTTATACAAATGAAAAATTATTAATCATTATATTATTATATACTTGAGATTTTATGATTTTTAATTTAAAAAAAAACAAAAACAAAAAATTTTTTATACATTATATTATATTAAATCTCTTACTAATATATTGACTATTAGAAAAAATGTTAGAATCAAATGAAATATATAAATTTAAACAAAAATTAAAGAAAGATAGGTATATATTACATTTTAAAAACACGTATGCCCATGTACCTATCATTACGGTATATGTTTTTATTTAGGTAATAGAAATTTTAGCATATAAATATCTAGAATTATTACAAGATGTATTAATTGTATTGTGTTAAACAGTTGTTATGAAAAAATATTATACTTTTTAATATAAGAAAATGAAAAATAAAAAAAACGAAATGTACCTATTTCAAAAACTATTTAAATAAAATTGTATAACTAATATTATAAGTTTTTAAAGTATGAGTAAGTAAGAGCAGAAAAATTATAATTTATTTAATTATTTAATAATTTTTTACTATTAAAAACGTTTACATGGTAACCAATAATTTCAATATAAAAAAATAATATGTATAATTTATACAGTAAAAGGCGAAGAAATATTGCCGTTGACATTGTTGAAAAATGACGTTTGATCTTTATTGCCATTAAAGTGAAAATAAAGTTTTGTCATTATTTGTTGATAATGATAATTATTAAATTTTCTCTTTATCTTAATTAATATGTTATAAAAATAGTCAAATTAAATACGCAAATTTCTACTAGTTAATTATAGTAAATTGTTTTATTTATTTATTACTTTTGAAATTTAATTACATAATAATGGAAATAAATATAATAGTTGAAAAAAAATTATTTGTGATCAGTGTAGTAATAATAATTTGTATACATTATCATGCAGATCGGCAAATACCTCCTCGCAATGCTAATACCAAATGTAATACTGAACCTCCTTGCACTTTATAATCTTGAGCAGTCTTTTCATCATTCCTAAAACCAATAATATAGCCTGTTGTTAAAATTTGTATGCAAAACACAATCATTACCTTACATCCACTTACATTTGTTTTCCAGAAAAAATCAACCTTTGTTGCTGGGGTGGAATACCCTCTTTTTCTTCAACTCTTTCTTTAATTCTTTCCACTCTGTCTGTAGGTTCAATATCGATTTCAATCTACAATGACAAAAAATCAAAAATATAACTTTAATACAAAATATAGGTACAACACAAATACTAAATATTAAGTTATAAATTGTAGATACTTACCTCTTTTCCCGTTAAAGTTTTTACTTTGATCAACATTATGTAGTTTTGTTTTAAATTGTTTCTACAATAACTATAGTATCTATAATAATATGCTAAGTGTACATATATATAATATGTTGTATATTATATAAAGTTAGTTATTGAATAAAGATGTTATTACTTGTTAAATGTTTCTGAAAAAAAAAAAATAATATGATTAACCACACGTTGATAAGGGAACGAAGTTATCAGATTGTATGCCAGGATGACAATGAAATTAACCATTATCATGCCATCATGAAACCGTGACACTCTAAAAAAACAGCTGTAATTCGGCGATACTAACATCATGTCAGACATTTAAAAAAAAAAACCCGCTTACATTCAAAATAATGAATAAATGTTATAAATTCGTTAGACTTAACATTTTAGTATTTTCTTATAACAAACATATCATACAAACAACGTACGATTGGAAACATATAATAATACATTTTAAATAGAGTGATCACTTTAATAACTGCTAATAAAAGTCCGTGTGCCGACCATGGATTAAGATTGGGTGTATCTTAGTCATAGGTGTAACTAGACCAACAACTCAGAGAGAGTGCTAAAATTAAAGACACATTACAAACCCATGGGGTCCCACGATCCCATCCCCATTACACGACACTTTTAATAGTTATACATTTCATTTACAATTTTCTGTATAGAAACGTATTAAAACTTTTTTAAATTAATTTTTATACACACATACATTATCTGTAGGTAATTTGTATTTTGTTCTACTTATTAATTATGAAATACATTTGATAAAATATTTGGTCAATACTATAAAAAAAGTTTATTGGGCATTTTCAGAGGCACTTGCCTTAAACTTGGGGGTGCTAAAGTTCCCTTATAATTCCCTTAGTTGCGCCCCGTCAATAACATTTATTTAATAGTGTAGTGAGGCTTAAGTCCCCTAAAGGTTTATGAGCTAATTGCGCCACTGCATAATCATTATCATTTAAGTCTATGGTTCTAATTCTAATTTTATAATATTCTGAATGAAATGTTAATCGTATGATTAAAATGTACATAGATTCATGAAGGCATAATTCAATCATGGATAATTTCATTGCAAACGAAATACGATTCTGAGTAGAGCTCGGGTACCTAAGGCAATGACTTTTGAAATTAAACATTATGGCTTACACAAAACTCGCAGGCTCAAATAATTTTTTTTTTGGAGGGGGCTTATATTGACTGTGTAGATTTATTAAGTATGTATTTGATTTAGGGAGGGGGGCTTGACTTAGTTATTAGAGGGTAAAAGCTACTTTCACCTATTTGCACCAATCCACAAAATATCAAGGGAACGTTAGGGTTCGTTAGATCGGGTAGATAAGATAACAATAGTCGGAGGAGGATGCTATACATTTGATATATTTTATGTTTTGATTGTCTTTTATTTTGTCGTGACTCTTAGATAAATAAAAATATGATTTTAAATAATGTTATATTTTAGTTTTTAATTAGAAATATCGGACATGTTGGTAAATTATAGGAAAAAAGAGGAGTCCCGTATATCACTACTCCCGGGCTTCAATTTTCTCTTAATGGTCCTATCTGTATCCTATAATAATTAGCAAAAAATGCTGTGAGCCCTATTAATAATATTATAATGCATTTTTGAGATTTAGAAGAGTTTACTTGTGATCATATTAAAATAAATGTTGACATGTTATTCATATTTACTGTTTAATAAAGTTTAAATGTGGTAGTTAAAAATGAGGGTGAACATTGTTTTTGGGACAAAAGGGAAGGGGGTTCGGTGGTTGAAGCCACCAACGGGACTGTTAGTATAATACATTGTGATGTAGGGTTTCAACAATTATTTTTATCTGTAATAACAGTCTGTGGAAAATTTGATATTACTGTAAGTTTACCACGTCAATCTAAATCAGATGATCCAGAATATTTTTTTTAAGTATTTATACCTTTTATAGATAATTGTTTAGACCAATTGAACGAAAGATTTATATTATTTATATTTTTTATTATATCCAATTGTTTTGAATAATTTTGATTGTATTTTATCTAAGATAGAAATGAAAATATCTGAAGATATTGAAAGTAAATTCAAACAATTAGTAGAAACATATCAAGATATAATTGATGAATATAACGTTTCAAGTTTAAATGATCATATATTAAATGGAGAATTGGATTTGTGGTACACTAAATATTCGAATTTAATATCTTCCGAACTCAAGAACAAAAATATTTTTGAAGTATACTTCCAAACTAGTCCTGATATTTATCCAGTAATACCTAAACTTCTTCAAATATTCATAACACTTCCAGTGTCTACTGCCACAGGAGAACGATCGTTTCCAACATTCTGTCGTTTTAAAACATATTTGAGAAATTATTTGTGACAAATACGTTTAAATGGTTTAGCCTTATTAAAATATATTCATTGCGATATCAACGTGGATGTTAATGATGTTATAGATGAACTTGTTAAAACATAAAAATGAAAAATGAATACACATTTATAATTTTTAAAAAAGATGAATATTTCTTTTATATAATTAGCGTTGTAAAATAGTAATAAAATGTTTAATGTATGATTATAATACACACAAAATTCAAAACAATTTCATTTGTTACATTTTTTTCAACTCCTCTCAAAAAAAAAATTTGAAGACGTCACTGTACCTATGTCATATTATGGTAAAATAATTACATATACATTTTCTTTAATAATATTTTTTTGATATTGTACCTATCTATATTTTGCCGTATTTCTCGGTTTTTCCCATTTATGGGGAAAATCAAAAAATGACCAAAATTACCTTCCCAGTCAGATTTCCTTTAAGAAAAATTGTTATCATTGTAAATCGAAGCAAAATTACTGGTAGAAAAGTTGTCCACAGGAAAAAAAGATCATAGTATTTTACTAATACATTTCGGATATTTTCCCGCTTTTTTTCCGTTATTTTTTTTAGGTTTTTCACATTTCATAAGAAAACTCCTGAGAAAATCGAAAAATGACCTCCTTAAAGTACCTCCCTAGTCCGATTTAATTTTAGAAAAAGTGCTATACTTAAAAATCGGAGCAAGATTTCTGATAGAAAAGTTGTCCACAGAAAAAAAAACAACATCATTGTACAATCATAAATAAGCTTCTTCGTTCCATTCAGAATCTAAAATTTAAAATATTTATAAAAATTCCAATATAATTAGGTGGGTAGATAGAGATATCTACCAAATTTTAAATTTCTTCATAATTCAGCTGTAAATATATAAAGTATGGCGCTCGTTATGTATATTCTATGCTCGATACTACCAAATACCTAAACGATTGTTTCTTATCGTATATCCGCATATTATCTATTATTATTATTATTATTATTATTATTATTATTATTATTATTATTACGAGATTGGTCAACTATCTGGCCAGTTAACGAGACGTGTTTTTTAAATAACTTAAAATCTACTACAGAATGATAATCATGACAGTAGCTAGTTGCATAGTAGTTTTTACATAATTTTCGTTGGTCGCTTTTCAACTCTAAACATGGTACGGTAATATTATACAATCATTTTATTAATGTTGTTCGTCTACCCATTTTTTTTTTTTTTAATTTCACAACATATATTATGTAAATAATTTTTACTTAAAAAACTATTTTGATACAAATAATTTCTTTTTCACGGCTGTTATCTACTTACTCTCAATGATGCTGCAGGAACCTGAGAAAACAGAATGCTCATTGGTTTGTTGATTATTATATTATTGCTGCATAAACAATTTGTTATTGATGAATGAATCAGGATCGCTTAGTCCATTTGAAAATGGATGTTTGTCATATTACTTTGATAAATTGTCGACCAGCGATCAAGAGACTGTCACGGAAGAAATCATCTATGTGATCGATTCGGATGATAGTAGTGATTCGAGGACAGCTTGTTCGTCCATCGTTGGCTCTAGTCTTGATGAACTGGAATATGACACGGCGTTGTTTTCATCTTGCAGTGGCAGTACCACAAAATCCAATGAATGTCTTATCGACATTGAAGAATCAATCAATCCTACTTGTATAGATCTCGGGTAATATAATATTTTAATATTTTCAAAGTGTCAATAATTACCCAAATAATTTTTTTTATTTTATTGAATACTCAATATTTGTAAAGTTTTAATTAATAATATTAATAACATATAATATTGATAACATATACATTGTTAATGTTTACTTTTATTTTAGGAAAAAGACTGAAAGCTCTTTAGTCTCAATCGGAAATGCTCTCAAACTGCACCAAAAAGTAAATTAAATAAAAATCTCGATAAAAAAAAAAATAATGAACACAATTGTTTTGAATTTAAATTAGTTTTATTTTATTAAGAATACCTGTTTTGTATTTATTATCTTACAGAATAGCTATACTGGTATTAAATTATTTGATCGCATGAACAACAAAACAACTGTTAATGAAGACAAAGTAGCTGGCAGTACAGCTCTAATTTTGAATTGTAGACCTGCTCAAATTCCAGCAAAATCGCCTAGTGAGCAACTAGAACACCAAAGACTTTATGAGCAAATTTTACAAAATGCTAAAAAGAAAGGTAATTTTAATTATTTAATTTGTTATTTTATACTGTAAACTTAAAAAATGCATTTAATATTTAAATTTTAATGCATACAGAATCTGAGGAAGCAAAAAAACATAAAGAACAGTTAAAAAAAAAAATAAAAAATGAAGAACGATTAGCAAACTTTACACAGATTTGGACCCAAGAGATAATTCCAAATTGGAATCAAATGTAAATATTATTAAATTTACACCATAATATTGTTTATTATGTGCTATATAATAATATTCTTTACAAATACATATCTTATTGTTTATATAAGGTCTCAGACAAAACGATGTCGTGATCTCTGGTGGAATGGTTTGCCTTCCAGTGTACGGGGTAGAGTGTGGTGTTTAGCTATAGGCAATGATTTATTAATCAACGAAGAACTATACAAAAGTTGTGTTTCAAATTCTTTAAACAAATTTAAAAATTCAGATGCTAGCATGCATTGCCTGGAGTACATTCATTTAGATATTTCACGTACATTTCCCCATTTGGGTATTTTTCAACAAGTAAATGACTTGCTATTATTATTTTATTAATCAAAATGTCCATAATATATTTTATAAATCATTAAAAAAATAAAACTTGACTAGACTATTTAATAAGTTATTAACAATATTATTATTTTTAAAAAAGGGAGTATAGTAAGTGTCAAATGCATTATTTTTAAATAATAATATTAGTTTTAATTATAATTATAATTATATTCTTTTTAAAACAAAAATATGTGAAGTATTATTTATAATTAGGATAATTTTTTTTAAATAACACCTTGGCACAAGTTGTGTTTATCATAATTTATCAATACAAATATAGATTCTTAATTATTGGCCTGTGCAGTCCTTTTATTGACTCAATGCCATATTATTTTTATCATTTAAATTTATTTTAAAAAATTGTTCTTAATTAATAATTTATTAAATACATATCTAATCTATAACTTTTTACATTGCCGTTTAAAACTATTATAGTATGTTTTAGGAATATCTATAAGTTTAATCTTAATCTAATAACAATTTTATCTTCAAATTTTAAATTATATTAACTATAAACAATATATATTTCATATTACTACTTACTATCAATTTAAGGATAACAGTATATTTTAAATATCAATTAATATTTAAAAATACTTATGTTTACCATTTAATGGTGATTAATTATTTTTAATTTTATTATTGTAGGGTGGACCATACTTTGATGTGCTAAAAAGAATTTTGAGTGCCTATGTCTGCCTTCGACCAGATATTGGTTACATTCAAGGAATGTGTTTCATAGCTGCAATTCTACTTTTAAATATGGAAGAAATTGAAACATTTATTTGCCTTGTTAATCTGATGGAATCTCCTTGTTTGAATGCATTTTATACTGTTAACCAACGCATGGTTAGTTCCATAAGACTATGTATTTATTGTTATGCTATAACAAGAATCAGTTACTAATATTATAAATTCTTATTTTAGATGAACTCTTATTTTTCTACATACAACAATCTACTTAAACATAATCTGAATCGACTTCATGCACATTTCAATCATATCGGTCTTACTCCTGAAATGTATCTGGTCGATTGGATATATTCAGTATTTGCAAAATCTATGAATTTGGAATTGGCATCTATTATTTGGGATAACTTTTTAAGAGATAAAGATCAATTCTTGTTTCGTGCTGCTTTAGGTAAGTTTATATAACATTTTAAGAAATATTTGAAAATCAAATATAATGTAATCTTTCGAAAATATTTTCATTAATGATCATAGTAACTTGGGCTAACTAACTATCAAATTTAATTTGATTGAAAAAGAAAACCAAAATCTAAAGGCGACCAACTAGATTTTACATAATAATATTTATTATTTGTATTATCTTTCATTTAGGGATTTTGCGCAGTAATGAATCTCAATTAATGCAAATGGATTCAATAACTTGCGCTCAATATTTAACAAAGTTACCAGAAAGTTTTACGTCAAACACCTTATTAAAATCGGCCGCTGCCATTCGTATGTCTATAGGTAAACAATCATTTAACAATTTACTTGTTTATTATCAAAAACACTATACCTAAAGTACTTAAGAAAGTCTAGGTGTGTTTATTGTTATTGCTCATTTGTATTTATATTAGACAAAGTATATATTTTTATAAAAATGTAATCATTAATTATATGACAATATCCACATACTCTATGACATTTTTTGGATCTTATAAGATTTTTTTTTTTCGAAGTTTTTATTAATATTCAATTTTCTAGTTTAATAATTTTCATTATTGTGATTAATTGAATATTTTCCTCCCAAGATTAGTTTATATGACAGCATACATATTTCCTTTCACATTTTGTCTGTGAAAAGTATAGAATGTTTTGAATTTTCAAATTTACTTGATATACCTATTTGACAATCTATGTGTAATCTTTATATTATACTGACATTTAGACGTTTTATTATTTTTTGAATTCTTGAAAACAAGATATCGCCATGGCTATATGTTAATTGTTTGTAATGTAATAGTTTAAATATTAAAATATCAATATCGATTCAGTAAATTGAGCCTTGATAAAAAATAAAGTATTAAATATTTTATTTCTTTTATAAACCATGATCAAACTTATTTTATAATATGATAGAGGTTGTACTAAACATTACAAAAATATTTCCAATTATTTAAGAACCTCATTTTTTCACTCTAATTTTACAAATTTAAATATAACATTAAGAAATAAAACTGTTTTGATCCATTTCTGCTGACATCATGATTTAATAGTTAAAAAAAAGTTAAATATTAAATTTTAAAATATTTATTTGTATAATAAGTTATTATAAAATAAAATATTAATAAGTAAAGAAAACCCCCAAAAAGTTACCAAATTATATTACATTGGACCAATAGAAAAAAAAATGTAATTACCTTCATTATCCAAACTCAAATGATATGTACATAAATATACTTCATCGGTGTAGTTAAAAGTTTAAAAAAATCATTATATAATAAATAGTGAATTTTTATCAGTATTTTACAGTAAAAATATTATATTTTGAGTTATTATTGTTATAAATGTTGAATAAATATTATTGAGCAGTACTACTGTAATTACTGAGGCTTTGTTTACTGATTTAATTTATTTTAATTTCAATATGTTTGGCTAGAACTCAATTTGCCCAAAATGTAAGTATAAATATTGATAATCAATGTTATAAGTAAATCTCTGCAGCTTAATAGCTCTGATTGACAACTGTGTAATCAACTTTTTTTAAATATTTGTGATGTCTAAACTTGTCTTGTGTATCAATTACATATTATAGTGTTTATCAACCATACATATCCAAAATACAATTTTATTTGTAAACATGAATCTCTTTTTATACCGGTATATTATTTATATATTTATGTTATTATTGATGTTAATTATTATTATATTATTTTATTTATGAAAATCTTTACTTGATTTGCCAGTATTGGATGTTTCATACTATTTAACTATTTATTATTTATTGATTTTGTAGAGAGATTTATTTAAAATAAAATAAATGTTTTTTTTTTTCTAAAATTACAATGACAATAAATATTGGAAAGTCTTGATATTTAAAAATATAATATTATACTATTATACTCATTGACTAATTATTTATTTTAAACATTTATAATCATAAAACAGTACATGAATATATAATTTGTACACCATAAAAATGAAATAATTTATAATTTAACTGTACTAAGTGTAGGTTTTCTATGTTCTATTCGTCAAAAGAATGTTTTGAACAATATTTTTTCATTATACATTGTGATCTTCATTTCCTTATCCACGTCTCTTTACGTATTTGAGATAAAACATGTTTTTTTCGAATGTGTTTAGACATACCTATTTGGTGTTCATTTTTTACTAATCACTATTAATATTACAATATTTTATGTAGAAAGAATGTATAAAAAAATTTACAGATAGGTAAAAATTGAATAAAATATTAATATAATATTATAATAATTTATTTTTGTATGACAAATTATAAGTTGTGATAATAACTTATCTACTAAAATATGATACTAATATGATAAAAAATGAATGATTTAAGCCACCAAAATATTTGAATCACAATGTAAAAAATAAAACCAATAAACAACTGGTGCAACCAAAATAACCTGTAAAACATAATTCAAAGTTTTAAATAATATGATTGACTGTAATCAAATAATAATTATTGGTTTTTGCTTGCTATTGAAAAACAAAATTACTTTCTATTTTTCGTTATTGCTTCCGATATGTTACTAATGTCTTCGTGTAGAATGTGTTTCCGAATTCCATAGAAATTATCCTCTATGTAAGAATTCCAATCAAATTTATCGAAACTGTACTGAAACATACTGCGGTCTTCTTCACTGAGCAACAACCATAGTTCTTTGGTATTACTATTATCGAATGTCCATTGCCTTGTGGTAAAAAAGTATAATAAATCCATCATGGATTCTATTTTTGAATACATTTTTAGTAATCTACACAAATAAAAAAAAATATGTTGTCATTAGCTTGTTAATTTTTCCATGCATTGCCCTGGGGCCATGTATATATTTTTGTGTGCACGCCATAAATCACTATATTTGCTTTCATGTACATTATTATGTATACCGATCTTCTTGAATTCATTACCTTCGTGTTCAAAAGCCTGACTAGGAAGTGTACAAAAGTATACAAAATAATTTTAATAATTGATATTTTTTTCTTTTTATAAAAAATACACATGAGCAGCAAGTTAGTAGTGTACAAACAAATGTACACGTGATACTATGAAAGTCAAATTATTAATATATTGTGTTATTACTTATTATTACAATGATTTTATTTTTTTTTTGTCTGAACAAATATAAGTGTTTGATGAACATAACGAAAAACAATATCGATTTTAACAAAAAATAATGTATATTAAATATTCCTGTTTTTTTTTTCGGTTTTCTCCAATTATTAGGAACAGTAAAGGGAATTTCCAAAAATGAACTCAAATGCACCAACTAGACCCAAAATTTGCTACCATATATCAACCCCGAATTGACGGTTTGAAAAATTTTATTTAATCGAAAACTTGTTTACAAGCAGAATAAAAAAAGTACCTACACTTTATCATCATATTTAGTAAACCAATAGATAGATGAGTAGACTTTGATAGGTTAAGTTACATTTCTCGCTTCACATAGAATCTAAACAATTGACAGACCACTTACTTTGTTTTCTTTCCACGTACTAATAATAATAAATCCATAAACGCAGCGGGTATCCGGTGTAATAAAAACCTCAAAATCATACCGATCCAAATATTGGTATAGAAAACATTGAATCTATACCACATCGATCGGAACGGTGGAGCATTTTGATAATATACTTGCATTTCTTTGATATATTTACCCCACGTCAATGGACTCTCAACGCTAGATACATAATTATATATTTTGGGTTCTTTGTTCGTTTCATAAGTGCCTTGATATCTGAAAATTATTTTAATGTAAGATGTAAAACGTTAGGCTAAAAAATAAATAAATTATTCCGTTGACTTTCGTCTAATAGGTAGGATACCTATTGTCCAAAAAACAAAATCACAGAAATTAATAAAAAAAAAATTTAGAAAAGAAGTGTTTTAAATCAGTAATTTACTGATGAATTTTTAATGTGATAGGTTGTAGTAAATAATAATAATAATATTAATAACAATTATGAATAAGTATAAATCTTAAAGTCGCCTTTTGTCATACACATAAGAAGCTTTTCCTTTTACTTAGGTTGAAATATAAAATTACTAAATAAATATGTAAGTAGTTACTCATAGTTGTTATATTTTTAAGCCAATTGAGAGGGGAGGGGACATAAGCTATAACCTCCTTCCTCTGCGCTCGCCACTATTGAAAAGCATATTATTATAATTAATGAAAATGGTTGTAAATTGATTGATTTTATTATGAAATTGGAAATTGTCAAAGCTAGAGGGTTTAAAGGTATAGATTTAACTATGTACTATCTGAATTGATCGGTATTTCTCAGGCTTAATCCTTTCAAAAATAGAAATGGATAAAAGAAATTAAATTTAACTCGTCTACCCGTGTCCACCATTATTTCTATCGCGGTTAATTGTTGGTGCCATGTAATTTATATATTTTAATAAAGTTGAGTAGTATTTCTTTGTATGTGACAACTGCATTAAATAAAAAATAACTGTTTTTCCTTTCTGATATTAAAATATCAAAGCCAGCCATCCTTTAGACGTTAAATTTTGAGATAAATGTAGACATCGACCAACCAATAATTGTTTCGAATGTTAAGTGCGCAGTTTCCTCAAGATCGGAATGAATTTAGCTTTGTGCAGCGGACATCATAGGTAAGTACACACAGAATTTCAATTTTCTTATAACAATACCTGTGAACTGTATTCCACATAACACTAATCATCGCGTTAACTGTGTAATCCACCGGGACCATATCGGTGACTTTGTTCGCCTCCAATGGAATCGTCCGTATGAATCCCACTATAACTCCAGTTGCTATACCGGACGGTCCGTTCATATTATCCAACCATCCCGGACACGGTTCCGATTTCGTGCATCCGACTTTAATAACATAGGTATTATAATAGTAGATAACGATTGTATTTTTTTTTTTTTTACTTTCAATTCATAATAAGGGCACAGATTTTTATGAAATAAAAAAAAGTCAAAATATATAAATATTTATGTTGTTATTTTTGCCAAAATACCTATGTAATAAAAACATGAAATATTTAACTTATATATTTGTATTTTAAATTTTAATCATATATATAAGCAAAGTGTTGTACATATAGGTTTATTAGATTGAATTAAATTGGAATTAGGTTTAACTATTTTTATTTTATTTTTTTATCTTTATCTTCTTGGAAACAACGTGTGTTTAGAGATTTTCAAATTTAAATGTATGGCGGTTAGGTCTTATACTCTCATAATTGATTTGTAGCGGCTGAAGGAAAGTTCAACGTCGACTTAGTTAAATGGGGAATATTTTATACGATTTAATATATAGGTGGTATAAAAATTCAGTGGGATGCATAAAGTTATTTAATTGATTCCTGTAACCAACGACAAACCATTGCTAATGAAAAAACATTCGGGGCGAAGTTCGGTTGTACATGTTTTCAAAGGCCGTAATATTTACGATTTTCAATTAAATTTGATTTTAAAACTTATAAAAAACAAAAAAAATATTACATTACAATTAATTTTTTTTTTGACCACTAAGTACCACTTATAATGAATTTTCTGTCAAAATTTCAAGCATTTCTGTTTGGTTTAATAGTTTTATACAAAGAGTAACCTACCAAATAAAAATTACATAAAAACTCAACAAATTAAAATGTTTATAAATAGCTTTAAAAATGGCTCAAATGATTTAATACGTCTAGAAAAAGCAAATATATGTTTTCTGTCGGAATTTCTAGTCTCTTCGGATATTTTTAACTGAATTATTACAAAAAAAAAAAATCTGATAAAATAAAATAATTATTTTTGTAAATTCTTTCCATCTTTACGTTTTTTCTTTCGGTTTTGCTCAATTATTAATAAAACTTAAATTAAATATAAAACCATCACCACTAGTCGTACATTGAATTACTTATGGTTGAAATCAAAAATTAAGGCTATTTAAATCACGAAGTATTTTATGTAAGGGGTGGTTATTTCCGTAGTATGTAATTTGGGCAGCTACTAGGAAGAGGGAGTGAGTATTATAAAAAATTCTTTTGATATCAAAAAAAAGGCTTTTTTTCCAGTGGCTATAATATGTTAAAAGGAATAATATCGATCTCATTTCATTTTTCGATTGGAGCAATAATTCTGGTAGAAAACTTACAAATTGCAACAATTAAATACAATGAAATCGGTAACGCCGCGGCAAGCTGTAAATATTTGCCGTTTCACCTACAATTTTATATCAGGTTTTTTCCAATTATTTTTAAAACCCATTGGAAAATCAAAAAATTGACCTGTCTAATGCACTAACTAAATAACATTTTCTTTTAGAAAAAGTACTATACTAATATTTCTTTTCGAAAAGTTATTTACATACAACAACAACAAAAAAAAAAAAAACAGTTTAACGATCGTTTTATTGTATCTATTTGAATAGGTCCGCTATAGGTACGCTCCGGATCTAAAAGTCGTAATTTATTTACGTTATGAAACGTGTTTATTTTTAATCACGATTAAGAAATCTGTATTTAATAAAATAATGTATTTACATAAAAATCCACGTCCTACTCATAAGTGATAAGTGATAACTATACCTATACTCGTTAATACTCATTTACATTAATAATATAGGTACACAAATGTATGTATCACAATATATAAGTACTTATGTATTTGTTAATTTGTATATTATTATGGTAGGCAAATGAATAATGCTATTGGTATTATACGAATTATTATAATTTAAATTTCTTTTACGATTATACTCGTAATATTTTAAATTACGTTAGACACTATATTTTATTATAAAAAAAGTAATGTTTAAAACTTACTGATCGACGGTCGGAACACTGATATCGGTAAATGATTTCCGCTTTTGAATATTACATTCTCGGCAATTGCTTTTGTAAAACAATAAGTGTTGGGCCAATCTCCTAATATTCTGTAGGCACATGAATTTAAAAATATAATCGATAGTATACCATGTTTTTACAATTGAATTACACAACGGAAATTCAACATTGGAATCATGATTTTGTTAAAGATTCTATGCGCGAATCTATCAGCTTAAAATTTAATATAAAGATTTTGAAAGTTGGTATGTTTATAAGGCGTGTAACGCTAGAATGAAAAAAACACTTTTTTGTCGGCCGAACGAAAAAATTGCTTTCGGGTACCATAAAACTACTAAAAGTTCAAGTAAGTAAGTACCTATATAGCTATAAATAATGAAATAGAGAAAAAATATGATACGTTTAAAAAATGATTATACGTAATCGGTAAAACTCTAAAAGATTATTTTTCATCTTACTGAAATACAACAAAATTGTCTTCGTGATTAGAAATGATATGGAAAGATAGAAAAAGCAATTGATCTCCTCAATAAGCCTAATACAAAATATTTTTTACGTAAAGAAACCTATTTTGGCTGGAGCATCTGGAGCAAGAGCAAGAGAAAGAAAGATACATGCTATAGATAAGTATCTATAAGTGCATACATAAAAATTAAATATACTTTTGTGGTAATTCTTCTTTGAGATCGAACATATTTTTTAGATTTTCCGGAGTTATTGCAGCGGGATAATTTTGTTCTTTTATTTCGTTTCTCGGACAATGCGAATATGCGGTGGAAACGTGAACAAAACCCTGCAATATTATTACACAGTTGTACATTAAATTTTTAACAAATATTATGTTCATCATCACGAACCAACGATTTTCTCGAAGGATTTTAAGCGAATTTTATTTCTCGTTTTTTTTTTTTTTTTTTTTTTTTTTATCGAATTGTTTAAGATTTATTTTACCACCATGTTTAGTTTTTACCCCTACTTCTTATACCTTAGGTGATGTATATCTTTTGACTTTCAAATAGTAACCCTCCGCCACTTTTGAACAGAAATTCGATTACTTGTCTAAACGTGTTGATATGCGTTACACTAATATCTGATTTCCCAAGTGGCGTACACACGATGGGGGAGGCGTTTTGGGTGTTCAAACCCCCCTTAGTATTTTTTTCACTATACGTAAAAATATGTAGAACTTAAAAATTAATAATATTTAAAAATTGTCAAACATTTTTTTCATGGTATATATTTTATAGTTGAGTTAGTTGGAAATTAGTTCAAACACAAACGTGAGGGTTTACAATTGACAAATATTATTATAGATGTGTATTATATCACCATATCGATTTTTAGTACCTAACACTTATATTATGCCTATATCTAAATCTGTACTTTTCAATTATCAAACTATTTGATTTGGACAGCTATAATATTATATCGTTTGATGTTCAAATTCGTTGTACGTTAAGCATTTTATAATAATTGTACTGTTAAATTTTCTAAAATAGTAAAAATGAAAAGAATAAACGAATATTTTTTGACAAATATAATAATAAAAAAAGTCCCATACTTTCTATTCGAACACCATAAGAAGAAATATCAATAGTTTGTGATACAATTAATTCATAATTTGATATCATTTTTTAATGTAACCTCTCCCCCTCCCAGCCTATTGAAAATATCTGTATACGCCATTGGATTTGTCATCAATAAGATATTGAAGTTTAAAACGTTAGTAGAAAAACAAAAAAAAAAAAATCAAATTCGCTTAAAATCTTCAAAGATGATCACCAATTGATGAAAAATGAATCAACATATTTAGTTGCAAATACAGGTATATTTTATTGCTTAACCTTGAGATTCTTCATTTCCTTAGCCAGCGACAGCATATTTTCGGTTCCGTATACGTTAATTTTAGCCGCTATCTCGAGTGGTTCGTTGAATTTAACTGTGGCGGCACAATGAAATATAAAATTCACGTTTTCAATCAACCAATCATGGTCACTCGACGTCAAACCGATCGATGGATTTTCTAAATCGCCATCAATGACTTTTATATATTTCGCGTATTCGGGTAGTTCTTTTCTCAGTCGGTCGAAAAACTATAATATTGTACACAAACAATTAGGTAAACATAAATTGAATTATTTTTCGACGTGTATATAATGAAGTTTCAGATTTTTATCAGAGGCCAAAATAGGTTATTATATAGGCCAATATATTATACCTATACTTTTTATAAATGTAGATAGGTATTGAACCATGTGAAACGAGTACTTATCTACAGTTCGAATATGTTATAATAAAATAATAAAATAGGTGCGCAGAGACCTAACCTTGAATATTATATATGGCTATGGCACTAAGTAAATGCGTTTATTATAGATATTTTATGAATCCAGTAGGTACCAGTTTAAACTATTTCTCTTTGATATTCTAAAGAATGGATCATGTTTTGCGGCCGTTACGAACAAAATCACAAGAATATATTTATAAGGAACATAATATAATATTGTTTATTTTATAGTACCTATACATGATATACACAATCGACAGCGCAATAATTTCATACTGGAGATAGCTATCAAGCCACATAAGTAATGAAATCTCGGTAATTTTTGGTATCGGTTTCGATATTTCATTACCTATGTTAAAATAGGCAGTATTCCAGTATGATTAACACGTTGCGATTGAATAGATTAGTATCCTTGTTTTCATTATGTGATTTTACATGCAAGTTGTAAATACTTTATGCGATTTTATAATATTACAGGTACATAATATTATGTAATACGGGACACTGCTGCGCACTTCAATATTTAATAAATCAGCGATTTTTAAGATTCTATGACAATAAGTTAAAATAATTAGCTTGTTTGTTTTATCATTTGAACAAAATTTAAAAACTGTACTATCGTCACAAATTAAGTTATTTTTAATTATTTTGTGTATAATACCTAGTGTCGTTCAATAGTTGTCCTTGTAACTTTTAAAAAAAAGTAAATTGATGTGTAACGTTGTATGTTATATATTTGACAATAGAGCGTTTTCTTAAATTATGTGTCAAGGGGTAATAGTGTGTGGGAATTACACGCACTATCCATTGCGCAATTCATATAGTAATTCGCAATGAAATACTATTTGGTATTGTTAATTTTGTCATATCGCATCTTCGGTATAAGACTACTACAACTCAAAATTAAATTTTCTCAAAACTATATATTTTGAGATGTGGCAGACTTGTACCAAGGGTGCGATATACTGTATTTATCTTTCTGTACTAATATTTCCTGGGAAATCTTTAAAACAATTGTTTAACTTGATATGAATTGGAAATTTAAAAATCAATTAATGTGCAGTATTCATCCACAGATATAGAAATAGTGGTTTAATGATTATCCCGAGTGAAAACTGATAATACGTATAATTACCTTATACCGCGGTACGGTTACTGCAGGGTAATGCTACGCGTTTGCATTTAAAAAGAATACATTTCTTTCTAAAAGTATCAATAATAGGGGCGTATAATTTGTGTGATTAACTATAACATTGGAGAAAATCATAACTTTTTTTTCATGTCGGTTTTTAATTTCGTTATTTTATTGAAATCTTCAATAATATTTTACGAGGAAAAATTACACAACTGTTTTCACCGATAGGTGCAAACTAAGTGACATGGCTTATTTGAGAGGCTGCAGTTTTTGAGATTTTCGAAAGTTATGAAAGGCAAATGTTTAATTTATATTCGACACAATAATCGACCAATTATTATAAACTAAAATATTACTGATAAGTAATAACAACAATGATAATTAATTATGTGTCCACTATCACTGCTCAGTAGACGGTCTCAACCACACACGCGCGATTTTGGGGGTCGATAGACCGTTTTTGGCTGAGGCAGTGGGTCGTACGTGAATATTTTATACAGTTTTCAGGGGCTATTCGGAGGCCAGATTCGGAAAAGAGGAAAGCTTCAAGCACCTTATATTCGGCTATGGTCTTGTCTTAAAAAAAAATTCAAGGTGCGAAATTTGTTTTAGCTGTTGCGTAAGATGGGGGTGGGTGGTCCTCTCTCGAGTTTCCCTCTCGAAAATGTTGTGTTCACCATACCACTGTAGGGTACAGTATTTATTTCATATTAAAAACGTATCTACCTCTTCTACGAATTAAAATTTAAAAAATGATAGGAGGCAAATATTTACAATAATAATATTTAACATAATATAATATTGAAATTTAATAATTTCAATTTGTATAGTTATCAATACAAAATTACAGGTAAGTTTTGGTAGTATTTACTTACCGTTTGTTCGAACATATTTGCAATTCTGTGGTTGGCGGTCAATCCTTTCTTACTTCTCACGATAACTGCGATGTTTTTCACGGAACACGATCTGAGCAATTTTTCTATGAGCGTTTTGCCCAGAAACCCTGTACTTCCGGTAATTAAAAACGTCCCGTCTTTTAACGTCTCCACTATGCCCGTTTGAGTTATTTGCGACATTTTTTGTTTTGTAAAAATGGTGTATTAATACTATAAACGAGCGAAACTGTGCGTTCAACGAAATACGATTCTATATGTAATAATACAGACTATACCGACTAATATATATATATATTTATTTATGCGATGTGCATAAGTGCGATAAGTTTATTAAAACCAGAGTGGGGTAGGTTATAAACGTAATGTTATAATTATTTCTAATGAGTGCTTTTATACGTGAATCATATTAGCGTACAGGTGTATTTACGTTATATTATACCAACACTACCACTGGAAAATAACTTTTAGAGTTCCTCAATTTTTTTCAATAGACATGTATTGTAAACTATTTATTAATTTATTTCGTATACAACGTATAAATACTATACTCGTTTTTCTAAACCAAACCATGTACATGAAATTGAAAAATACTGTCCGTATGCATGTCTGTCCTGTCTGTCTGTTATACAAATCTACAGTTTTATTCCGATATCGATGAAATTTTGTGCACTTGATGTTCATAACAAGAGGAAACTCGCTATTCTACTTTTTTATCTCGAAATTCGTTAAAATTTCTTTAAAAGGGCGGTTCACACATAATTTTTGATATTTTTAAATATTATAAAAAATTGAATATTAAATTCTGAGTACAGCGAGGAATGTATTGATTTTATTAATATATTAAATGTGTGCTTTTTGTGTTGTTTTTTTTCTGGTCTGTGAACAAATTATCTATAGGAAATTTCGCTCCTATCAAAAAATGACAAAAGAGTTTTTTTGTAGTATTTTCTGATTGGTATATTGGGCAGATCATATTTTGATTTTACGAGTAGTTTTCTTAATAACTGGCGACTGAGAGAATTTTAGGAAAAGCGGGAAAGTTTACAGAAATAACAGTTCGATTATTTTTGATTAGGTTTTTTATTGTAATTCAGTTGAACATAACCGTAGAGAGCTAAACGTTTCACAGAATATTTATATTATACTTTTCTAGACGTGATAGAATTTTCAAAACGAAAAGAATGAGAAAAAAAATAATTATCACATCATATATTAAAACCATGAAGAATAAAAATTAATTATTTATTCTTAATATAAGATAAATTACCAAGTAACAAAGATTAATTGTAATCGGGATAAAGTTAGTAATGTGATGACTAGTTGAAGATGACGAAGATATACCCATTGCAATATCTCCTGAGTTAATTTTGTTTTTTTTTTTTTACACATATCACTCATAAGGACTACAAATATTTTTATGTTAGGTAAAAAAATCAGTGGATGATCATTGGTCATGTTTAGTTAAATTTTTTGCACCCATCACTGTACTTGCTTACTAATAATACGCATCTATATGTATTAATAAATAACCTATATAAACATTTAATTTTTAACATTAAAAAAAAAAAGAACTAATATTGAGGACGGATTTATTACTATTGTAGGTTGAAGTTGAGAAGGTAGGAATACATAAATGTGTTTAATTTATATTTGTAAGCAACGATAAATAAACCATTACTGGCGAAAAACTATGCGGACGCAGTTCGGTTACTGACAATTTAGTACATACAACTAATAATGAACTTCCTGTTGAATGTTCAAGTATTTCTGGTCAAACAATTTTATCCATAGAGTAGGTAGCTACCGAATAAAAATTATGTGAAAATTCTGTTTGATAAGTTGCTTACAGACACAACAACAATAAAAAATAAGAAACAATAATAAAACCAATAAATCCTTCGTCATGCTCCGAATCAAAAATTAACAATTGTCAGTTTGATGAATAAAAACTAGTTTACGTTTACTCGGCAAAAGTTGATCTAAGTCCATAAATAGTTACTTTATATTATTATAAATCTAACTATAATGTTTAATATATTATATATAATGAGTGTGTACCGCTTGTAGTATCCACACTACACTGTAACAACAATAATATTGTTTCCTACTTATCGGATGAACTTGACATAATAATGGCAGATTGAAAAAATAAAGTATAATATTTAAATATTTAAAAAAAAAAAAATGTAAGTACTACATATTATGTAGGAGTATTTAAAAAATAAAAATACGCCATTAATCGGTAACCAAACGAAAAGGACTAAAAGATATTATAACGGGTACCTACGATCGAAGTTTCCATCTTGACCATTGATTTTAGAATATACAATTATTATATCTAAAATCAATCCGATCCGTCACATATTCGGAATGCGATTGAATTCCCACGAAATGTTTACAAAATTAAATAAATATAGAATCCTTAGCTTTTGGAACTTTTTTCTAGGCCTTGACTGCATTAGTTAGGTAGGTATGAGTGTTTTTATCTTGAGCAAAGCTCGAGGAGAAACTGTGGGTTTTTTTTAAATTCCGGAAATGCTTTTTTGAACGCAATTGTTGCTTTTGATATTTTTAATAATATTATAATGATGTGGCTTATTAAAAACAATGGTCCAAGCCAGAACTTGATAAATCTATTTTTATAATATATTATTAAACTTATATGGACAGTGTGCGTTGTTGTTCCACGTTCTGCAGCTGCAGTCGCCAATGGCTTTCTTACGGGGGAGAGGCAAAATATATTTTCACCCACTCTTAAAATAGAAAATTCCTTAAAATGTAACGTCACATCTACAACAATTCTTTTAATAGACTCGGGAATTGGGTTGTTTTATATTCAAAAAACAAAACATTTCAATACATAAAATAAGACATTTTTATTTGATTTTATATAATTATTACAAAGCATGTTATAAATTTATAATACAAAGTATAACCACCGGTTTTTCATAAAAGAGAATCTTTCAATGATATCCACTGGTATACATATTTCCTGGTAAATATGCAACAAATCAAGCCCTTACATGTGATTCTGGCCAGTGGCGTTACTCAGGGGGGAGGGGGTAAAGGGTCATATCCTCTCAATTGGCATACAAATACAAAAAATATAAGTAATTTAATATTGAAATGCATATATTTTAGACATGTTATGAGCTAAAACTTAATGTATTGATTAGAAATTAACTTTTTTTAGGATTCGGTTTTTAAATTACTAATTCCTATAGTCGCCTTGGTTAAAGATGACGATTTTGAATTCTTATTTGCTACACTCCCTTCCATTGAAAATTATTGTACATGCCACTAATTCTGGCACACTTATTTTATAACTAGAAATCAATAATAAGAGACAATGGTCAAACCACCTAAATGAAATGATAACACCAGAAACTATGACCCGGTTCGATCATAAATAACAAAAATATTTTAAGATCTATGGATTTGACCATGTTATCATATTATTAACTATCTAATTCATAAAAAAAATAAAATTGTAAAAACAAATAACAATGTACACATATAATTATACGGCCCAGAGGTAGGGTCGCTACTTGCCATACGTCCTGGAAAACCAAGACTGTCACTGGTTTTTAACTTGGTTGTACACCGATACGGTGCCCCTAAAATAAATATTAGGACGCCTACATATGCCCTGGTTTTGAGAAAAAATTCATATTATTTAATTTTAATAATATTTTCGAATAATAATATTGTAACTGAGAGATAAACAATTTTATTTTTAATAAATACTGGATAAATCAATGATGACAAAATCTTAGGTATATACTGTATAATATCCAAATACTTATTACCAGGGCTCGAAACTTATAGCACTTAAAATTCACAAACAAATTCTTAAATTTATAATCTATTAAAAAACTAACAGACCCAGCGAACTTTGTACCGCTTAACAGTCAATGTTAGTGACACCTTTTAGATAAACTTAATTTATGATTTTAATTAACGTAATAAAATGAATACAAAAAATGTATTAAGTTCAATAGTTAATTAGGTAATATATATTAAGTAAAATAAAAATTTAATAAAACTACAAAAATCAAGTATTTCAATGGCGGGTCGGCAAGACATTTCCTTTGATGAAGCTATGTATTTTGCTGCATGGGTTGATTCTCTTCAATGAAGCACCTTGTGATATACGATATTTTTCGTCTCGTTATCATGTGCAAGAACAAATTAAACGGATGGTTTTCCGACATGTAAACATGCCACGTACAATTGACCACGAGAAAAACATGAATTTTCTAAATTTAGACCACAAACACTTAAGGATTGTTCTTGTGTTTTGTTAATCATCATAGTGAATGCAAACGAATCGGAAATTGAATTCGTTTAAATTCAAAAGGCATATCGGTTGTGATCATCGGAATCCTTGGAATGAGAATTTCCTTACCTTTGAATTTTTCTTAGAGTATCGTCGCGTGAATTACATTGATTGCTACTAAAACTTTGGCCATTGCGGAGTTTTTCGCAATATTACATGGAGGTTTTTCAACAGTTTGAGAGTTTAAAGGCAATTTCAACGCTGAATGAGCCGTACGACATCCTTCTAACAATGTTACTACTATTCCAGAAGAAACAATTGCTACCGAAATGTCTGATCTCGCACGAAAAGTGACCAAAATTAATGTCTTCTCAGTTTTACCGGGGACATCCAAGAAAAATAAGCCACTATTTCCATCATCAATTGCCTTCATTAATGTATCATATACTCCCTTCTGTTGGGGGTTCAATAGGGGTACATTTGCTTGAAATCATTGGTCTGATTCATGTCAATCGTATTCACGTTCATGCTCCAATTCTCGATTAAATGCGTCATTCATTCCACGATCTGCCGTTGGCATTCTTAATCTGACTGCCATACATGAGGTAATACATCTCTTTGATCAAGAGTAAAGCCTGGTTAAGCATCTCCTCATTCGCTTCAAGATCGGAATTTGCCTTGTCACGCCTTATTTATTTTATAGACAAATACAGAGACCTAACAAACTACATTTGAACAAATTTTTTTTTTCTTAAATCTTATCTTTTAAAGAAAATTAATGTTTACTCTTTTCAATATAAATTACCTTTCGAACCTCGGTCTAGATAGGCGACCTTGCTCCGTAGGCGGGTAGTCAGTTGATCGCCCAGAACGGTGACCACACAAGGCCGGATCACCGAACCGGGACGTCTCAATGTAAATAATCTAAATTGAGATGTAATGATATATTGGACGATTGCTGTTTAATATTTAAACGATAACTGAATTGTGCCACGCCGTTGTTTTAATCGCGAATTCTCGAACTTGAAATGGGAATAAATATACATTTTATTCAAACCAATAAACCACGATAATTTACAAATAATTGGTAAAATACTGATATAGATTATTCAGGGAAACCCGGGGTGTTAATTTGAAGTCTGTGGGTGCTAAGTACCTCCTATGTGCGCCCATGTTCCTCAAAGTAATTGGAAAATATTGTTATCCTTTGAAAACGAATACGATATTGTTTTATTATACGATTTTAAAGATCTTGATCATAATTAATAATGACGTCCATGCAAATTGCCTTGTTAGACTCCAATGGCATTTATAATGTATTATTCAATATTGTTTTATTATACCTACGTTTCTGTGAAAAGCGCCATTCTTTTTTCCGGTAATTAATAAATAAATATATCTCCGATATTATCGGATCAACACCGTGTAATTAAATATTAGATTTTATTCAATAAAGAATAATTTCCATTAATTATATTGTCTATATACTTACCATACAAAATAAATAAATAAATCATTCTAAATAATTATTTAGAATGAAAATAGTACTATTATTATTGTTTTCACACAAAGCTACAGAAATTTAGGTATAATAAAACAATATTAAATAATACATTATAAATGGCATTGGAGTCTAACAAGGCAATTTGCATGGACGTCATTATTAATTATGATCAAGATCTTTAAAATCGTATAATAAAACAATATCGTATTCGTTTTCAAAGGATAACAATATTTTCCAATTACTTTGAGGAACATGGGCGCACATAGGAGGTACTTAGCACCCACAGACTTCAAATTAACACCCCGGGTTTCCCNGAATTCGCGATTAAAACAACGGCGTGGCACAATTCAGTTATCGTTTAAATATTAAACAGCAATCGTCCAATATATCATTACATCTCAATTTAGATTATTTACATTGAGACGTCCCGGTTCGGTGATCCGGCCTTGTGTGGTCACCGTTCTGGGCGATCAACTGACTACCCGCCTACGGAGCAAGGTCGCCTATCTAGACCGAGGTTCGAAAACCGGAGGTTCTTTTTTAGTAGAACCAACAAAGCTATGTTTGTGCAGACAAATTTTGATTATTTTGTTTTTTGTAATTTAAGTAGTTTTAAATTATTTTCTGTGAAACCACCAATATTATAAACTATAATAACATACTGGAATACAGCCTGATACAGTGATGAATATACATTTTGAATACTTTTCATTAGTAGCATTGATTTAAGATAAAAAAAATGATGTACAGTCGAGCGTAATCACATTACTAGATTACCAATATGGAAGTTCCATTTTAAATTTTTGTCAAAGATCATAGCCAAATAATAAATTCCCTGTACTCTGGAAATTTGTTTACATTCAAGGCCATAAAAAAAAACATTCCTGGTGGGCCAAGAATTTTCTTGTTCCACAAAAGATACTAAAGCGTGTAATCACACGGATTTTCAAGCAAATTATTTGGGACTTTAAAAGCGTCGGTTATAATTTTATAATGGTGAATAATCTTAAAATCTTGCCATTTCTCTTTCGTGGTATTTCTATTAATTTTTAGTGCTTTGATAGTCTTCATAATCGGACGACCCATTTCACCAATTTTCCAATTTTTAAAATGAGTTTTTTGTTTTGAATCACCATCACTTTGAATCAAATTTCTTTGTAAAGCTCTAAAAAAAACGATCATAGTAACAAATATTGGAAAATTAAAAAACTATGACACAATAATATTATTTTTTATTACCCAGATGATTATACAGTTATATTATTCAAAGATTCATTTGTTGACTCAACAGCTGAAACTTTTAGTATACTAAAAGACAAAAATTAAAAAAATAAATATTATTCAAATAATAATATTTGGAATCAATTATATCTTTGTATACTGAAAGTCACACATTTAAAAACAAATATGAAGTTACAAATTACATGTAGGTACCCCATTAATAACACTATAATATATTATTTAATAATTTAAATTTATTATTTAAGTGGTCTGTTAATGGTACCATTAAAGTTACTATTTTTAGATAAATTGTTGAGTCTTTACATTGATAGTTGGCACATAACTGTCAGATGTGCAACACTTTTTTTTTCGTGGTAAGTAGATGATTTTATAATATTTATGTTAGTATATTTTTGTATTATTTAATATTAAATCAAATCAATGCTTTTTTTAACTATTTTGAATGCGGTTTATTAACAAAATCTGAACTTTAGTTATTTTATTATTTATTTTTAGTTTAAAGTTTGTGTCAAATGTGTACTTCATTGTTGGTTATAAAATGATTTAAACATACATCCAATTTAGTCTCTGTAGCCATAGTACTAAAAAATAAAAAAAAATAAATATGTAGGTAAGTATAAGATGTATCAAAAATAAATCTATACAAACTGGAGTATCATAGCAGCATAAGTTCCCAACGAATAAAACAACTATAAGTTTTCATCAATTGTACTGAAAATCAACAGAGGATTTCTTAGGCCTTACTAATTATTTGGTGAAAACTACATTCCAAAATACTTAACCATAAAGATGCGCAGTTATTACTGTCAGGGTAGTTATGGCCATGGCTTGAGCTAATACTGACTGGATAACATACTAACTTAAAAGATTAAAATTAAAAACTTAATGTCTACATCTAAAGTGCCTACAATTTTTTTTTAATATTTATCATTTGGTCTATTCTATTAAAATTGTTTAGTTTTGTTTATGAAACATATTCTTCTCTAGAAAACCAATTAATGACATTTTCAAAATAAGGGACGAAGAAGGATTATTTAAAATTTTAAAAACCAGGCACTTAAAAAAAAAAAAAAATGAAATGAAATTTCGAAAATACTTTAGTATACAATTTTAAACAATTTGATTTCTTATTAAAATTCATTAAATTAGAATTGAGCAAAAATCCACATAGAGTAAAGAAGCCGATGTCAGATGCACATAAACCAGAGAAATTGTATAGAACATTGTTTTGACAAACTTCTTCGATTGGTTCTGGTGAAAATAAAGCTATAATTTATATAACTTCGGTTTTAGTTTTAAATTTAAGTATACTGCTAACGTGTTGAATTAAATTAAACTTTTCTAGGTTGAAGTGTACACTAATACCTACTTGAAGTAATTTTAATAATTTAATTTAAAATTGTACCATTTACTCTGTGAAGTGAAACATAATATAATTATTATAATTTTAAGTATTCGGATAGAGAAAAAAAAAAATGTTTGCAAAGTAGTCGAGTGCCTACTATGACTACACCGTGCGCAGTGTATAAAAGATACAAACACTTATTTACACAGACAAATTCATAAAGTTATTTATGCTACTTAATGATAAAATCTTTTATATAAAACGTTTATTTAAATCCAATGCCAAACGGTGCAGTGGTACTAATCAAGCATTTTTTGTTTCAGAATTCGTCTTGAATTCGTCTACAGTGAAATGGTCACTGCATAACATAACATCTGATGGTTTACATAATTTTAAACCTAAAATTTTGATCCATTCATTACAACAGTCTACCGCTTCTGGAAACCTGAAATTTATCAATATAAGTGTGTAATTTTGATTGTACTTAATGAAACTAATTTGATTATTGGTGTGAAAATAATTCTTTGAGAATTTAAATGAAAAAAATAAAACAAAATATTACTCACTCATAAAGAGATACGCCATCATTTGATGTCCTTCCACACTTGACACAATTATACGATATGTTTAAACTTTAGATATTAATCTTGTACAATAATTTAATACTATGAGTAAGTACTCTGTTCTAAGTATAAGTATAGGTATCTAGGTAAAAATAAATATTAATTATTATAAGTATTGATGTTCGAATTTGTTGTTTGTATTTGGGAATATAAGTAATATCAAGTGATTTTCGTTTTTTGATAAGATCTGTAATTTATTATTTTTACAATAATAATAAAATATTATAATTGGATCGGATGGTCACACTGATGGCACGCGGTTAATAAACATTTGAATATTTCAGCAAAGTTACATATAGTTTTAAAAAGATGTTTAGATGATCGTTATATCTATAATTTTGTTTCTAGGTATTCCCAATTATTTTGGATACCCCTTGGAAAATCAAANATTGGCGGACGATTGTTATAGATGAGAAGTTAAGAAGGTAGGATATTGAGGGAAATTTAATGTATAACTGTACCTAAGCAAATTTAAGCATTGTCAACAAAAAACGATTCTGAGTGGAGCTCAGTTAATAGTATTGCGAATTTTTTTTTCTGACCAAAAAGTCTCTTATTCTATTTATATTGGAGTAATAATTTTTGGTAGAAAAAAAATGTTCGCAAAAATTAAAAACAATGAAATCGTTAACGATACAGGGACGTGCCGTAAAAATTTGTCGTTATATCTATAATTTTGTTTCTAGGTATTCCCAATTATTTTGGATACCCCTTGGAAAATCAAATTTACTTAATTAACAATACGTAATATTGTCTATTATAATCTATCTGGTTTATGTTCTAGCTTATTGATATTAAGAATTTTAATATTATACGCATTATGTATTAATTTATTGTAACAGTTTATTCTAATACCTGTACCTTTTTTTTTTTTTTTTTACTATTATTAAAATAAATACATTAAAGTAATAACAAAAATTACCTACACCTTTAAGCTAAGCTTGTGGTGGCGTAGGGAATTATAGAACATTAGTTCACATGTATGATTATTATAAAACTATAATAACATTAATAACATTAATAACATTAATTAACATAATAACATATAATTTTTCATTTAATTAATATTTTAAAAAATAAAAAAGTTCGTATATTATATTTATAACTAAGTTGAATAATATTAAACAAGCTAATAAACATATATGAAGAATTTAATTCTAAAGTATGAAAAACATACAGTTATCTGTATAATATAGAGTGTACACTATTAAAATATAATAATTTTAACTAATATATTCAACATTTCAAAACTCTTAAAATAACATTTGACAATTGTATCGAGTAGGCATATGCGAGCAGAGAAACGTTTTAACAAGCCGCATAGATATATCTCGTACTATAATAATAAGAACAATAATATAACGTCATTATTTATTACACAATCATAATATTGGCGTTTGGCTATAGACGGTACAGGAAATTTATCAACATACGTTATATGCATTTATGGGACGATTATTTGATTACGAAACCGCGCGTGTATCGCAACACGAAAATGCCGAATGTTTACATGCCCAAAGGCATGGAAATTTGATTTTGGTTTTTGTTTTCTTAGTCATAATATAGTTTTCAAACCTCATCATGTATAATTTTATCAAAACCTTACTCTCCAGTATACAATAAAATATACATTTATGTAAACCTGTGATTTCCTAATAGCTATATGTGTGCGTGTTAAAATGTTTAGATAAATATTTTCTTTTCGCATCGCGCTAACAAAGTATACGGGCGCCATTTGATATTATTGATATTATACGCGTTTGTGCCACCAATATGGATGATACACACACAAAATAACGGTGAAAATTGGAAAATATCGTAAACGAGATCGTTAAACGATTTTATGAATTAATATATGCCTACTATATTGTAATGGTTGAAAAATGCCAAATCAAATGTGCTCAACTTTAGTGATATAATTCTGACACATGAATCATCCGGTGTATGTTTGTTGGGTTTTAAATATTTATTTATGCAAATAATTCGATTTTAATTAATGCTGAAAAGCGAACCGGTTATCTTATCGCTTTGTTCAACTCGACGAATTTGAGATACCTATTCGAAATTGTCGCATTATAACCGTTTTTATTGTCGTTCTATTCTCCAGACGCGGTGATTTTTTTTCTTTTTCTTCTTTACGATCGCCGTTGTCGTTCCCCAGTAACTATTCCACCGCAGTTCGTTGACGATCGGCTGGTATTAAATCAAAAATCAAACATTTTTAATTTTTCGAAAGAAAAAAAAAATTCCACCCACTTTTAACATTATGATGGACCTCAAGTATCCGATCCGCGTCAGAGCCGAAATACCCGTCATCAAAATGGGATACGAACGCGTCGGCCGACTGATTTCCGGACTCAAGGTGAGTGACGCGTTTTTTCCCAACTTAACCTTACATAACCTAACGTAACACGGCTACATCCTGTCACGATGTTCGGAAAGCAAAAACAAAAAACAATAGGCCGCGTATACTTATAATCGTTTTGTCTTTTCGCAGGAATCTTCGGCCACCGTCCAGTGGGGACTGGATATGGCCACCGACGGCGTGGACAGGGCCGCGCAATTGTCGTGCGTCAAGAACCGTTTGGTGACTATCGACCGGTTGCTGTGCGCGTCGTTGGACTTGACCGAACTCAAATTGCCGGTGTTGACCAAAACGCCCCAACAAGTAAACATTTTTATCCAGTATAAACATATTTAAGGGTGAAAATAGCGAAATAAAAAAATACGCGAAGGGCACAGGGGTCAGATACTAGTCCATTTTTTAACATTTTATAGCAGAGAAATACTTTTTCATGTTCGCGTGGACCACATTATTTTTTAAACCAGTTTACATTAAATATTTTATCTTCTTCGGTATATTATTATCCAGCTGAAAACTTTTTTCACCGAATGGAACTCAACATTCGATAATAGTTTCAAAGTCCTATCGAATGGTATTTTAATACCATTGCTTAAAAATTTAAAAATGGATTTTACTTTGTAATGTGTACACCCCTCTTGTCCTGTGTTCTTCATATTATATTAATTAAACCAGACATCTGTGTTCGGGATTAATGTATTTATATACATAACTCGGAAAATAAATTGTTTTACGCTAATTTAAAAGAACATAATATTTTCAAACATTTTTAAAATAATACTCAAATCGATGCAGAAAAATGTCAACTAAATTAGTATTTTATTTTATACAAATTGACTAGTTAATATGTATAAAAAAAAAAAAAAAAACTAATTGACCACTAAATGCGAACTGTATTGCGTTGTATAATATTATTGCTTCCACGAAATAACCAAAACAAAAAATTCAAATTGCGCGCAAATAAAATTTCGCGAGTTTTTTTGTGTGTACAGCACCATGTATAAAACGAGACGAATTGGCCATTTAAAATACGAGTCGTAATATTCAACTGTTAATTGTTTTTGACATTTAGATACTTTAGCCGCGAATTGTCGAGTTGGTGAATTTTCACTGCATCACATCACACATACGTAATAAACACGCGATTATATAGGTACCTTTACACGGTGCCAATATTATCTTAATTGTATAATATTGACGAGTAATACTTATAATTGTTGAACTCAAACTATTAAAAAAATTACTAAAACTATTAACATAAAGTATATATGTATCTATTATGTTATGCAAACATTAAATAATAAACGCAGTATAAATTAATTAATTATAAGTATATTAGTAATTGTAGTGGTAGGCGAACGACTACGAGTTGGTTCACAGTTACCGAATTAGTTCCCGGGTTGTCTGCAGGTACCATACGAATTGGTTCCGATGAGCTTTTACAATGATAATAAAACTATGTTTAATTAACGTTTTTAAAAATCAATTTTTTTTTTCCAAATTATTATTATATATTCAACCGAAAATAATTTCCTTCCCATTTTACACAGACTTAGGACTTATTTAGAGTACCTAGGTACGTGGTTGAAAGTGTTCAGTGAAATTTTGCAGTCATTCAATGATTTAATATTTTTACAATTTACTTTTCCTTTTCAGTAATTTTTTTTTGATTTTCATTTAAGCGTGCTTCTTCTCTTTTAATCGTTTAATAAATAAAAATAATGTTTTGGGTAAGCGTAATAAAATCGTAAATTGAGTTACCCGTGAAACGATTCAAAACAGTTTGCTATTCCTTCCGATGTGGTAGAAAAACCTGTTCACATTTTTGATGACGAACCACAATAGTTTTGAATATAATTTCCAAGCACATTATCAAAAAATGCATAGAGTTTTTCATCTATACTTATTTTATAATATTATATTTATAACACGAGAATTTTCCCAGCACATTTCCACATTCCCAGGCATCATAAACCTTAAAAATATGATAAGATAACAAATTTATACAAATGGGAACCAATTCGAACAGTTGAATGACGATAAGTAATTTTTATCGAGAACCTGTACACTTTATTTGACCCGGGAACCAATTTCGTTTTACCCTGGTAGGTTACCTAAATAATCAAACATAGAGTCAAAATATATGTATATTTTTAAATAAAAAGAGCTGATACTGCTGATGGGTGTGCCACTGTTACAGGTAGAATGTTCGAAAGATACGGTATATAAAGTTATTTAATTTGTATCTTTAACCAACGATAAACCATTACTAACGAAATACGATTCTGAGCGAAGTTCGACTACATATGTTTTAAAAGGTAATTTTTACGATTTTCGTCAAAATTTGATCTTACAACTTCTATAAAAAAAAACTATTATATTACGCTCAACTTTTTTTTGACCACGTAGTTCAATTTATAATGAACTTAGTGTTAAATAACATTTCCGTTTAGTCAAATAATTTTATCCACATAGTAGCTACTCGAAAAAAACTCGAAAATGTAAACTGCCTAAAAGGCTATAAAAAGCTCAAAAATCGTCAAGATCTTTTGAACTACTTAAGACCAAGTCTAAAAATGGCCAATACAAGTATTCTGTGATAATGCTAGGTTTTCACGATCATTTTCAACCGAATAACAACAACAAAAAACCAAATTGAAAATAATGAAATCGTTATTTCAGTAAACTTTACTATTTTTCCTACAGTTTTTCCTAATTATTATGAAAACTTTTCGGAACATCAAAAAAATGTCCCGTTTGATCTGCCAACTATAGATTCAAAATCTAACGAAAAAAGCCTCTAGGCATTTTTCAACTGTAGCAAGTTTTTCGGTGTAGAAAAGTTGTTTACAGTTAAAAAAAAAAAAAAAATAATTGTATACAAGGTAAAACGAATACCTACATTCTTCGCTACGCTTAGGGCTGGTATTTCAATGTATACTTAAGTTTAGGCTTAAGGCTAAGTAAAGCTTGACTACAGTTTTTTGTATTTCAATTGAAGTTCAAAAGATAAGTTCTACTATTCGGCTTATCTTAAGGAATGCTCAGGTATGGTTTAAGCCTTGGTTGGTTGGTTTATCTATGAATTTTAAAATTATTATCAGTATTGTCATTATTATTATTATCAAGTTTCATTTTTCAAATAAACATTATTGACTGCAGTAATAAGTTTTTATATTGTATATCTTGTGTTTTCTATCTAAAATATCTAGTATCTATACAAAAATGGACACTTCAAGTTCTAATGACGATGAAGATGTAATTTGATTTGTGTGTCGACTTGGTCAGGAAAGAAAACCTCGGATTCGTCGAAACCAAACTGATCATTTTCTCGAGTGTGATGAAAATGAGTTTTATAATCGTTTTCGTTTGAGTAAACGATGTGTCAATATTTTATTTGAATTAATCGACTTCAAAATTCAATCTCAAACTAATTTATGAAAGCATAAAGTATATATATTAGTATACCTAATTATTTTAGTAATAGATTAGCCTAACTAGCCTAACCTAGTGGTTTTAGTATGTTTGGAAATAATGAGGTAACATCAACACAAATGGTTTTATTAACAATTCGGTTTCAGGTTTTGTCAACTGTCATAACAAAAATATATACAAATATAAACTGTTAAAATTAAATTTCATTGTTAGTCGTAATAATATATACCTACTAGATAATTAACCTTCTTACTTTAGTTTAATAATTTAAAATATAAATATAAATTATTTTATCGGTACGCAAAAATATATAACAATAATAAATTAGAGTGTGTATAATGAAGTCATAAAATAAATTAAGAATAATATACGCAATGTCTATATAAGTTTCAAATTATCATAATTATTGATAAAATTTTCTTTATCGTTCCTGCGCAGAATCGCTTAATTAATTGTACATTTACATAAATACCTTAAGATAAAAATGTAAAAAAAAAAAAAACTTTAAGAAATTTCAATAAATATCCTCCAACAACTATAACTAAATAGATCCAATAAAATTCTATAAGAAAGTACCTATGAAGTTTTTGTGGTTGAAACAAGAATAAAAATGACATCATCATCATTGTAAAATATTAAATTCTTTATTAAAGGATATGATCATTAGAAAATATACTATAAATGGTGTTTGAAAGTTGCAAATAAAATAACCTAGTATAATATAAAAAACAAATAAAATACTTCACTGATTTGGACATTTTTAACTAATTTAAATATAGGTAATGAACACATTGTCGAACGCGTTGCAGAAATACTCGCGCTGAATTTATCCCTTAGCAACACGCACTTTTCAATTGTATATCTGTGTGCATGAGTGTCTTCATGTTCAAAAATGAAACTTATGAAGCACGAATTTTTCGATACGAATTTATTCACTGTTGAAATTTAAAATTATATTTATGATCCTGAAAATTCAATATTATACGATTTGATTTTAAATTTGATAGATACCTATAAAATAATGATTTTTTAATGTATCTCTATTCCCTGTAAGTACATATATATCTGTATTTTAATCTATTGTGTATCCAACATAAAAGAGTTGTCAATATTGCACAATGTCCAGCCTAAATTTAAAAATGTTGAAAATACTTTTTTGATTTAAATTAACTAGTCAAAATATAAAATAGATAATAATAAATATACTATTTTAGATTCTGAGATTCTGTGAGAAAAAGCTTATGGTTTTATATATTTATATATTTTTTCTGTGAACAACTTTTCTACCAGAAAGCTTACTCTAATGTATATGATGTAGACACTTATCTGAAAGAAAATTTTCTTGGAGTGGTACTTTATGGAGGTCATTTTTCCATTTTTTGAGAAGTTTTGTCATCAAATATGAAAAAACCGAAAAAAAACTGAGGATAAACGGGAAAATACACGAAATGTATTAGTAAAATATTACGGTATTTTTTTCTGTGGACAACTTTTCGACTAAAAATGTTGCTCTGATTTTTAATGAAATCACTTTTTTTAGAAGGAAATCTGACTGAGGAGGTACTTTTAGGTCATTTTTTGATTTTCCCAATAAATGGAAAAAACGGGAAAATATAGGTAGGTACAATATTAAACAAATATTATTAAAGAAAATATATAGGTAATGTCTATTTAATTGTTTTACCATAATATGACATATTCATATTGTTGAAAAAGCAACACTATTAATTGAATTCCGCTAAGAATAGTTTTTTTGTCAGCAAAATGATTTATCGTTGCTTACAGGTATACATTAAATTCACTTTTGTATCTTACCTTCCCAACTTCCCACCTACAACAGTGGCTGCACCCACGTGAGAAGTATGTTTTTATTTATTGAGATCGTGATTTTCTCTCATTCATATCAACAATGAATATTATAAAGTAGATAATTCCTAACGACAAATTAATGTAACAACAAATTTATTACTTCACAAGTTTGTGAAATATTTCATAAGAACAGTGCATGATTCAACATAAAATATTTCAAACTTTAAATATTATTATTTATAACAATATTATTTCAATTATTCCTTTCAGGTGTACGACGAGAGTGTAGAATATGTAATGGAGTCAGCAGTAAGACCGATTTCCGAATGGATGGATGCAAAGTTTTTAGTGCCTGTGAACAGTTACATCGACATTTATCTCCCGGAATTGGACCAGGAACTGCGGAAAAATGGTAAGTTATTGTTTTTTTTATGCTACATTAATCTTAAATTTTAACCATGATAGGGGAATAACAACCAACAATATAGCAAATATAAAAACAAAAGAATTCAGTTAATAATTCTCGCAGAATAGTGTTTCTATATCAATATTCACCTAACGTGGTTAACTTTACCGTTAGACGTTTGTCGGAAAGGTTAAAAATAATAATATCGTATACATCACATTCCTTTACTACTTACAAGTTTATTAATTCATGATTAAATATACAATATTTTAATTTTTTTCAAATTTGATAAGCCGTGCACGTACGTAGTGTACCTATACAAAGTGTTAAGTATGACTAAAAAAAAAAATATGCATAATAATTTATATTTATTATTATATTCAATGTAGTTAAGATGTCCAGTTTTTGTATTTTAACTTTCATTCCCTCTCTCTTCCTCCTCTCAAAAAAACAACTTAATAATAATTCATTTGTAGCACAGGGTTATAATAATAATAATAATAAAATGAAACCTTAAAATATTGAATACAACTAAACACAAAAGTTATACTGAGTATATTTCGTTAAAAGTCACACTGTGAAACTCACTGCGTCATAACTAGTAATGAGTATAATGACTATAATATTTAACAGTGATTATAATGATGGATGTGCGCGTTATTTATTTTTAAAAAATACGCTATTTCGTTTTTCACGTTCAAGTAAAAACGTGACTACCTATATCTATACCAGTGACACAACTAGGATTTATTTCCAGAGGGCGGAGAAGATATGAATTTCAAAAATATTGTAACTGCTGCCTACTGTTGCAGGTGGGTAGTTGGAAAGTTATAGGATATACGGGGTAATTTAGTTTATTTATAATGTATGAAAAATAAATCATCGATTTTTTTCGATCACATTTTTCAAAAATTTCACGCTTGTGAACATGCAACGGTAACGTTGCATTGAATTTGGGTTGGTAGATCGTACGCAATCGTAATAGTGAAAAAGGGTCCGCACACAATCGTATCGTACGCAATCGTAACGCATCCATTGTGTTATGTTTGTTGAATTAAATTTCTAACCTAGAATACCTATAGGTTATAAACCTAGATAGTCAACTAACGACTAACGTAGTATAGATGAAAAAAAAAAAATCGATAATTCACAAAATGTGTGTTTGTCTCTACCTATATATATATGCAATGATGTGGTTGTTGATGTATAAATAGGTTTAGAGAACGTTGAAAACGAGGAGGGTTCGAGAACGTATCAATTGGCCGCGAAACTCGCTTGTCGCGTCAAACAACACGCCTACGCCGAGCCGAAATATTTGGAAAGCTTAATGTACACCGGATACGAAGAGACCATCTCGTTAATGAAAACTGTGAGTATCTTCCTTACCTAACCTACATTGACGACATGTCGCAAGTCACTGCAGCGATACACTACGATTTGGATATACGTTCGCGCGTATTCCATTTCATTACTTTGTCCTCGAAATTAAAATCACGACTATTAAACCGATATATTATCGTAAAACGACTCTAAGTACATAGTATTCAATATGACGGTCAACATCTAATTTTTTTTTCTTCTAATTTTATTCGCAGATTTATAGGCGATGATACATTTTCTAAGTTCGAAATTTGAAAATAATCAACAGCAACAGTTCGTGCACTTAATTATTCGAAAACACATTTTTTTTTTTTTTTAATCAACTACCTATCTATAGTTACTATTCAAAATGAATATCATTTCATGTTCTTATACAAATTTCAAGTTTCCTTCGTTTTCTATATTATAAATAGGTATAAATGATATTATTTCATATATAATATATATGTTAGTAAATAAATTCGATTTAAAAACAAATTGCAAACGGAATATTCCGTTTGATTTAAGGTGTTTGGGTTTTTTTCCAGATTCTAAAACGCTAAGTATCACAATCGTTTTTAAATGCATGTGAACTCGCAGTCAGTATTATAATTTATTAAATTAAAATGGTTAAAATATTATAATAATTAAAAATACTCACTATATCTACAACACTGTTGGTGTAATAGTTTTTATAAAATACCTATTGAACGCCGTAAAATGTTCTATTGTGACGATTTGTTCTTCTGCAGGTGGTTTCCGATCCAAAATCATTGCCAGACACGGTTCATCAGATTGTGAAGAACCTAAATAACATTGGTACACGACCCGACGGCCAATCGTTGTTGTTGGTGGAAATGGGTTTTGTAAGACTTAGAAATTGTGCGTCTATTCTGGCCCAGGTGATCGAAATCATCGAAAAAATGATCAAATGTTATATCGAATTGATTGCAAGATATAAGAATGAATTGAAGTCACATACTGTCAGTATATATATATAAAAACCTATTATATTATATTATTATTATAAAATAGTCGAGTAAACTTCCGCCATTGATACATCAATAATTTAAATATTTTCCTGAAACCATTGTTTTTATTTTATATAATTACAGAGCTATATGAATATATTTTCGTCGAAAAATAACACAGATAATGAACACGAGACAGTACGCTGAACACGAAAAACCTGTTACAATAATAAGGTTCCGAAAATCCGAAGCAAATTTGAAAACTTTATTCAAATCCTTACGAATTAAAACATTTTTAGTTTTAAAAATACATTTATAAACTCTATTATAAGTGTTTTAGTTTTTTTATAATTATTTACATCTATTTAAATCGCGTTCCATGTTTGTAATACTTACTATTTTTGAATTTTAAACTATAATTATATACATTTAAGTATATGCAACAGTTATCATTTATAATATACAATTTTATTTTCACATTCAATTTGAATTAATTATACGTTTTAAGAATATAATATAATTTTTAAATTTACATTTACCCATAATATGCCGTATACTGTATACGATTTAGCGTGTGGATTTTCACTGTTTTCTCACAGTCATTAAAAACTTATATATTTCGGAATTATCATTGTTTCGTATTATGGGTACCCGCGGCGGCTGTAGATATAGGTTTAATGTATATACATATCCACCTATTTTTTTTTTCACACGTTCATTTTATTTTGCATGCGTTATCTTTTATCCTACATAATATACCGCTGTGCTTTCCAATTATTACATTAATTAAAAAAAATAAATATATATATATATATATATTTTTTTTTTTAAATTTATAATGTATTTAAATTATACCTACCTACGATCATAATATTAAATATCATATAGATGTTAACATGATGTGCGTATGCACGATAAAAATCGTTATATGAGGAAGTAGAGTTTCAAAAACGCCACGTAAAACTATTTCGTATATGTGGTGGCGACATGGTAGGTAAAGTAAGTCTCTTCCCAATTTTTGTTCCAATAAAACGCATGCACCATTTAAACGCCCTGTATTTGAAGCTGTGGTATCACAGCATATAGCTTGAACAACATTTGTTACGCCCCAATTTTCTAATGCATAAAAAATAGCATTAGCTTGTTATTTTCCTGTTGATTTTTCCAATTTTGGGATACCAATAAGCAAATCTTGATTCTTACTGGGTAAAACAATTGGTAATCTATCAATGCCCGAGTCTCTGACATTTAACGTCGGAAGTATTTTTATTTTNATTTAATTAAAAATTAACATTAGAATTTGGAGCAAATAGTATTTTCTTACATAAAAGTCAATATATCATGTAAATTATAATAAATAAGAAGAAATATATAAGAACATAATTTATTCAAAATGTTATTTTATTCAAAAAATATAAAATAAAAAATTACAATTTTCCCAATTTTAAATGAGATATACATAAGAATGTAAAATATGACATAAAATGACGAATATATTAATATACTCAAATTTCAAATTTGAGTCGGCACGGGTTAACCTTAATAGATTGACTTGAAACTTTTTGTAGTTAATTTTTTTATGCATATACACAAATTTAGGGGGTGAGACTACAGAAATATTAAAATTAATAAATAAGGGACACCCTAGTCTACGTATTTTACACGTTGGGTTGTAGAGTATTACAAGCGAGCCCGGATTAAGACATTTAGAGGACTTGGTGCCAAATTTTTCAATGAGGCTCTCACAGAATTATAAAAAACAATTTTTAAAAATCTATTACTCGAAACTGTTCTAATGAAATAAATACGTTTTAATCTAGTTGTTTTCACTAAAGGCCATCAGCGAAAAGATATTAAAAGTTATCAAATGCCAATAAATCCAAAATTAATTGTTCAATGTATAGATAAATAACATAATATACCGCGGGAAAAACTCAGGCCCCTAGAGTCTTGTGATCCGACGGCTATTGTCCCTCCTGGACCACCTTTTAATCCGAGCTAGCTTATGAATAACCACACTCATCTCAGTATTATACTGTATTTGCCTTATTAAATTATTTTTTTCGTTCCATACATATAAAATGTCTGAAGTAGGTGTTAATGTAATAATACAGCAGCTGTATAAATCTACAATTCTGGATATTATTTTATCAGCTATTATAAATGTTTATTAATTAGGTATCTGAATTTTTTTTTTTACAATAGATAATAGTGTACGACAAGTGTTATGCCGTCATCCATAGGAAACCACGAACAGAATTATCAAAAATTTAAGCACAACACAAATGTTTGTCGGTAAACTTATTTTTAATACATAAAATATATATATATTTGTTTATTTATCGTAAAAATATTCCATTCATTAAGCATTTCGTGCTAAAAACGTACGTGTACAAACTGACAATAATAATACAATAATATTTACCTCGTCGTATATTTATTTTTTATTTAACAAACAATATAATAACGGTAGGTGTACGTACATGTATATATTATAATAAGGATAGATTTCGCGAAACAAATATATTATATATATTTATCGTAACAACAAAATGGATTTATGTATTTATATATTATATATACATATAGGTAAAGATATACATCTTACACGATAGGTATAGGTACTTACGTTAAAGTTTTATCGTTAATAATCGCTCGGATGAAAATAAAACGACGCATACATTTCGGAGTATGGAGAGTTGAAATTGTTGTATTTAAAATTGTCGACTTGTAATATTAAATAAATAATAAAGAAAAAAAAAAACAAAAAAAAACGCTCGCTTGTTATAATATTAATTAGGCACTTATGTGTTTGTTTCATTGGCGCGCATCGTAACATATATTATAATAGACATTTAAAAAAATATACCTTTAAAAGTAATGTGTTTCGCCAATCTACCCGTAATTATTAAACACACCGATCGTTATGTAAGGAACATTTTTGTTTTACAAGAATATAAAATGAAAAAAAAAATAGTATTTAATGTATAATTTATTATAATAATTATAGTACATATTATTATGTACTGTATATGTGTAATGTGTGTGTGTGTACATGATGTATAAAATATAAATATGAACATTTCAACAACGGTATAGATTAATAAAAAAAATAAATGGTACTTTGTTGATAAATCGATAGTGGAGAGCGTTAATATCCTTAAATAAAGTTTAGTTAAAAAGCTCGTTTCCAGTCTCCCTTTAGGCAAAAAAAAAAAAAAAAAAATTAACGCGCGTCAATAAAATATATATATAATATATAGAAATCTATAATAATTCATTATTGTTTTTTTTTTCCTAAGAGGAAATCTTTTGAAAGAAGAAATTGTAGATTTTTGCAGCAAATTTACACGTGAAATTCCGATTGAACTAATGAAAAATAAAAATTAAAAAAATGTATCTATACATATTATAGAGTTAGGTATATCATATTTATATGCGTAAAATTCATTAGACTAAATCGCCGTGATCTATCGAAATATTGAATATTATGTAGAATAGAATATTATTATCTCTAATAGTGATACTGATTGACTAGTGTTTTATTTTTTAACAATAATTATAATAATAATAATAATAGTAATTGTGTATAATGTTATTATTCGATTAATAATTAATGATAATAATTACAGAGACGAAATGTACAATAATAATTTATAATAGGTATTACATTAACAGTGAACATTAAAAAAACAAAAAAAAAACTATAACCAAAAACAATACTTATATAGTTAAAATGTAAATATCCTTTGGCATTATAATAAAATAATTGTATTTTACTACATATTATAGAGAGTTGAGTGAGGATCCAAGAACAATATAAATATAGGTAGATATTATATTATAGAGGAGGAGGAGGAGGGGAAGGCGAGGATTAAATAAAATGAAGGGATCAAATACTGCGTTGGACATAGTTGCCGGGAAAAGTGCCGAAGCATCCTGTCCGCTTACTGGATCCCACATACCATCCGTCGTCGCATTTCTCCATGACGAACACTACGTCACCTTCTCTAAGTTCCAATTCGTCACTGTTCTGTGGCTTATAATTGTATAACGCCCTATAACTGTTTCAACAATTCGTGTGATAAATCGATCATTTTTTTGTTGGTTATTGTTTAAAACTATGCATATTTAAAAACAAAGAACTACAAGTATCTAAGTATAAACGGCTGTAACACGTTCGGGTAAATTGACCCAAAATTCAACATATTGGTTCGCAAATAAATACAAACTTTGGATGCACACTATACTTCTTGAAAAATAACATGCCAGTACGAAAACCGTACGGTGCTTACTGTGCCAAATCTTATACTGCTCCAGAGAAATTATAGTATCCCAAGTGAAAACCTAAAACTATAGACGATGGAAAACCACGACGAGTTTAGATTAAGCAGGAAGGATTTGGTTTTTTTAATAAAAAAAAAATGGGGTGAGCATGCTTAGTGAATAGACTGGACGAGAGGGACCAAATTTACACTTCGAGGATAGCTTATTGAAATAGGTACTTGGTTTATATACCTTCTTAATATTGTAGTATTATTCTGTATTATTGTAAAAAATTTTGAATAACGATAATATGAAGACTAGAACTGAACTAGAACTTCTATAGTCTTGTTGAATGATAAAATTTTGTATTGTTATCAGTTTATTTTCACCCACCGGAAGGCGTTTTTATGATTGTGAATGTTCCGTCTAGACGTATAGTACGAAAGTATCAAGAGATAATCAGTTGAGGGTTGTATAAATATCAACATTTATCCAAACGCACAGCTCAAGAAACTTGTGTTTATTTGTGATTTTTATACTTGTAACCTATTATTTAATTTAAAAACAAAAACAAAAAAAAAAAAAACCATTTCATAAATCAATATCAAAGCAAAACGACAAGCCTGCATGTTCGAAAGTTGTGCAAGTATGTACATAGTTAAAATATTTGATTATAATTCGATAATATGTTTCGATATGTAGGTATATATAACAAATTTAGTAGGTACCTACTTAATCATGTCACTGAGTGGCACCTCCATGACTTGTTATACGAGTATACTTATTATAGACGTTGTATTTAATGTGCATTATAGTTTTATTATTATCAATAAAAACAATAAATTTATTTATTTTTTATTTTTCGTAGGGTCATTTTTCATCGTTAACGGTTACGCCTATTTTTAATTTAATACTATCGTGGAGCGAAAGAAGTTTTATTTTGAAATTAGTAATTATAATTAAACGAATAAGTAAGTGTAACACCTAACAAACTTGTGTATTATATTACGTACATTTAAAAATTCACTTACGGCATAGGTTCAGAATGTACGTCGACGTGTAGTGTTTCGTTCATTTCGTTATTCGTCGTTTGTTTCTTGTTGGTCTGTGATCCGGAATTTCTGGTCGGCTACAATATTAATATCATCGACAATAAGTTTCCCTAACTTCATAAAGTAAATCAAGTTTTTTTTTGTTTAGACGATTTGATGATACCATAGAGGAATTATAGCTATCCGGTTGATACATGTGCTGCGTCTTCGGCGGATTACTGGTAATGAGAGAATGCGATGCCGGGGAAGCTACGGGCTTGAAAGACGTATTGATTGATGAATCTATAACACAAAAGTTGAAAAATTGTCACGTTTAAAATTTAATTTTTTTTTTTCTTTAATATATTATAACAAAAACATAAATAATAATTACTCGGAGCGTCGCCTGGTTCTACTAAGACCGTGACGTAAGATACAGGGAATATTCCTTTTCTACTGCCGATTCTACCTTCGTACCAATTGTTGTCGACCCGCCTAGTTAGAACAACCAGTTCCCCTGAAGATGAGAAAAAGCAGACCAAAGATATGTAGGTAACTGTTTTATACGCGCGCGTGCATATTTGTCTTCTCGAAAAAATGTAAAAAATGCGTTTAATCACAAAAAGCGGTTTACACAAAGACCTATTTGTACAGTGTTTACCAAATGAACATGACATATTTTTTCATTAAAACTAATTCGTTCGAAAATGTATGTTTCTTTTTCTTTTATACCTTTGACCAACGATAATTCCATATTGGTCTGCGCTACAAAATTGAATTTCGCTCTTGCTTGACCCTCGTAAGGTCGGTGCGGTGTTGTTCTGATGCCATCGTACGGAATTACCTGGCAAAAATAAATAAACAAAAAAAAAAAAAAAAAAAAAACGTTACACTCTTGTGGGTTTTGATTGCGTGTGCGTTTTATGGACCGGAAAAATAAAAAATTGTTGAATAAAATGCAATGCATAGGTACCTACCTCGACATAGTTGAAAGGAAACAATCCGACCATGGCGTTGTGCTCCCCCTCGTACCAATTTTTGTCGATCTGTTTCCGGACGAATATGATGTCACCTTTCCGGAACGACAGTTCTCTATACACAAGTTCAACAAAAATATCAAAATACAAATACCTACGCTATAATTATTTTTACGCTGCAGTTTTACCATTTTTATGGTTGGAAAAAGTAATATGTAACTACGTTTTATGTTTTATTACCTGGACGTTTGACCGACAAAATTGTATAATGCTCTCGCTACGAGTTTTGGTTCTGGCGTTCGACTTCTTGGCGGCTGAGGGCTATCGTCTAAAAAGTCGTCGTAACGATTCAAAGGAATAGGAGATTTTTGAGAAGGCCTATAAAAAACATTGAATTATTTTTTGAACATTTTACTAAAATGACTAAATCATGACTAACAATAAGTTGTCCGCGTGTCTTCTGTTCGACATGTCTTGAAGTTCTTGAAGGTACTTTCTCCTTCTTTCTTCTTGGTAAATCCTTCTCATCGCTTCCGCCTGTTTGTTAGCCAGGTCTTCTTCTGACCATTCTTCTTTAATTTCATTCCGAACCGGACGTCGGTATTGTAGCGTGACTTCTGATTCTGTGTATTTGTGCGGTGAATCTATAAAATGCGTTTTATTTTTAAACATAAACACGTTAGTTTATTTCGTTACATTATTTATATCGTACTTTATACTTTAATACAGTAATGGATAATATTAAGTAGATATATTCGAGAGACTTTAAAAAAAAATAAAACTAAATTATGCTCGAGTATCTATCAAATCTCAACTAATTACATTACATCCAATGTTCAACATAAATTCTCGAAATACTTTCAAGTGTTCTCGAGTCGGAAAGCAAGAAACTGTTATTGTAACTATCGAAAACCGAGAAGTTTTTTGCAGAGAAAAAAGTTTTTAAATTTTGCGCTATTATCCGCTGTAGAACGCGATTGGAACTCGGACAGGAAATCGCGTAACCGACTCTAGTAGATTTTCCGAGCACTATTCACGGTTCGTAAATCGATATAGGTACACCCCTACAATAGTTTTTAACGAAGCCGTAAAACGCAGCATGGATATTTTATTATAGGAAAGTCGGCTGTTGTGAATAGTCCCCTAGTGCAGTAATAACGCGCCGTCAGTTAAAATTAGGAATTGAACACCATATAGGAAACGACGAATATGCCTAATATATAATATGGATATGGATATAGTGATAGTATAATATAGGTATATAGCGACACCGAACAACAATGAAAAGAATGACGACAAAATCAACAATAACGACGAACACAATGAATTGCGCGCGGTAAGTTTCATTCTTTGCTTCCCTTCACTCGCCAACCCTAACGTCGCGTTTACCGCCGGCACAACAGTAATTTACTACTATTATTCCTACCTATCTGTGTAATATTATTGTCGACAAATATCATGTGTACCGTCGGTTTCGATAAAACCTAAACGTGAAAAAGTAAAATGTCTTTTGGTAGTAGGATATTCGTCGCGTGGCACACGGAGGTTTAGGTATTTCGTTGCACTTTTTTTTCCAGCCGTATACGAGTATACGATAGATACTATACAGATATACGAGACGCAGCGGCGCAGTATAATATAATACCGAGTAGAAGACCTTCAGTCTAGAAAATATTCGAACACGTGCTATTTATTATTAGTGAATGGAGGAAGATCAATGTAACACGGGTCGTTAAACACGTCCAAACGGCGATATAATTATCGGTTTCTCTTCGTTTGACAATAGATTCTAGCATAGTGAAACATGTTCCGTACATATATTTTTTTTTTATACGCGTGAAAGCTTCGCGACTAGAGAAAAAATGTAAAAAAAAAAAAAAAAAAACAAAAATTATTTTTACTTGTTTTCCGCGATACGTTTCTCGGGAAATTGTTTAGTAAAATATTATAAAAATAGACACGCGCGCGCACGATTTCGGGGCGTCGAAAAAAAATAACAGATGCCGCGATACACAATATTATAATAAGTGATATTATGTTGGGCACCGAGGGCGGCTTGTAAAATATATTAGGCAATAAGACATTATTATTATACGATCGTGATTGACGTGCTTGCGTCACTTGATTTATTACAAAGTATTGGTTTACTATGTATATAGATGGATAGATTTTTATTATTATTATTATTATTTTTTTTTTTTTTTATGAATAATTGTGAATTATGATAGGTATAAAACATTGGTAAAAAAAAACACGATTGCACACATTAAATAATTGGATAATTATTATTGTTATTATTATGCAAGTTTGCGAGATTATGCGTCTTATCGTTCGACTCCTGTAGTAGGCACCTATAACTTTCTCTATTTGTCAGGTAAAGAATTTACATATTATCGTTATGGAGTAAATTGAAAGCGATTCGTTCGTATATTGGAAATCCATAAAAATCGGCTGTCATTATGTAGAACGCGATTTCTTTCGTACACGTAAACGTATAATAATATTATACCGGTAACGGCGGGTAGGTAAACAATGTAAACATTTAAAATTATATTTACTATGCATTGTAACAATATTATTATTATTATTGTTATAAAACGGAGAAAATTGTTCGGGGAAAAAAAAAAATGCAAATATGCGTGTGACGGTTAAGAAAGTTTCGTATTTCAAATTGCAGCCGAACATCATAATAACAACAATGACAAAAAAAATAATAATAATAATAACGACGATAGTGTACGTACGTAGCGTTCAATATACGCTAAATGCGCGTACGTACCTACGCAACACACACACACGGAAGAACAATTACAAAACAAACCGAAACCCGCGGTTGAGGTAAACGGAATTCGTGAAACGTTCGCCGAAAAACACTGATAACTCGATCGATTTCACGGGGCATGCGCATTGTACACACGCACATACGAAATATATTGTAAGTAAATACGGTTTTCGGGGCTCAGCTGCAACGACCGCCGCGGTACGCGTTTATAAGAGCTGCTGGTCGGTCGTTTCTCCTTTGATCGACCAGCTGCTACTATACTGATTAAACAACACCACGCTTTTTCCATTATTCACATATTATCGTGGTCATTGACAACAATTTACTATATACCGCGTGCACGCACTTAACGTACCGGGCCGCCGCTTGAGTGTGTGTGTGTGTGTGTGTATAAAATATAAAACACGTTTCTGTAAGCGACGAGGCTCGTAAAAAAAAAGTATTATAGACCTACAGGTTTTTTTGTTTTTATTTTTTTTTACGAGGCAATTGTTATTTATTTCCCGTTGGGACCCCCTATATATATATATATATATATATATATATACGTACGTGCGCGCCCGGTTCGGATACCAATTTTTACGATAGACAGGGTCGTTTGAAACAGAAACAAACAATAAAGAGCTGTATAAGGGTAGTGTGTATAACGTACGATATAACGCGGTGTACGTTGAAAGTGCGGCGTTATAATAATCTAATTTAATATCGGTGGCGGCGCCCGAATGTGACCTTAAGACGGGAATGGGGTTGGTGATAGAGAACGAGGACGAGGGGCGGGGAGCGAAGGGGCGAAAGGGTATTGTATGTGCGTGTGTGTGTACATGTATATTATAGTAGTGTGGTATATACAGCTGGAGTTTATTATTATTATTTTTTTTTTTTTACGTGGGCGGAACAAAACCGTTTGACCTATAACGTCCTCGAGCTTGTTTTCTATCTGGAAACAATATAATATTAAAATATGAGTTTACCAGACGCGCGTTTAAAACATATTACGTACACAGGTAGGTTAACATGCTGCGGTCAAACCGTTCACGATAATTCACGATTTTGAATGGTACCTAGTATTAAAATATATTTCATGTACGCGCGGAGTATAACACCGAGATGGTTTATAACTGTTGTGATATTATTTTACATTACAATATTATATATTTATACACATATACACAAACCATTAGTCGGTATTATACTATTATGTTAGTACAAGACAAGTATAAATGTTAGATCACTGCTCGGACGGGAGGGGGGGGAGGACCTTACTGCAGCGAGATTAGATCTCATATTCTTTAAAACCAAAACGAGAAGTTATATCTATAGAAGACGGAATAAACCGTGGACAAAAATTATTTCGCTCAAGGTAACATTATCCTTTTTTTTCTTCTTTTAATATACCATCAACGTGTATAAATATTATGTTATCGTTTCTATAGCGGAATATTGTGATGTCATAGACTTTGAATTTGAAATATGCACACGACAGTATCAAACACGTAAATGAATCCAAATTGCCCGTTCAAGATACCATACTATTGCATTTTAATGTCGAACGAACCCGAATAAGTTATTAAACAAATAAGCGTTTAATAGAATTACGCGTGTTATTTTAATGTAGGTACCTTTATGCAATATGTATAGTGCACGGTGGTAAGACGTACGCATAGTACACGTCATATGAAAAAAAAAAAAAATCAAATCATAATTATAATATATTAACACCTATTTTTCTCAACCAAAACCGCGTGTAATAATTCAATATAACCAGATAAAGCGAGTAAAATATATCAAATACTATTAATACGTTGAATAAACTTTTATTTATTTCTGTGTACCTAGGTAATAATTAATATAATTATTTCAGTTTTTTTTTCGCGAACGATTTAATTACATTGAAAAAACATTAATTTCTCGCACTGGATTTCGTTAATCCTTTTGCGTATATTAAAATCTAAAAGTATACTAATATACTGTATGTTCAATAGGCAAAACGAATTAAAAATAAATATTTAAAATCGATTTTACTTTCGCGAATACTTTGATCCTTTGAATGAAATCGACGAATATAATTTATTGGTAGCATGCCGTACGTGCACTACTAGCGGTTATCTAAATTTATAATACTTAAAATGCATAGATGATCATTATAATGTATTGGCTAATATGCGCGTAAACACGGTTTTACTATTTTGTTATTCGAGGATGAAAAATGCGGATTCTTTAAAATTAGATTAGATCGATAAAACGGAAGCATGCTTAAACGATATACGAGTATTAATAAAAATTATTACATTAGACATGTTATATTACAAAACTGCACATGAAGTATAATTTATTATTATTTTTTTTTTTTAAATTAACATCGATCTCTTCATTTTTTGATCAATTTTCGAGTTTTGACTTATTGTACACGCGGAAGCGTGTAATTCGAATTTTGAAATGTCTACTAAAGCGCTTTTAGTTTTTGTTTTGTTATTTCTTTTCAATGTGTGAATTATAATAACACTAAACCAATTTTTAAAAAAACCCACACATTTCGTACGGCTGTATTTGTAATATTGTGCTTTTTTATTGTTATTACAAACATTTACAGTTTATTCAAATAATATTCGGTAAATAAGTTTTAAAAAAATTTCGATCGTTTCGCGAACAGAATATTTTACTAAAGGAACATCCATTATATTACAGTATAACATCTTAGACGCTATGACAAATATACTTAATAATGATTTCATCTGCGTACGTTATTATTATGAGCACCTTGCATTGGCCTCTGCATTCTACAATAATTATTTAAGCTCTGTCCTCGCTACGCGTGCGTTTAAACCGAAACTTTCAGCTCATTTACAGCTATATTCATCTGTGTCAATTAGCTTCATTACCCACAAAGGGCACTGAAACAGTAGGCACTATACTTACAGTCTCCATTGACAACGATCCTTCTCAGACTCACTGTTCTAGCCGGCAACAAAAGCGGTTTTTTCATGTCATCGCCGGCCATAACACTCAGTACACTGACTTAAAATACAATATTATAATACGCGAGTACTATGTCGAAGTAGGTAAAAATAATACACTATATACGCTCGAATCGACCAACCCATGACCCAACACAAACGACATGGTCCGAAGCCGAGTACCATAGATACACTACCGCACATGTTCGGCGGCAAAACAAGCGGAATGGGATTGAGCTACAGGCGATTGCAGCGCTCTCGTCGGGTGGCGACTAGCGGGTTTCGTTTTTTTTTTTTTTTTTTTTTTTGTAATTCGTATAATATTGTTATTACGATCGGGATCAATAACGTGGAAGAATGTCACAGCAATAATGTATGCGCTCGCCCGTACCTGGTGGATAATATATAGGAAATTCGGGTGTATAAAATCCTATCGGGATTCGTTGCGGATAGCCTTGACCCTCGCCAAGGTTAATTCGTATTATACCTGCGCGTTGGCGGTGCTTCTTTTTTTTAATTTTTATTTTTGTGCTTTAAACCAGAAGTAAACGTAGGTAGACAGGCATTTTATCACTTTCGGTTTCCTTATAGAAGTTCGTTTGATTCATTAATTCGTCGCGTGTAACACGAATATTGATGAGCGCCTGGGCAAAATTCATTACGAAACTCCGCATTTCGACATACTATTTCGTAAGTGTAATTTAAATTTACGGTCGAGTAACAAAAGTTGTGTACATCATCGGTTTAACTCTTTAAAATCGAAAATACCGGGGTGGGGTTATTTATAAAATACTCGTATACATACCTATTATTGTAAAAGATTTGGGTGGTCTGTACTCTATATAATATACTATAAATAATAAAATCGGCGAGTGCTCATTTTTAGGGGCTCTTACTGTTTAGGAGTGTTACCGTATAAAATTAATATTGTTTTTTCCCATAAAATAAATTAACCGAATTGAATTCAAAGAATACAATAGTGAAATTAATTTTGTACCACCGGTGTATATACATAACATTACAATGGAATTTAATAAACACCATAGTTTTCACGAGGCCCCGATGTATTTACAAAATGTTCATTTATGCTTTATTAGATTATTAATTAGTTAATGTATTATATGCGTATATTAGGGTGGACCAAAAATAATTATTTTTTTTTTTTCACAGGCGTGTCTTTATATTTTATTTGTACAAGTGTGACAATACCGTCGAATCTTATTTTACAAAAAATAAAAAAAATGGTCCAGTTCGCGAGCAGCGGTTTAAGGCGGATAACGCAATTTATAGGAATTTTATTTATTTTTACGATTTGAATTATCGCCGAACAAAAAATGTGTATGAAGGTAAATCATCAGAATCCAATAAGGAAAAAATAAGGCCCTATAGTTGATAAGAAAATAATCAATATTGAACAAGTTATTAGCCGCGAAACTCAAAAAATTGAATAAAATAAAGAATATATATTTTCAAAAATATCTTAACATTTTGTACATTTTTATGTTACACGAATAATAACTTCATCAATTTTGATTTTATTCCTATCAACTATAGAATATTATTTGTTCCTAATTACATTCTGATGTTCTTTGTGCAACAATAATCTAAACCGTAAAAAAAATTAAATGTATATAAATTGCGTTATTTACCTAAAATATTTTGTATACTTTTTAGGTATGCTAGTTCGTGAAATAGTAATTTTTTTTCCTGTGAAATACGATTTAATGGTATTATTTTACGTATTTGTAAAAATAAAATATAAAGATATACTCACGGAAAAAAAATTTTGTTTGGTCCACTTAAATACACGTTTACTCTGTTATTGACTAATTGTATTATCATAGTAAGTTCAAAATAACCGAGATTTAAAATTTGCAGATAATTATAGACTATATAATATATTATTATGTATTATTAATAATTGGCACCTTTAAATTTAACGACCGACGGTTTCGGAGGTAAGGTCGGTTGTTGAGTCCAAACACCGTTCCAAGCGGGTGTCCACCTATACTTGGGCTTATGCGCTTCTGGATTATACGGTTGGTTTAAAAAGCCATCGTGTTTTGAATGTTTTAGAATAGATGGATGATTATGTTTTCTGTATCTCACCGGTGAAGCAGATTTGGGTCTCACTTTTGATTTGGTCGCAGACGGTTCTGGTTCGGGGTATCTATGCGCCATCCAATTACAGTCTAAAAACGGTATCATCTTCCTTGCTTCTCTCAAATCAGGAGTGGAAGTATAAAATTGCCCCAACATAAATGCTCTGTTTTTGTTCTCGAACATATTTCTAATCCTTTCCACCTCACCCTTAGTCAATTTATCTTGTAGACTAGCCAGTTTACTGATAACATTAATACGGGGCATAAGTCGATTGTCCGGCCTCAACGGACATTTAGGAACCGGACTTTTAACCCGTTCATATTTTATTTTAAGATTTTGTACGTCACCGTATTCGTGATATTTAATTATATTACCGTGGAGTTCAGGATCACTCTTATACCTTTTTATAGTATTTGATTCGAATGGAGTGTACTGCAGAAATCGAAGATCGTCAAAACTTTCAAATTTTCTGCAGAGCTTTTTTACAGCTCCATTTTTAATTATTCTTGAATATTCAAAAAAACGATCTGGCGATGGAGAAAAAACTTTTCTCATATATTCTCTTTCTCCTAAAATACATTTCATGGAAGAAAAACTTTGGGATGAGTGTAAATTTGTTTTCTTATGTGTACCGAGGTGTATAACTGTAGAAGCAGATGAGCTGGACCCACTGACATTATTTGTACCATTGGCCCAGTCGGATACCATTTTTTTCTTGTCTTCGTTGTCGGCTAAAACTAATAAATAATTTTTATCATAACTTTTTGTATTTGATTCTTCTTCGGATACATCTATTGAATAGCAAGTTCTAGGCGAAATACTTTCAGAGGCATTGTTTTTACATTTTACGGCAGCAATTGCACCTAAGGTTTCTTTTGGTGTTACTAGGCTTCCAGTATGTTTTTTCTTTTTTTTTTCTAACACTTCATTACTAATATTTTTTGAAATTTTTTTCTTTTCATTTTCACTTAAACAAACAGAACCAATTGAGTCAGCTTTTTTAAGACCTTCTTCTCTAACTTTTTTTCTATCAGGTCCCATCGAACTCGATCTTATATACAACGACGAACTTACTTCCGATCTTTTTACTCTATCGGTTACCTCGATTTCGTAATCCTTTTTAAATCTATTCGTTTCTAGAGATCTTGGTGTTCTTTCTCCTTTTAGATCAGACAATGTGCTATAAACCTCATTCAATTGCGTTTTAAGTCGATTCAATTGTTCCATTGAAAGACTGCTCCATATTCGGCAACCGATATTTGAAGGATTTTTAGAATCTGATCTTCTAGGTACAGAAGTAAAATGTTTTTCTCTGTCTTCTGATACAGGACGACCCCTTTTTGAAGAAGTTATATGTTTTAATGAATTAGCAACATCTTGAACTGAGGTCCCTCTCCAAAGTGGTCTGTATACATTAAGGTCTGGTTTACGATAAGTATCACTTCCTATAGCGTGAAATTTTCGTTTTAAATCACCGACTGAAGTTTCTTTATTTCTTAAACCACGATCTAAATTTTTTTTCCAACGTATTTCTTCGGGATCTTTTGTCTTATATAACACGTCTTTTGATTTTTGTACATCTTCAAGTTTCGCTTGAATTGATTTTATTTCAGTTTCCGCTCTTTCTTTAACACGAATAGTTTTCCATTTATCATAATCTACTAAATCTCCTCGTGTTCTAACCTTATTACCCGCTTTTTCGGCAGTTTTTTCTAACTCTCCCAACCTTTCTAAACTACAATAAAAATTATGTAGCTCTTTAAAGCGTTCTGATTTTTTACTTGAATGTCTTAGTTCCCGCACATAAGTTTGGTATTCATAATCAACAGCCGCATTTTTTACTCTCTCTATAGGTTCTTCAGCACTTTTAGATCGTTGGCATCGTCGCACACCAGTTACACTTTCAATCAATTTAACTGGCGCTTGGAAACTTTTAATACGACGAGAGGATGGTGATCGTGAAGGAGGTTCACTAGCACTTCTACCTTTTAAATAATCAACACTTTTATCGCCAAATTGATCCCATTCGGTTATACCAGAAGCCTGGTATTTATCAAGCGATTTAAATTTTGACTGAGATACTGGTTTTTTGCTTGTTAAGTATACATCTATTTTATTTCCTTTGCCTTTTGAAACTACAGGCTTATCTTTGGTTTTAATTGAATTTGTTTTAGTAATTGGAGTTTTATTTTCATTAGTCAAAAGTAATTGTTGAAAAAATTCTTCTCCAAATTGATTTGGCTTATGATCAGTTTTATTAATTTTGTCATTTTTCATATTTGATTTCATTGGAGTTTTGCCAATATCAATTTTTTTACTTTGTCGTTTTCCACTATTATTTTTGATTAAATTACTTTTTACTGTTTTATCTTTTGAAACAGTTTTTTGAGTTGTTCTAGAAACTGGAATACTTTTAGTGGGAGTCGACAATGATTTTGTTTTTTTATGTAACGATGACTCTGAAGAATTCGTCGATGAAGTACTAGATCTCACAAGATCTTTTCCTTTTGTTGAAACTGCAACTGTAACTTTAACTCTATCTTTATCCTTTTTACAGTCATTAGTATACATTTTTGTAGAACTTTTTAAGCTTGTGTTTTTTGTTTTTCTATCAGTTTCGGGTTTTGGTTTGCGTACTTTTAATTCAATACTTGATTCTACATCGACTCCTTTTGTCCATCGTTCAAGTCTAGAATTTTTACGAGACGATTCACGCAGAGGAGGAGCAGGCGGTGATCCAGTAGAATTAGCTGATGATTTAGCAGTTCTTTTAAAATTCGAAAATACTGGATAACAAGTGACTTCTTTCCACGGGTGATGAACTATCTCATTATCGTATTTCATAATTTGGATTTTAGTTAAATGAGACGTGATTGGCAAATACTCCAACTCCAAATCTACACATCAAATTGCATTATTTTTAATTGTTATCCAGATTCTTCATGTGTGCAATAGGTATACAAGCGCATCATATAATATGTATTAATTATTGCACTCACCCAAATATTCCAGTGCTTCCATTAATATTTGCCAGCATTTCCCCAAAAAGTAGATAGTGCAGGTTTTTTTAGTGCATCCCAGAGTTATGTTTATTATATTATCAATATTCATAAAATATTTATTTGTGAATTTGTATTGTGATCAAACAAATAATTTATGTTTCAAATCATTAATATCAGCAGTGTGGATTAATCTAAATATTTTAAATTCTGAGCGGAGTGAGGAATGTATTGATTTTACATAGATGTCTATTTATTTTTTTTTTGTTTCTGTGAGCAACTACCAGAAAGTTTACTCCGATTTTCAACTGTAGAACTTTTTCTGAAAGGAAATCTGACTAAGGTGATACTTTAAAGGAGGTTATTTTTTGATTTTTTCCAATTGTTTTTATAACAAATGGGAAAAACCGGGAAAACCCGTAGGAAAAACGGAAAAATATACAAAATGTATTGATTTCAAATCGTAAATATTATGACCTTACAAAACATGTACAACCGAACTCCGCTCAGAATAGTTTTTCACAAATAATAATTAATCGTTGTGTACAGATTTACATAAAATTGCCTCTTTATCTTCCCAACTTCTCACCTACAACAATCCATCGTGCGAAATATGTCAGTTTTCTTTTTAAAGTGCAACACACATTACCCGTAATATAATATAATTTTTAAATTATTAGATTATTTCATAATTTTAAATCATAAATGATTATTTTTTTTTTTTGGGTTCCATCTGATATATTAAAACATATGTTTAATTTTAGATACCTACTGATGAAATAAATGATATCTATTTATGTAAATGTACTATTTGTTCACTGTATTCAATATTATAATAATATGCTTCGATGATTAAACGAGTGTATATTATTACATAACTAGTATTATCCGATAATTACCTAGTATATCTTCCATTTTGAAAAAAAAATAATAACAATATTTTTGTAGGGGCAAATTAATTTTAATTGTGAGAAAATTCTAGTTGCTAATGTACGTATGTAGACCAGTAGTTCAATGTATAACTATAGAAATATACAATAGCAATAAAAAAAAACACTTCAAAAAACATAGAAACTTTAAAATACTAGCATTGTTTATCATATATCAAATTAATGAACAGAGTCAATAATCTTAAAACTAAATCCGAATATTATAATTATTCAGTTTTATAATTTAATACCGAATTCATGCGGTATTTCGTTTGCGAATTATTGACAATTATTTGCATAATTAAAAGTGCAAGATTGGTGAATTATTAAATAGTATTGAGAAACTGAATTTAGTTATTTTAAAAATAATAACGAAAAAGAGTTAAAATAAACTAACCTTTAGGTCTTTCGGGGACAGTTTTTCGTAAACCTTGAAAAGGTATTTCTCCTCCATTTTGAATAACTTTGTAAGCAGTTTTTTGTTCAGTTGGAGAAAGACACTGAGATTGATTTTCTCGTCTTTTAAATATTAATGTGGAATCACTGTCATATCCAGTTTCTTTCAGAGCTCTAAAAGTATGATATATTGTATTAGTTTTAAATAAACATTGGCTTAATAATTATGTGAGCTTACTGAGCTAAATTTAATTTTTTCGATGACGACCGATTTTGAGGAGGAGGAATTTGATGTTCCGAACTCTGAAGATAAAAAAAAATATATTTAAATAACTGTTTAATACTAAATGGATCGGAATCAGATTTACCCCGTCAAAAGTATTCATCATCTCATCCCAAAATTCTTTAGTCTCCTTTTCAGCAATTGATGAATGACCCGGTTCATAGTTTTCAATTGGTCTTGGCTGATTTTTGTATCGATCTTGACCACATTTTACCGGAGAAACACTTTAAATAAATATATCAAATGCATTTTAAATCTAAACAAATGTTGTTGGGAACCAAAAGTCCACACTCACGATCTTCTCGAGTAAACTTTTTTTGTGTGTTCATTATTCAAGTTTTGAAATAGTCTGTTTTCTGCATAATCTGATTCGTATCCTTTTTCGGGCTCTGATAAATATCCATCACCATTTCTACCTCTTAGTCCTAAAAATTATATTAAAATTAATAATAAAGAATTTGGAAAATGTTATAACAAATATTAAAATATAACTTTTTTAAAATACACAATTTTAGTAATTGTGGTTAACTAAATGTGGTTAACAAATGCACAGATTACTATACTCGTACAATGCAACAACTATTCTAGTTTATTAATTTCTAGTAGTTAGTTTTTGTTATTTTGTCTTATCTATTTTTTTATTTATATTAAACATCATTTAGTTCTAGTACACAGTTTAAACAATTTTATTTTAGCTTTTCAAAAAAATATTTTAAATATTTTGTTATAAGAAAATTCAACATTTTATATAAAAAATAATTCATTTTGATGCAAATATATTATAATAATTGTTTTGTAAAGATAGCTGCAATTAATGTTATAATATTATTTATTACTAAAGCTAAGCATTTTTAAATTCTTTTATATTTATAACACAGTAATTTTCTAAAAAGAAAATTTATAAATTTATCACCTCGCCTTAATGTTTTGTATCTTACTGTAACACCTTCATCTGTAATATATTACCAACTCAATGTTAACTAACAATATTAATGTTTAACAATTTAATTTATTTTTATTTTAACTAAAATAATTTATTCTTAACAGTTTTATAAATCGTATCCGAAAAAAAACTATGTAAAAAATGTTTATGAATAAATTAAATTGTTATACGTATTTACCATCGGACTGAAATTTATGTAAGGATTCGTACATCTGCTTGTACCATTTGGGTTGGTTTGGTTCTTTAATTTCCTGAAAAAAAAAAATGATATAGTTCATTTATTTTACTAAAATGTGTTGGTTTATTGATCAAATATAACTTGCACGTTTTAACATACCGATCTTAAAACAATAGGTACTCCTTCTTTGGTTGTTGGACCAATACCTTCGTACTTTTTCGAACTGATTTCAATCATTTTTTTTTGTTTTTTCTCGTCCGATTGGCTGTCATATTCACGTTTTGAAGCATATTCTAGACATAAATCACAAAAATCAACCATGAAATCGAACAATAATATAGAATTTGCGTTTTTCCTAATCAAATTTACGAGCATTTATATTGTACCTATCAAACAAGTGAATATACTAAAACGGTTTAATATTCAACACTCGTATGAACGAGGGTCAATCTTATCTTAATTACTTTTTGATCACGTGTTCATTACTGATAAACGAATTTTACTCGAAATAATATGTGATGATCCTCTCACTGACTAATAAATTATGATATGAATGCTGTCGTGCTAGTATGAGCTGCTTTTGTGATGAATTGATGACAATATTATGTACTGAACTTTTGTACGTTTATTGAAAACGAGTATGACGGTTAAATTTTTTTAATAAATTAGTTCCATAGATTATTTATTTTTATTTTTTTACATCCATACTCACTTATTTCTTCAGTTTCAACATTACGTTTGACAGTGGACCCTCTTATTTTATTTTCTTTGTCCATATTATACTCTTCTGAATCGAGATATGCAGAGCCTTTAGGTAATTGTCCTTCTATAAACCAATATTTTAATAATTTTAATACATTTCAATTCTTACTGTATACATAAGTAGGTACATTTATAGTTATAAAACAACTCAACCAAATATAAATTATAAAATACTCATGTTATTACTATTGGATTATAAAACTAAACTAAAAAAATATATATAAATAATTTAATTTGCTTAATTTAAAATGATTATCTATATATAATGATAAAATGTACCCATAATTATAATATGAAATCAAAAATTGTTTGTTTCTCGGTCGTAAACATTACGCTGTAATATTTATACCGAATATTAAAACAATAACTTAATTTGAACTTAGCAACTCATGTGCAGAAACATAATACTCACTATACCCGGTAGGAATTATAAAACATTTAAAATATTTTATTAAATCTGGTACTATATAAAAGAGGTATCATGGGCAAAATAAGTAAATACTTTTGAAAAATTAATCAAGAAGTTTGTAACATATTATAGTAGCCGGTATAGGTAGTAGTGTGAATTCAATGAATAGTCTTAACAAAACGGACTTTTACAGAATTATTATGTGTAAAGTATAGAATTCGAAGACAGACAATTTTAATTTATATAAATCATAAAATACACTAACTAGGTACCTAACATTTAACACAGCAGTATTTTCTGGATTCCCAGATCTCGAAATTAGGGAGTGAAATATTATAAAACACAACTTTCTCTATATTTATGTAATTTACATTTGAATAGTTGAACATTTATACAGTACTTACAATAGTAGTTAAATTTAAACTTTAATTTTATTTATTAATTAATAAATATAAATTGTGCACCCAAGAATTTACTGTCTCAGTCCAACTAATAGGTAACAAAGCAAAAACATGGTTATGCCAATTGAATATAACTTGTTTAATTTTGGTTTTAGAGTAAAAGTACTTATTATAAAATTAAAAGAAAACAATATTCCGGAGTGGAAGACAATAATTTTTTTTTTAACCAACATTATTCTTAATATTATATTTAATAAATCATTTAGAAATAACGACTATTTCAACGTTTTAAAACGAACATAACCTTAATAAATTAATTTTAAAAAACCCATCATCCTTGTCCTCTGGAATAATATGGTCCTCTTTTAATTGTATAAAACATATTTTTACTTCAAGATCAAAATTAAGGAGTTCTACTCAGTCGGCGTAAGCATGTTTATGCTGTTGCACATTAAGTTGGACTGAGGTAGTAAATGCGTACATAGTGTACTTTTAATAAATATTTTCATTCGTGTAACAATGTAACATGCTCAACATTCAACACTTACGAAAATGTGTGTGTTAATTTATTAGATATTATATTAATCAATCAAACCAAAATCAATTCACCGAAATTGTCTGAAAATGAATTATATACGTGTAAATATTCAGTATTGTGTTATAATTTAATGTACCTAATAATTATTATAAACAAATTATAATAAAAAATTACAGCAACTAATGTATATGAATGTTATGAAGCTGTTCAAGTAATAATAATTTTTTATTTATTTTGAATTTTCGGGGATATTTATTTTATAACAATCAACAAAACTTCATAATAATATAATTAAAAAATACTGCAGTTGGTGAAGTATATAATAATAGAACATTACATTTTTTAAATTTTTTAAATATTCTAATTTTTAATATTATTTACTTAAAATGTACTTACATTAATGTAACAGATATTTATACAGAAAAAATGTATGATCAAAATTAAAACTTGTTTTAAAAAATCAATGAATTATAATAATCGAGTGTTAAAAGAGTATTATTATATTATTATATTCTTGTAAAAAATTGCAAATGTAACAATTATTGTCTGTATAGATACACATACAACACTATAGAATATTATGAATATTGGAAATTATGTTTGATTTCAAATAAATTAAATAAAAAGTAGATACGTTAATGTGTTTTTATGTTGTTGTATAAATTTCTACCAGGGATGGGCATGAAATCTGAATATCCGGGTATTTAAATCCATTTATTTTTTAATTAAAAAAGTTTTTTTTAACTATTCGTATTATCTAGATTTGCTTTTTTTTATGTGACTAGATCACCCTATTTCTTCAACCAATGCAAGACGATCGTATCATACAACTTAAAGCGATTTCTAATGAATTTTAGTACAAATATAAACTATAAAATTGCCTGTTAAAAAGAATAAAATAATAATGTTTTATGTTATAAAACGAATTCACAATGTGTAAGTAATGTACTAATATAAGCTATATTTATACTATAGTACAACATAAGGATCAGGGTTAAATATTAACGATAACTAACAAAATAAGTCGGATATTCCGGGTATGCCCATCACTAATGTCTATATATTGTAGTAAAACATTAGGTTTAATACCTCTTGCTTTTTGAAGGAGCGTAACAGTAGGGCTTTGAACTCTTGGAAGTCTCCTTTCCGTGCTCTGCACATTTTCATCACCTTCACCCAAAATTGTGATAAAGTTATGTGCGAAGTGCAAAAAAATATATATATATATGTTCAAAATATAAATATAAAATAATTTGTTTATTTATTCCTTACCTTGCGTTTTTAATGGTAGAGGAGGAGGTGGAGGTGGAGCTTGTGGTATACTCAATACTGGTAAATCTGTGGGTGGTTTTGAATCGGCCTAAAATGCAAAATATATGAATTAAAACTGCATAAATTGCAATTAAAAGGATATCACACCCATATATATTGTCTCTGTCTTGTAAATGCACGACATAGTGAATTCGAGTTAGGTTAGGCGACAATTTAGTGTTTTAATTTTAATATTACAGTGAGTTTACCTATTATCTAACTTGAATATAACTTATGCGTATATTATTTGTGATACTACGTCAGTTTTTTTTTTTTAATATTTTAAATTTTAAGCAAGATATAACAATTTTCAAATGTTTAATAATTGGTCAATTCACTTTAATATTGAAACTAACAACACAATTGATTTTGCTAAACGAAAATTTGCTATATCGTGCATATGTAAGACGAAGGCAGCACTAGCGAGTTAGTCCTCTTAATAAAATATATTTAAATGAATACATACTTTTTTATTGTCCTCGTTGATTTGTTTTCGAGGTAATATCGGTGATTCGAATTTCACTGGTTTGTACGCTTTTCTGTCTGGTGTAGGGCTGGCGTTGGGCGTCCATATTGGCGGTAGTTCGGCTTGTGGTTGTTTCTTTTCTACTTTCCGAGAGACATTCTCCAAGTCTAATGATTTATGTTTCAATTCTGGTGACCAAACACCTGAACAAATACAAACATTCTCATTGACGATACGATGAGGTTTTAAGGCTAACACCAACAATGAAATTAATTCTAATAAGTCACACACAATACACATGCTTTAGTTTTATAATATTACTAGTCTTATTTTTCGTTCAATGAGTTTCATCAACGCACGCACGTTTACCATTTTACATTTTACAAAATATAAAATAATTGTAACTAAAGTCATATAGATACTCAAAGCTAACATTAAAACATGTGTTTTTTTTTTTTGCATACCTACACTCCGAACTTGAACGATTGGGTCACAGGTGTGTTTTAACTTTTATTTGTGTTAAAATTAATATACTTTTTTTTTCAATATTTGTGTACATTGAACAATTTAATAAAACCTATGGTACGTTATAAAATTCTAATTACTTGAATCGCAAGTATATATATATACATTTATATGACTCTTATAAAAATTATGTATTTTAGAAGTTGACAAATTACTAAGTTACCTCATTTATAAAAATGTAATAATACAATTTAAGTCAAACATTTTGAACCTTTATTTAGTAAAGATAATAAACAGAATAAATGAAATGCATTTGTTGAAAGTTCTTTTTTTAATAGTACGTACTTACAAAACATGTATAGATATCTGGTACTTTTTTTAACTTATACGTAAATGTGTTATTTTTGTAGTTATATTAAGTAATTTATCGCCAAAGCTGGATAATAGTTATTCAATTTTTTCAACTATTTTAAGTTAAGTTAAATTTAATTTTAAAATATTAATGAAATGGAGAAACTAAGTACACATTTTTAGAAAAATAATATAATTTCAATAAATTAAATGTTAATTTTTAAAATATTTTGTAATTTAATATTTAGATTTCTATAGATTTGCTATACAAAATTCGTGTAACTATTTTCTAACGTTCTATTGTTTTTTTTTTAACTAGTTAATTTAAATATTATCAAAAAATTATTTCAGTGACGTATTTATAATTTGTCTAGGGGTGAATACAAAAAATGCATTCACAGACTCTAAGGGGCTATACTCTCCTACCTAGTGTGTGTATTTCAATACGTACATACGTTTGTAAATGTATGTCCGCACACTTATAATAAAATAATATTTTTTTTTTTAAATTAATAAAATGGCTAATAATATATAAACACTATTTTAATTCTAAAATAAGACATGAACAATTAATCACGATTTTACGACGGTGACTACGTATTTTTCACTTTTATTATAGAATCACAAAAAATATATGAATATATTATATATATTTGATTTCAAATTTAAAATTATCAATTTATAGGTATAAGTATCTATAATCCTTAAAATCTCTATATATATACGTCATTGTTATCATGCATTATAATTTAATAATATACAAGAAAAGCAATGAGGATGGAACCACTCTCGGATCCATCCCCTTTAAATATGCCACTGTGATGACTCAATTTTTACCTTTTCAACTAGTTACTGTCCAGCTTTGTTTATGGTTGTCAAATTCTCTTAGGAAATTAAAGATAATTTACAATTTAAAATAATGTGTCTAGTTATGCTTCGGTTATAGGTTGTGTTCTTATTATCGAGTAAAACAAATTGGTATTGGTTAAGGTGGTCCTTATTTTGTTAATTTTAAAATATCCTTCAGGACTTACGCCTATGCCATATAATAAAAAAAGAGCTGATACTGAGGACAGGTGTGGCTAATTTGTAGGTGGGATTGAGATTCATAAATGTAGTTTATTTATACCTGTAATCAACGATATACGTACTGATAACGAACGATTCGGAGCGAAGTTCAGAAACACGCTGCTCTACAATTTTATATTTATGTTATTTTTTGTCATCATTATTTTTGTGGGTAAAACCACTACCTAATTTTGATTTTCAAATTGCAACCTATATTATTAATTCCATAAATGGATGAAGTATAAATTAAAATACATTTTTAATTTCCATCAACCCGTTGAAGAGATATTCCACTTTTAAGTATGGGTTGGAGGAGAATAGTGCGCCGCACAAATGTTACTTCGAGATACTTTCCGGGATAATGAGTGTACCCACTTAAATTGATCACCTTGTAGGTATTATTATTAATCTATACATTTTAAAACACTGTTATGGTTTTCAATTTTTTTTTTTTTTTTTGTCGTTATAGCGTTAATATTTTCTAAAATTTAATAATAATTTCGTTCAAAAAACATACCTATAAATAGTTCAGTAAAGTTAGTTGACAAGTATATATTAACCAACCGACATGTATCTATATATTGGTAACCTGATTATTATTATTTTTCTTGAACACCCACACCACACGGCGGCACACATAGGTGCACGTTACACATAATATATTTAACTAGAGCCAAAAAGCCCACGAGGCAAAAAAAAAATGATTCACACCCTACAGACGATTGGACAGGCGGACTGAAAAAAGAAGCAAATATTGGCAAATTATCAAACTCATTTGTGCCAGATGTTGAAGTATATTAAAAACAAATATCTCACCGATATGAGTCTATAACGAATTGTAATATTATTATTATTATTCTGTAATATTTTGTTGAGTGTTTTTTTTATAACAGGGTCAAAAGAAATTTGGAAATGTCGTTCGATCCTAAGAAAAAAAAAAATTGAAAACATAACGGATTCTGAAGCAACACGATTATTGATAGTTTGATTTCCTGGCACTGAATTTATTTTTGGCAATCGGATGAGCGTTTTTACGATTTTATTTTTTTATGTGATTTATTCTTACAAAATTTGTCTAAAGCTGTCTGAAAACCGAGATAACTTTAAAATATTGCGACCATAAATATTTATTAAAGTGATAAAAAAAAAAATCAATTTTATAGTATAGCTACTAAACAAAAATAACCTCATACCACATTTGATTTATTTCAATGAACGAAAAACCGAATTAACATTAATATTGTATTATGTTTTTACGAATAAGAATTATTGATTCGTATAAGGCGTATAGGTAATACACAATATAAGGTTACATCCAAGTGAAACGATTTTTTTTTTTATAGTAAACAAAAGTGTTTGATTTGTAAACTAACAAAGTCAGTTAACTTACACAAATTACGTTAAAAATGTCATATTATCGAATGTTCATTAAAATATTAAAATCATCACGTAAAACGGCCTATAGATCCATGGACATTTTAATAAGTGCGTTACCCTGGCACCCGTGCTTCCAAAATTATACATTTCAACCATACAGTATTATGTAATTTATTTCATACATCTAAAGCAGAAGTTATTGTATTGTGTAATAATAACAATCAAGGGATCGATATGTCTCAAACCTTTTTACATTCCACTGAGTAGGTAGGCCCAGCAGTAGTAAATTATTTTATAATTCACTAAGGGTGAATGTATTAGAAGAAAGATATTCAAATTTACAATTTTAAAATGATTCCAATTATACGTAGATAGGTATATTATTATTTATAATAAGTAAATCAATCGTATTATTATACGTTTATGGTCCCGAGTGCTAGGACAATTTTAGCACAGTACCTGTAAGATAAAATTGAATTTTGAGGATTTTCGAGGGTCGTACAAAATGTTGGTTGTACAAAATTTTACAAAATAAATTCAAAATGTTGCATGATTGAAATGTATGATTTTGAATTATTGGTGCTAAGGTAACGTACCTTCAATTTTTTGCCTTAAAAACGTTTCATATTTTCAAATAATAAAGTATTGTAATAATATTTTTGATTGAAATGGTATGAATAAAACAATTATTAAAAAAAATTCCAACTATTTAGCTACAGCATTTGAAAAAAACAATTATAAAATAAACTCCAGCTCAGTAGCTGGATAATTTAAAATCGAATTAAACATTAAATTGTATTATATATTAAATATAAATGCGAAATTAAACAGATTTTTCAAATCTGACTGGTGATACGCGTAGAAAAATGGCAAACATTTAAATAATATACAAATCAATTCAGACGTAGCTTCAGACGTAACTTAACCGTTTATCATTTTTTAACCATACCTGCTTTTTTAATGTCAGCTCTGAACCGTGGACTGATTTTACAGCTCTTATCTCGCATCATAAATAATTCATAAATTTATAAAATAGTATACGTGTATTAAAAACAATTTTAATTGAAAAGGGGTTAGTTTATAAGCGTTATATAGCTTAAAAGGTATGCAAAAATCAACCGGAAACGGAACTTTCGGTATTTATGCAACAACTGTTGTACGAGTTTTAACTATACGGGCGATCCGGCGTCGGTTTGGAAGTGTACGCACTACTGTTTTTTTTTTTTAAATACCGCGGGAAATCACTCTAAACCCGTATGGTGGGAGAAAAATGGACATAAAAATATACTGTATAAATAAAAATAATGAAAAAAAAAAAATATTGGCTAATGATCTCTAAAACTCAACGGTGGCCGACTTTCTGGCGGCGTCTATTTTATTATTAGATTTACCGGCACGGCGGCTTAACGTAATTTTTGGTTTTTTTTTTTTTTATACTTTTTAATATGGTAACAATTTTTGACGAGAATATATTAATAATATTATATTATTCTGTTAAATAATGTAAAGATGCATATAAAAAAAGTAAAAGAACTGATACGACTGATGGGCATACCACTATTGTCGGTGGAAAGTAGAGAATATAGGATATATAGAGTATAAACATTATTAATGAGAAACTAAGCCAAGTTCGGTTAAATATGTTTTGAAACATCCCGAATTTTACAATTTTCAAACAAATTTGAACTTAAACGGTTATAAAAACCCGTTATCCTATTAAATATTTACACTCAATTTTTTTCCTTTAAGTACAAATTACAACGATCGTCTGGTCAGATTTTCGAATATTCACACTGGGTATAAAAAATCGTGTTTACATAAATCGGAACATAGTATACACAAATTGCCGTGATTTTTATGATTATCATAATAAATTTTAACTTTGAATATTTATAAAAAAAAAAAATCGTGACCACACATTTTTGATTTTTGTACAGTGCTATAAGAAAAACGTATAACAAACGTATCAAATTTTCAAACATTTTTAAGAAGCCAAAACAATTATATTCATATAATAAAATCAAATAAAACTAAAATAAATAATCGAAAATGTCAAGTATAAATATGAACACCTTATAAAGCTATAAGGGCTTTATATTATAAAAATGGCATGTCTCTGCGATTTTTTTAAACTGAATTATAATAAAATCTAAAATAATAAAAACCTCAGTTATAAATAATAAACAAGTTATTGAGTAATTTTTACTGTTTTTCTGATGTTTTTTTTTTCGGTTTTCCCAATTATTAAGATAACAACAGGAAATATCAAAAGATAAACTCCTCAATGCATCAACTAGACAAAGTTTGCTATCAGTTTATAATTGATGTTGATAATTGGAGCAAAATATTTTATGATTGAAAATTTGTTTAAAGAAAAAAAAATAAATTAAAATAAACATCGTTGTAAAATAAATTATTTATTTATTTATATTATGTTTATTTCAGAAAAGAATAATTGTATTGATATTTCTCGCTACGCTCAGAATTTAAAATGTATAATTTTTATGTAAATATAAATTTTTTTTTACTATTTAAATTGCTTTCAATAATATATTGTTCATCTATTTTAACAATAATTTATTGTTATTAATTTATTATTGATTATTTTCACTTGCAAAATAAATAAATGTTTACTTATTATATTATTATATTTTAGATTTCGAAAATCTGGGAGCTGCATTATCCGAACTAGACTAATATATTATGAAAGTATCTCAAAAGTTGCATTAACAAATTATTAAAAGTTTTTTTAAATATAGGTACCTATTGGTATTATATTTTAGACACAACAAAATTAATATATGTCATGACTCATGTAAATAAATTTAACATGCTTATTTATTGGCTATTTATCAACGTGAATAATCGGTAATTAGTTGGTTTATGCTTATTATTATTATTGCGAGTTAACAATAATTTTATTTGGACCAATCACAAAACGTTACGAACGCATGCTTATAAAGACTCAATGTAAAAAACATTATACAGTCATGCAGTTATGGACATAGTTAAGCGTATTATGTATAAACGAACCAATATTCCTCCTAGTCAAAAAACCGCCGAAAACATGATCGATTTCATCAAGAAGTGAACAATCGGATATCCTTCGTTTAAATCTTTGATTATGTGTTCTAACTAAACGCAAAAATCCATGTTTAAAACAACAGTACAATAGGTAAGTTTAAGTACATTTGATTCAATATTCATTGTGTTCGGTATAAAACTATGACGCCTATTTTCCCTAATTGATATAGGTAATAATTTTTAAAAAATATTATGTTTTTCTTTAAATGTTCGAATTAATAACGGTATAGCCCACGTTCATTATTTGTCTATATTTCGTTATTTAGTTGTATGCAGAAAAATCGTGTAGGGTTTCGTCTCACCTCTCTACTCTGTTTTAATTATAGAATCACAATTTGGTCTGTCCAGTCGTCCAACGTGTCGTATACCATTTATAAAAATAGTGCCACACAGTTTGTATGCGTGTGTGTGTTTGTGTGTGAGTGTGTGTGTGTGTTTGTATACGTGTATTATACACCAGCTCTTGAATAAATTGTATCGGCATCAACAGTTCACACAACTGACACTACTACATTGACTATGAAAATAAAATTCACTTTAAGGTGCTCAGAATAATAAAGACTCATTTGCAGTTTATTTTAGAAACTTCTTCTGCCGATTCGTTTTGAAGCAACGTAATTAGACTTGGCCACACTGCAAAAACCGTGTTAGTAAAACAAAATAAAACAAAAACGTACACACACAATCCACTCGACTCACCATTCATTTGCACTTCCTCGATGCATACTTCTTCTTCGGGTACAATATCAACCAAGTGTTTCGGATAATATATTTCTTTCATTTCTACATTATCTACATCCGACTCGACGCCTAATTTTTCCAATCTTTCTCTTGCTTTAGTCATAAATTCTGAGTCAATATCGTTTAATGCTTGCAAAGTTCCTGTCGAAAGTGGTCTACTCGCCTTTGTGATTCTAATAACTTTATTGTGAAGTCTATTTTCTCTCTCCTTCACCTTATCCATGTACTCCGTGTACATGAGTTCTCTGGTGTGATTGTCGGGAACCGACAGCGTGTCTATAAACGTAGGCATTGGTGACGGTCGATCGATGACTGATCGATTAATAATTCGTTGCTCTTTTTGGATTACGTCCAACAACCTAGATCGAGTTTCTCGATACTTGCGCAAAGACACTAAGCACTCGGCATCAGAAAATGGTTCGTCACTGGTACCACACAATCGGCACGCTTCATCGATAACTTCAGAGCTATAATATGATTTCGAAGGCGACGGCGATGGAGATGTACTATAACCTAAAATATCTACAGGCGGTATTATGTCATTATGTGAAGATATATTTGGACTTCTTGTTCTGTTAAGAAATTTTTTGTGGAGATCAATGATTTCGGATGTTTCATTTATGGTAGACGGTGCGTGGCCCGATTTTAACTGACTAGGTGATAGACATAAAGACTTTGACGATTCACCATCGGATAGTGTGAAACTCACCCAATCAGTATCGTCAGCGTCAGAAACTATCGAAACACATCTAGAAGATGTTTGTGGTGATAGTATTTCTTCGTAATCGTCCGTATCATCCTGAATCATTCTTGCAATTCGTTTTAATTTATCGTTGATAGAAATTTCATTTTTACTGCGTGTTTTATATTTTCGATTGTCTGTGTCAAATTGTTTTATAGTGCTGTCGTCTGAAGATTCGTCGTATTCTATATTTTGTTGACGAGGAACATCGATTATTTTAAGGCGTTCTTCATGTTTTGAAAATAAATTATATTTGTTAGTATTTGTTGTATGGCATTTAAAGTCATTCGAAGAAGTACAATTAATACATTGAGATTTTGTATTCGAATTATCTAGGTTATTGACTTGTTCATTTTTAAAGTGAACTTTTGGATTTTTCTGGTTACATGTATTTTCATTTAAATCATCTCCATTTGATTTTTTATCAAGAAGTCGATTTGTTATCAATTGGTTTTGTACACGATTATAATTATTTGTAGTTATATTATTATTTGACGCTTGATTTTGAATGTGCTTTTGCTGTATTTGATTTTTATTAATTTGTATATCTTCTACTGTACATTTTTTAGTACTTACAAGTATCTCTTGTAATTCACTTTTTAAATTCATGTTTTGATCTTTTTGAACACATATATCTTTGTTGAAATTGTCTCCATTTGATTCATTATCAAGTAATTGATTTGTTTTTAACTGGCTTTGTGTACAACTATAATTATTTACAGCTATATCATTATTTGACGCTTGATTTTGAATGTGCTTTTGCTGTATTTGATTTGTATTAATTTGTGTATCTTCTACTGTACATTTTTTAGTAGTTATCTCTTGTAGTTCACTTTTTAAATTCATGTTTTGATCTTTTTGAACACATACATCTTTGTTGAAATTATCTCCATTTGATTCATTATCAAGCAATTGATTTTTATCAAGCAATTGATTTGTTTTTAACTGGCTTTGTGTACAACTATAATTATTTACAGCTATACCATTATTTGACGCTTGATTTTCAATGTTTTTTCGTTTAATTTGATTTTCGTTAATTTGTATAACTTCTACTGTACATTCTTTTGTACTATTTTTCTGTAGTATATTTTTCAAATTGATATCTGGATTTTTTTGGATACATGCATTTTCATTCAAATCGTCTCTATTTGATTTCTTGTCAGTAAGTCGATTTGTAATAATTTGGTTTTGTACATGACTATAATTATGTTTAGTTATATTATTATTTAATGCTTGATTTTTAATGTATTTTTGTTGAATTTGATTTGTGTTAATTTCTATATCTTCTATTGTAAATTCTTCAGCACTTCTTTTCTGTATTTCGTTTTTTAAATTCATATTTTTATTATTTTGAATACATGCATCGTTATTCAAACTGTCTCCATTTGATTCCTTAATAATTAATCGATTTGTCATAAATTGGTTTCGTGTACAGATACAATTTGTGGTTATGTTTGATGGTTGATTTTGAATGTGTTTATTTTTTGTTTGGTTTTCATTAGTTTGTATAGTTTGTAGATTATCTTTTACTGTATATTCTTCTGTATTAATCTTTTGTATTTTACTATTTAAGTTGTTGCTTGAATTATGTTGAATATGTGCATCTTCATTAAAATTATCTTCATGCGATTCCTTAACAAGTAATCGGTTTGCTATCAATTGTTTTTGTGCATGGCTGCAATTTGAAGTTATATTAATATTTGATATTTTATTTTTTATTGGTTTTTGTTGGATTTGATTTTCGTTGATTTTTATATTTTCTTCTGTATATTCTTCTATATTACTCTTATTTATCTTATTATTTGAAATATTTCGTTCAACACACTCCTTGCTTTCTACAACGCTCACGTTTACCGATATATTGTTTAAAGGTTCCAGTGTTTCTAATTCAACTACACATTCATTTTCAGTTGTAATAATATCGGCAAATCTTAGGTTCTCCGATTCTCTAACTAAGGACGGAGATTCTAATCTTTCAAGAAGACATTCTGAAGTCATGGTTTCATTTAAGTTCTTTTCTAAAATATTTTCCAACTCAGCATTTTTTGTATTGTCAAAGTCTGAGGACTCCCGATTATCCGATAATTTTTCAATACAATTTGATTTACTAACTTTTGAGTTATATTCCCAAATGTCTTTTTTTGGATCTTCGTCACTTGCACTCGTTTCTTCTTTTATAACGTCTAAATGACAAAAATCTGGAATAATTTGACAATACTCTGGCGTTGAAGGTGTAATTTTTTCAACTCTAACTATCACTTGAATGGGTAACCCGGCTTGTCGGCGTGTCTCTAACTCGGCTATTAAAAGTGCTTCATTTTGTTTGATCCATTCCAATTCATCTATACGTATATCTGAATTTGCTGGTATGATTTCTACTTTTGGATATTCTGTTATTTGTGTCTGATTCGGCTCAATTAGTTTAACGGGTAAAGTTGTTGGTTGTTGGTTATTTAACGGTTCAGACGATTCTGCGCATTTCTTTTTTCTCCTACGTTTTCGAACTCTTTTACCTATAGGCAGTTATTTTATATATTTGACTGTCTTTTAAAAAAATAATATAAAACCCTAATGCTAGGAATTAATAATTTTAAACTTAAACGATTAGAATAAAAGTGTATTGTTTTTAAATATATGTATATATTATATTTTACTTGAATACAATTAATATAGTTATAATGCATTCCTATTATATAGGGTAATTGTAGTTATTTGGTATTCAATTCTATTATATTTTGATCAGAATAAAATATAAACAAAAGTCCGTTTAATTTAATTTTAACTGTTGTATATATTAATTAAATTAAAATGTTTTAAACAATTTTTGTAAGTACTCACTTTTTTTATTTGTCGTTTCTGTTTCCGACTGTAGTTTCGACTTTCCTATTTTAATATCTGCAACAAAAAGCCGGATTTTTTTTTTTTTTTCATAAGAAAACAAATATAATCACGAAAAAAAATGTAATAATAACTGCGCAATATTAACGTAGGTACAACACGAGACTTTAACGCGATTATAGTGAGTTAGGCATGTTTGTTCGACGGTGTTCAGCATCATCGACTGACTATAGTACTGACTAGTAGATCCGCTGCGTGAACACAGATTGTATGGGGCGCACCCGAATATAGAGGAAGTAACATATAACATCCAAAACCGGAGATGGGTTAACACACAGACACACACGGGCTCATTATTTATAAACGCACACACGTACAATAGTCATTAATGTATAATATTATAGTATGTGTGTTTTTGTTAGTAGCACATACACACAATGGAAAACGATGACAGACGAATAGACAGACACGGGTCAACGGAACTGTGCATATATCGTGTATGGGGTGGTTAATATATAGGATAAAATGTGCTGTTCTCGTATTATGTGTGTGTTTATAAACGGAAAATATATTATCAAAAAAATATTAGTTTTATACGTAATTACAAGAATAGTTGTAATCATATAATGCATAGGTAGGTACTCGAAAACTAATTATAATTACTAGCGGGAATATTAACTATAGGCATACCTACTAATTTATTAGATTAAGTGGTACATATTATAGTGGTCTTCCAAATTATGTTACACAGTTTTAAGAGCAGCAGTACGGATAGATAGGGGCCAAATATAAACATGAAACACAAAAATCGGAAGACTTTGTGTAGTAAAACCTATAATTTTCAGAACATATTTTGTGCATTTTTAATATTATAATAGGGATTTGACGGTTTTCCGCCTGCATACGAATTGCGCCCCGCGGGAACGATTCTTTCTGAATTGTTTTCCGGTTATTTTTTTGGGTGATATTGGTCGCGTCCCATTAATATTTATAAAAACTAAACAATAGTCCTCTTCCCATTATTACACAAACTTAGGATCTATAAATTGTTTACATTAAATCGATAATACCTACTCGATAAGCCTATATAATATTATGGACATTTTAGATATCGCAGGTGGTTAAGACGAAATTCGGAGGTGCTCAAGAAAAACGCGGAATGCAATTAGTATTATATCTTTTTATGCGCTTTTATTCGGGACGCAACTAGCACGCAGCGGCTTTTCAGACACCCAGTGAAAAATATGGTCAATTTTTAAATAATACAAATACAATATTATATAGGTACGTTTCCTCACCTATTTTATTTAGATTTAGAATTACTTCTATGTAGGTACTACCTGTATATTGAAACTAATCGGGCAATTATAGACAGGATGGGTGTAGTTCCTGTGGGTGGAATGATGAATACAAGGCCTAGTTTTATATCGAAGCATGAAATAGTAGAATATTATGAATTTGTTTTAATTAAAAACAACAACAATTTGAAAACTTAAATTAAATTCTATTTGATAATGATGATATTATAATCAAAAAAATGAAATAATAGTAGGTACCTGTATTATAAAATATATTTACACAAAATAAAAACATAAAAACCAAAATAATTATCAAATAGTTAAAAAGTCTGACATTATTGATGAGTGTTTGAATATTGTGTTACTTTTTTTGTTTGTATATAAAATGTTTAAACGGTAACAATGAAAAAATATCGTATTAAAATAAAACTATTTTTAAAACACCTGAGATTTCCTTAAATTTTCTAATTATATTTTCACTTATCACAATTTACATTTAATTTAAAACTTAAGTTGTTATTCCTACATTTTTAAATCATTTATAATAATAAAAATATATTTTATTTTATTTCACTAGATCATATTATAATTCAATTAAAATTAAATACTGTCGATTTAGCTATAAACAATATATTGGTCACATTCTTCATTAATTCATTCTGGTATTTTGTAAATTTAATAAATTTAAAAATTAAAATAAGAAATATAAAGTATAAATTTAAGAAATTCTCAAATACCTACTTAACATTATTTTTAAATTTGATTAATATTATAGTATAATTTAATAAAGAAGCCGATTAAAATATAATGATTTATACACAAACATGTAAGAGGATAATAAGTAAGTAAATTAAATCAAAATAAATTTTATTTTAATTTGAGAAATCATTATGTATAATACTTCAAATTTACATTTCTAAATTCCAGTGTTTCTCTACTAATTGTATGTTTTATTGAAATTTATAAAAAAATAAAATTTTATTTGCAGTTTTCATAAACAAGAATATAGCATAATATTATAATAATACTATATAATATATTATAGCTTAAAAATCTCAATAATAAAATATAGTAAAAATGAACAGAAAATAATATGAAATAATATTACCTATACTAAAACGTATACACATATATTTTTTTGTATTATACTTAATGAATAATAAATCAATAATTTGCAGTTATAAACAGAAGAAATATATCTTTAAGACAAAAATCCAAAATTGTTTTAAAATAAAAGTAAATTTTTTAATGCAATTATAGATATTTGAATATCTCATAATGCAGGCACTAAAAATTATCAATTTTTAAATTGAAAAATAACAAAATTGTAAACGTATATATATTATATAGGTATAATAATTATATTCATATAATTAAATTTAGTTATTTTTTTTTTTTTAATTTTAATTGTTTATAATTTCTTACCTCGTTTCGCTTTAAGCTTATTGGGTCTATGATATTTGTCTTTTAATCTCGACTTTGTACTTTCAGGCTCGGGCATTGTAGATTTTATACTGACAGGACAAAGCACACAAAAATGATCAACACACCAATACCTAAATGCAAATCGCATATTGGAGAATATAGGTTTACCAAAGCAAACTGTTCACTTTCATCGGCAAAGATTGTCTGAATATAATATAAGGAGCGTGGAGGTGCTTGAGACACATTGTATATCTACGGTGGGGTGTTACGGTCGACTGGACCGTTGATGATACATTGATACTTGTTGAAATTCGGCCACACTGATATTAGACAAGGATGATTTTTTTTTTCTCAAGTACCTACCAAATAGTTACTCAAAATGCACATGTTTATGTCCTACATTATATAGGCCGATAAAAAAACAAATTATAATTTTGTTCCACGAGAATTATATTACGCTAAAAGAAAAAAATTAATTTAGTTTTAAATATGATACAAATAACTATGTTACAATATAGGTATTTATTAGATACATATAATATGCTTGTTAATTTACTCGTTAGTTCAAGCACGAGATTAAATATTTTATGATTTCAAAATCGAAAATGTTATATTTGTATCTTTCAACACGAAGTTTTTTCGGTATAGAATTAGTACGATCAAATCTTAAACTATATAGTTAGTTACCTACCACCTATATGATTATTTTGTAATATTAATTTCAAAAATAACAATTAACATTTACTTTTAATGTTTTTATAAATGCAATACATATTTCATATTCATTGTGTAGGTATAAAGTATAATCAGTGGTATTCCCATATGGTACACTACATTATACGTCGTACACTATCAACATTTTACTGACATTTCACGGGTGTACTGCGTATATTCTCAAACAGTATTGATAGTTAAAACAGACAAATAATAGATTTAAAAAAAAAAAACAAAACAAATTCATCATGTTATTTTTTATCAGTGCCCGTTTATATATCATGTCACTAACCCATACCCAGAGCCTAAAATAACGTATCCCTTAAAAATCAAAGTGTATCCACTGAATTATAAATGTGTGTATTATGTTTTATAACGTGTATATTAGTTTTAACGGTCGAAATAAAAAAAAAAACAGTAAATCTGATAACATAAAATCGGATTTTTCTTTTAGCTATGAAAATCTATCAAGTCTATCAATTGAATAAAAAGTGTGTCCCCTGATATCTGATATATTTTAGGTCCAGCCCATACCTAATTATAGTAATACGAGTTTTATGTATTTCAGTAATTATAACTACAAATTCACAATTTACAAAGCTGTTTTGTTTTAAAATTTTAAGCTTGTTATTTTAGAAATTTGAATTAAATTTTGTACAATAATTATAAGTTGATATTTGTTTCCCAATAAACAGCGTACATTATACGAAAAATATAAATTAACCCACGTGTAAGGCACGCAGGATATTATAGTGCCTATAGTCTCAAAAATATCGATGGGAACACCACTGAGTATAATAATAATAATATTCAAACGACTACATTTTTTACGGTTCATAGAATATCCAAGTTCATATTAATTATAGATAGACAATATTTAAATAAAAACAAAATAGCATTATTTATTTTGGGGTTCATGTACCTATCTACGTCATTATTTCCTGCTGTTTATTTTTAATTAAAAAGTATTTATAGTGGATAAAATAATTCACTAAAGCGTAGAGTCGTCTATTTTTAAATACCAAATGAAAATTATTAACATCATGCGAACAAAAATTAGAACATCGTATATACATAGTCGAGTGAAAGAGAATATGTACCTATGTATATATATTATATGCACATACATTTTAGTTTTAGAGAAGAATCAATGAATTAGGTATTTGCAGTTTACCGTGATAAATTGCAAATAATAATAATAGTATAACACGTAGTAGGCATGAAAAAAAACTTACCAGCTTCGTGGTCTTGCAGGTTATTCTGTCCGATATTATTCGATTTTGTCTGCCTAGAAAAAAAATAATTAACAAATAATATTAAATATTTTTACATTGTTTACATAATATTAGAATTATCAATATTGTTCAAACGAAATAAGTGTACTATATTTAATGGGTAAATTAAGTTAACGTTATTTTATTCGCCGATATTTCTTGTTCAATGATAAACGTATACGCTCATTCGTTACATTTTTAAAATATGTCATGGGCTTTTTTTATTTTGATACGCGTGTATATTTTTAGTATACTGTAAAGAATGATGATAATATTATAATATGAAAAAACCAAAAAGCCTAACGCACGTACATAATATAATAAAATAAAAAGGTAATCATTGCACCGTATATCCTCGTTTCCAATCCGATTTCAACACGGCATTCATATAATATAACAGGTTCCTGTAGGTATTATACGAGTATAATTATAATAATGTACTCGTATTATAGCGATTGAAATATTTTGCATAGGCACGAATATTATTTTGTAATAATAGATTTTGTGTAAATTTGAAAAATCATAAAACAATGTTATTATAATACAACACACATTTAAACGTAATCAATAATCGTATATGTCAATCTGTAAAAAAATTACGATTATTCTTCTCTATAAATACTTCAAAACAAAAAAAAAAAAGGCCACGCTCAAAAAGGAAACGATGTCTTATATTAACTAAAAAATAAAAAATACGCTCCAAAATGCATTGATATTGATATTTACAAAAATGTCTCAATTTTTCTTCTACCTTACACTTTTCTGCTTTCTCCTTACTTTTATCTTTTACCCTTTAAACCTTGTATTTTGCCAAATTAATATTAAATGCTGAGCAGCTATTTTTAAAGATTTCACACTTTGTAATTTTTGAAATAATTTCTCCAAATTTTTCTATATCGAGATATTCAACATATTTCGAGGTAAATGGGAAAAGAACTGAGAGAATTAAAAATTTGAATAATAATGCATTTTTAGGTCAACTATATTTTTATGTAGAAAGCACGATTAAAGATATAAAGGTTGGAAATTGAGCTGTGATAAAGTGAAGCACAATCCTTCTGAAAAAATTAGCTGTTCCAACTAATCTAGTGTAATCACATTTCTAGCGTCAAAAATAATTACTTGTTATTAACATTTATTAATATTGTCATGACTCATGGCTATGGTTCTCACATCCCACCATAAACAAGTATTAGTAAACTGTCGTAGTCGTTTTACTTGTTACAACTTTCGGGCTGTGCAGCGATTGAGTAGAAAATAGTAATTACTAATTAGTTGCAAATAAATGAAATTCATAAAACAATCAAATAATTTTATTAATATTATTATCATATAACGTAAACATATATTAATATTTATATGATTTAAAAATTTACGAACACGAAACAACTTATAGCAACTTATGACTTATTTCACTAATTTTGATAGTTGTTTTTTAGTTTTATTTTCCTTTTTATACTTTGGTTTTGCATGTAAGTAAACTGCCCCATACGCATTATTATATAGGTAATATGAGAAAATGTTTGTCAACGTTTAAATTTGATGTTTCTGGATAGTACATGAAAACTTCAAATTCACATTTCGTTTGAAAAATTATGCACGTGTTTTACAAACACATCACTTGAGTTATCAAGTAATCATGATATCAAAAATTTCAACGACATTATCATCACGTGTATAATGTACCTTGAACACAATTTAAGATATATATATATATTATATTTATGAACTATAATGTGTCAAAGATCGTGATCTTGATCATAATTTATAATTCGTGAATATTCGTCATAAAAAACGCGGCAATATGAGTAGTAATATTGTTGAAGATAATTCCCCTGGTATCAATAGCGATTAGTTGGAACAGTTGATTTGTTCAAAAGATTTGGGCTTCAGGATTTAAAATTGTTTATATCGGCCAATTCCCAACTTGTATATCTTTAACCGTGGTAGAAAATATGACTACATAGTTCTTTCTTTGAGCTTGGCCTTTTTATTTTTTTTGTAAGTATTTATGGGGGCTAATATTATACACAACACACATGTAAACAAAATCATCATATTAAATAATATTATATTTATACTAAAAAAGTGCATACTAATATAATGCAATTATTTAGTTTAACATAATTTCTAAATATAAATATGAAATAAGAAATAATAGTACATAATAAATTTGTCTGCGATATCAAGATGTTTAATTTTAGAATCAAAAAATGACAAATATTTGTATACATTTAGGATTAACCACTTGTTTATACGATTTTTTTTTATTGTTTATTTTTTATTTTAGGGTACTCACACCATGTATATATATATAAATAAAATAAAAATGAGAAATTCAAAAATGTCATTTTTATTAGAGTATATAATATCATCAAAGATGTTTTTAATTTTATTAAAAAAAAAAACCTAAAGAATGCGTGTACTTACTTTTTTACATATTAAGAATTTATAATATGCGTTTAAGAAAAAAATATACAATATAAATATCATTATAATACCTATTAATTTTATAAAAAATATTAACTGCATACTTACAAAAAAATATCGATTTTAAATTACATTATTACCTAGTAGTATTTAATTTTAAAATATGCTACTGCATACATATAATTGATGTTTTTTTCAATTTCCAAGTATACTGTTCAAATGTGCTTTTATCTTATAATAAAAATATTCGCAATATTATTGTGGTTTAGAGTGCTTTAGATTGTAAACGTTTAATATTTTTAAAAAATGAATTAAAATTAAATGTATAAATATAAAAGTATAATTATAATTTAAACGATAATTAATTAACAATAGATTTCTCATTTCTTTATTAGACTACTGAAGAATTGATTAATAATTCGCATTATAATTTTTAATTTGATAATATTTTACTGATGTTCTATAATGTTATAATAGATGTGGAATAGAGACACAATCATTATTTGACAAGAGAAGCGTGGCGTTGTTAATACATCAATATTATCAGACATGTATATTATGACAATCTGGATCTCATTAATTATTTCGGTTGAACTTGTAATATTACAAAAAGACAAAGAAATATTCCTTATCACGAGTTGACCCCTGCCGTAGGTAAAGAGTTAGGAAGGTATAGGTAAATATGGAAATTAATCAAATGTTAAATACAAAACGATTTTAAGTGGGGTTCAGTCAATATAAATGACTGAATTATAAATCCGTAAATTTTTTTTTATTATTCGCGTAACCACGGGAAATTTATTAGAAATAAATAACATTTTTGTGTTCAACGTTCAAAATGTGTCCAAACGTCCAAACGTGATCACCGGTTTTCCTATAAATATATTACTGAAAATATTTAATAAGACTCTCGATTACACCAATTAAATTAAAATTATACAAGTAATCCATTACTTAGTCCATTAATCCCGATTATTGGATCATATCTTTTGGTCAAAATCATTTTAACAGATAGGAAAAAAAATCGCAAACATTATGTTAAAACTAATACATTTCTCATTTCACTGATATAACCCAAAATGTAATGAATAAGTTAAAATATTAGTAAAATTTGTCATATACTTTCTACAGTAATAATACAACAGTGATAGGTACCTAATATTCTGTTTTCCGATTTTATTTAAATATTTATAACACTGAAGATGGCTTGTAATATTTTTCGCATAAAATTATGCGACCCATATACAAGTATGAAAACCTCAGGACTACATACTTATAACTATAGATAATAAGTCACTTAGTTATTATAAAAAATCGATTAATGTTTTATTTCCCATAGGTAGCCCGATGATGGAAATAATCTATTAACATACACGAATAGAATTTAACTATATATATATATATATATTTTTTTTTTATTAATGCAAATATATTATATAATATATATATATATATAGTTATGGTATATGTATATATACATATCATACAGGTAGGTACAAGTAAAATTACATTTTAGCGCTGAATAGTTTGTATTTAGTTTACCTATTATATACCTATGTAAATTGTAATGGCTTTAAAAGTTTTACTGTCGCGTTTAGGGTCAAAAAAGGCGTGTCTTACTATGTGAAGCACAGAGATTTATCATGATTATAGTGATTTTATTGTAATGCACAGGATGGGCGTGGGGTTTAATCGTCTAGAACATATACTTGGTCGACACCCAAATTATATATATATATATATATATATATATATACTTACCTACCTATATACATTTTAAAATGTTTACTTGTTGAAATTTATAAAGAATCGCGATTGCAAAAAACATTTAATACATCATTGATATAATATTAAATTAAAATAATCAAGCACAATTTCAGATGATAAATTAACAGTTTAGTACATAAATAAACGATTATTTATATTTATTATTAACTTTATCAAAGAAGATTTAGATTTTAATAATTATTTCCTTATGAAAACGTTCCAAAGGGTAATATTTCTTATTATCCATATATGATATTTTCTCGATCAAATAGTATACAGATATTTAAGATTTTATTTCCCCAAAACTGAATCTAAGACTAAATTTGAACCTAATTAATTAGTTTTAAACTATTTATTAGTTTTTAGTAGGTAGTTTACATTTTCTATGGAAATCTATAATAAAGATATAAATATAACTACATACGTATCTATATAAGTACGACTAAAATGGGTTGTTTTTTTTGTAATTAAGGGGCTGGTTGCAAGAAAGACATTTTTGTGGAAATGCTCTTTTTGCGTTTCTACGCTCTTTTGGATTCAGCAACCTGTACATTATATTATGTGATACAAATTTTACGAATTGAGCGCTGGAGAATTGTTTACGTAATTATTGCGTTTAAATACCTTTCTTGCATAGAATCATATTATATACCGATTCGTTTTATTTATTAATAATATTGTTTCAGGCAAATTTCAATGATTTATAACTAATAACATTATAATTGACAACTTGTTATTTTTCGTGGCAGATTATTTTGTTAATACAAGGTTCTATTTTATTATAATTATTTATTATTCTTGTGTTCTCTGTATGTTTTATTCCATGACTGTTATTTATGTGTATTTATTAAATAATAGTTTTTAAATAAGTTTTGACACCATGAGTACAGATAGATACTAGGTATTCAATAATATTCATTTATCACTAAATCGCTATAAATGTATAGAATTTGCAAGTATAGGTATTTTGTATATTAGGTCTAATTATAGTAGACTTATTCGTTAATCTACATTCTACACTCAAAGACGGATTTACACAATTTCCGCCTCTAAACAAATTTAATTTTGTCACCCCATCAAACTTATCAAATAGAAAACGAATTATTAAGTACTCATTTTACATAATATCCGAGTATTAAGTCTATCCGCCTTGAAAGTTGTGCTGAAAATAATCGAATGTCTAATCAGAATAAACACATGAATAGTATCTATTCTCTACTCGGCCACACTCTATTTCATAGTCACGAAGAAAAATATTATTACAATTGTATCTTTTGGATAGAAAAAAGTTGTATTTTTGTACACGTAGTGTGTAATAACCAACACTTGATAAATATCTATAAAATTAAATTAACTTTTGGGTTATGAAAATGTATTACTATAAATTTTAGGTAGGTATTTTCCTTCAATTGTAAATATTAAAAATTATCTTAGAAAATCTAAAAATAAACTAGTATTTTTTTCAATAAAATATTAGCGTAAAATTGTCGCCCTTAAAAATTTGACACCCTAGGCAACTGCCTACTTTGCCTGACGCTTAATCCACCACTGTCTACACTCATTAAACGTTTTTAAATGTTAATATGTTTTTAGTGAAGGGTTCCATGAATAATAAAATTAAAAATGAAATAACTTGAAAAAAAAATATGTTTATGAGTAAAATATATTGTATTAATATATTTATAAGGCGCAAATTATGTTCTTCATGCCAACAATTTTTGTACATAACATTGCTTAAGGCGATAACAAATATTTTTTCGTAGAATAATGTATACTGTTAAATTAAATGTACACTTTTTAATTAACTAAAATTAACTAGAAATGTTATTTGTAAAAATTATTTACAAAAATATCTTTAAAATGTATGCCGATCGCTAACATATCGCACATCTAACTAATCACGATCAAATATATTCGCATACTCTCTTTTAAAAAAACTCTCGAGAAATTTCAATCAAGTATTAAATTATCTCGTGTGGTTATAATAACACAATTTTATTCAAAATCTTTGAATCTAAAAACGAAATTTATACGATATTAAAAATTTGATAAACCACATTTTGCAGCTATAATTTGAATAATAAATTGATATTCTATAAATTTATAAATTTAATGAAATGGTAAAAATATTTAAATTTTTTTTACATAAGACGTTTGTTTGATATAAACAGGAGAAACTAAAAATAGAACAGTACCTATTTCCATGGCCTGTAAACTTTTACAAAACTCGTATATGAAAACCGATATGTGAATAATGTTAAATATTTTAATTCGTTAGATTTTATGCTCAATACATACCTCCGAGTGTAATTTGAATTATAATGAAAACGTAATAATAATATTAATAAAATAACTTTTGTATGACAAACCTGTACACGCCAAGAGTTAATGTATCTCCAGAATTCCTAATCAGTGATTGTGCTTCGTTAGATGTAAGATCGTCAACCGAAGCGGAATTTATCGATTCAATCAAGAATCCCTCGCGTACACCAGCCTTGGCTGCTTTTCCTGCATTATTAACCTGAAAAAAAAATATTTAAATAAATCTCTAATCAATATCATTTTTTATAATATTATTCTGTTACAAATCGCATTGTGTCAGGTATCTTTGAATGCGTATAATTTGCATCATTTTATTTTACTATTCATATATTCTCAGCTATAGAATACTAATCAAGAGTTTAGTTGAGCGTGTTATTTAAATAAAAAAAAAATTATTAGCAATTAAAATAGAAAAATTAGTCTACATCAATATAAAACAAAATAAAACGAATACAGATTGACTATAATTGTATTAAAAAAAAAAATATATAAATGTTGGGAAGGAACGTGATCCTTTTTTTTTATAGAAACGAAACATGGAATCCTTAAAAAAACGAGGAACGGGAACGAAATATTTTTGAAAATTAATTTTCCCAACATTGAGAAAAATATTTGTAATAATAACTTTACATAAAATAGTGCAAATTCGGACTGTAATATTATTTTAACTACGGATATGCATATATTCATATGTATACATATATATGAATGTCTCGAAGGCGTGTTTTAATGTACCTATTAAAAATAAATATTTTAATCAAAGAAGATTGATAGACATGCTTATCTAACTTGTTCCTTTTTGTTCCGAAATTTGAGCATTGTAAGCACCGTATTTGTTACATTCAAAATGTATAGTAAAGTATACCGCAACAGCCAATAATATAGTAGTATAGTAAATAAGGTAGAGAGGTTTGATATATACGCCGTTATTCTGCAACTGACGAGTGTAATATATTTTTACGGATGATGTAATTCAATCAAATAACAATGAAAGAAGAACAAATTACAGTTAATTCAAAACACGTTGATTAATTTTTTATTTTTTTTAATAACTGTCCCACAAACTAGACGGAATAGAACTGACAGCGTGTATGGAATTACAATACATTGCGTGCCGTACAATAATAATCGTGGTAATACACCGATATCATCGTGTACAATTATAATACGAGTATGTTGTGACATTTTACAGATTCCCGGAAACGCCCTATTTCCACAGTTTAAAAAAATAATAATAATCGTACCACACCACATATTGTAATATTATGCATGCGTAATTCGTATGGCATTGGGTATGATAATTTACAAAATATATTAAACTGATATTTAAAAAATTATTTATTACAAATAGTTAATTTATGTATATATTTAATTAAAAAAAAAAACAAAAAAAAACATTAGAAAATTCGGATAAGACCGAGGAAAACCGGAAAATATACGAAATGCAATAGTAAAATATGGCCGTATTTTTTTCAGTGAACAACTTCTCTACTAGCAATTTTGCTTCGAATTGAATTACAATGATAGCACTTTTTTAAACGGAAATCTGACTGGGGAGGTACTTTACGAATGTAATTTTTCGATTTTCCCAAGAGTTTTCCAAATAAATGGGAAAAACATGGTAAAAACCGGGAAAAAACGAGAAAATAGGTACAACATTGAACAAATATTATTATAAAAAATAACAAAGATACTTTTTTGTTCTGCTTTTTTGATTTACTTTCTTATGGCATCATCGCCAAAACCTTTGAACCACTTTTGAGCTTTCAAGGAATTTTAATTTTTGGGAGTTTTTGTTATAATTCGGATATAATTACGCGTGAAGATTTGAAACTTGGTAATAATACTTATATTGGAATTACCTAGACGTGGTAAAATTTCCAAAATCATCGAACGACTTTTTAATTTTTAATAACGTTTTTAAATTAAATATAAACGAAAATCGCAACAAAAAAAAATACGGCACTTTAAATTATATATTACCGAACTGCACTCGGAATCGTCTTTCATCAAGCATCAATGGCTAATCGTTACTTACAAATGTAAATAAAATAATCTTATGTATCCTATCTTTCCAACTTCTCACTTACAAAAATGGTTGCTTCCGTACCCAGTATCAGCACTTTTTTTTTAGATTCTGAGAGCAGCGAGAGAGATCTATTGGTTTATCTATGATATGTTTTATTTTTTTCTGTGGGAAACTTTTCAAATAGAAAACTTGCTCCGGTCGAAAATGATAAGATGAAACCTCTTTTTGTTGAATTTTAGATCTAGTTGGTTAAGGAGATCATTTTTTGATTTTCCGATGTGTTTTCCAAAATAATTGGGAAAAACCAAAAAAAAAAATTATCGTTAAAATGGACAAATATTGCCGAGTCGAAAAAATGTACGAAAAATATATAACAATAATGTTTTTCGTGTAATGCGTCTCAAATTATTCAGTACCACTTAAAAATGTAAATTGAACCTTGAGTCGAATTATCGAGCATTTCTGATAAACCGAACAAATTTTAACCACATAAATCTGCCATATAAAATTAAAAAACTTGAACATTTCAAATGGCTAAAAATAACTCAATAGTCACCAGAGCGGTTTTAAAAACTATACCACGTCTAAAAAATGCTAATATAAATATTTACTGAAAATGTTGAGTCTCTGTAGTGAATCGCTACAGAATCAAAATTAAAAATTACTGGAACCATAATTTGCGTAAATATTCCCTTATTTTTTTTTTTTTTTTTTTTTTGATTTTCTTCAATCGTAGAGGAAATAACCAAGAAAAATCTAAATAAGATATCGTTGACAGGTGTGGTACTTAAACAATTTAACAATTTTCTTTTTTATGAAATTGACTTAAGCCCTTTCTCCGTAATTTATAACTATAAAATACGTTTATTTATGTTTCCTAATAAATAATTTTATTTATTAAACTACTAATTTATTAATTAATTAAATTAAATGTATTAAATCAAGGATCACGAACATGTTAAATGTCACGTATATTTGTCTAAACGTGAATATTATAAAAATTCATTGCCATTTCCAATATTATTATGGTCTTCGTCTCCAATTGTTAAAACTCATTATCTCTTTTATACATGACACATGATACTAGTGTATATAAATTTAAAAAAAAATTGATATTTTGAAATATGTGTAATTTACGGACGTGTAAATTTCTACGAATATTATTATTTTTTTTTTTTATTAAAAATTTTCAAAAAACATTTCTAAAATTAATTAGCTATCAAGTAAACATAATATTACGTATGACCTATATATCTTTATTAAAAACTGTACAAAGAGTCGAAATCTGACGTATGTGTGTTATAAATAGAACTTATACGTGATTTACTATAAATACTAATATTTAAGAGCCGGTATAAAGTGTAGTTATTTTAGAATTTAAAAAAATTGTAGACAACTTGGTATTTTTTTTAAAAAAAACCTAAAATGTGAGAAAAACAATGAAAAAAAAACAAAATAAAATAAATCAATCGTTTTATTTGTGTGTTTACTAGCGAACAATTATGCATGCCAATTTTTTGTTTAAAAAAACATTTTCTTTTTGAATCCAAATAAAAAAAAAAAGTGGACATATTTCGCACGTAAGAGCAGTAACCAAGAGAGGAGAGAAGTCGAGGTGAGGAGTTGGGAAAGGAGGATACAGAAAGAAATTCTATGTATATCTGTAAACAACGATAAACCATTGCTAACGATTCTGAGCAGAGTTCAGTTGATAGTGAAGCTTTGTCAACAATATATAATATGTCATATTATATTAAAATAATTAAATAGATATTGTATATTTTCTTAAATAATATTTGTTCAATATTATACCGATTTTCCCGGTTTTTCACATTTTCTGGGAAAATTCATGGGAAAATCGAAAAATGACCTCTCTAAAGTACCTCCCCGTCCGATTTTCTTTTGAAAACAAGCGCTATGGTTGTAAATTGGAATCAAATTATTGTTAATAGAAAATTTGTTCACAAGAAAAAATAAGGTCGTATAATATTTTACTAATGATTTTTTTTCCGTTTTTCTCATTCTTTTCCGGATTTTCGAATTCTTTTTTTTAACTAGATCCTTTCAGAAAAGATGCTAAATCGTATATACCAGAGCAAGATTTCTGGTGGAAAAGTCGTCAACAGAAATAAAAAAATAAATAAAAAAAAAGTAAACATCTTTGTAAAACTATAAGCTTCTTCGTTCCACTCAGAATCTAAAAGATGTGGGTTGCCGTTTGAAAACAAAAGTAAATAATACTATTGTTCGTGCGATATACAGAATACGAGAAAAATGTAAAATTCAAAATCGAATATACACGTTACCCCCCCCCCTCCCATCAAAGTTTATTTCCAACACAAACTTTGAAGGCGTTGAGTCATAGACACATCACTGACCCACGAAGGCAATTACACGTCACTTATAATAAACAACTTCTATACATTTTATTTAAAAAGTGTTTACACACAAATGTATCATAACTTTTTTCGACTTTTTAACATGTTGTGCAGGTGATGTATATTTTGTTCTACTTGTTAATTATGTAATCCACTGATAAATATTTAGTCGATACTACGAAAAAGCTTAACGGATATGTTTGTGGGTGCTAATTCAAAACTTTAGACCCCCCCCCCCAGCATCCTTCTAGTTGCGTTTATGCCCGCACGAAACATACGATAGTATAAAACGTTAGTATTACTTATCACTATAGATTATTATCTACGAATTACAGGAAGACGATACCTCGTTTTTGTTTTGGCTCGCTAAAATGTTAGCCAACAACACGTCCCGGAACCTTCTCGCCGAATAATGAAAGTGCACGTGTGCATCGGATACCGTATCGACGAGCATTTTCGTTTGTTTGCCTATTTGTTCCGTTGAACGATCGAAGACGCGCGTGTTAAAAACGATATGATTATTTTTGGCTCGCCGGCAAATATCAATACCGTACAATTTGTAATATTCGCGGGACAGTCCGCCGGTGGCCCCGTAATATCACAGCGTTTCGTATACTGTTTCGCGAACTACGAGTATACTGGCGGAAAATCGACGGGAGCGTCAAGAGCCTGGTAATAACGAACCGGGCGGATCTCGGACGCTCGCGTATTGTGATGTGCCGTGAAATCGGCAAAGGTCGGCGGGACTGCCGCGCGCGAAAGCCGGGAAAACCACTGGAAAAACCGCGGCAGCGAGTGCGATTCGTGACGATACCGGTACGGGTTAACGTGTGCTGCGTACTGCCGGCGGTCTGCGGCATAAAGCATCGGCCGCATTATCGGCCGGTATGATGGTGGGTCGGGCGTGTTGCGGCCGCCGCGGCACGGGGAAAGAACGGAGGAAGGAAGGAAGGAAGGAAGAATGGAAACGAAAAGAAGGAAAAAAAGAAAGAAAGAAAAAAAAAAAAAGAATGATAGCGAGCTGCAGCAGCATCCATATGGCGTGTATAATGACCGCGGCGGCGGCGGCGGCAAGAACGGATTATTTGGACGAACGAACCGCGGTGGAATGCGACCGGCAGGCCTTGAACGCCGCCCCACCCCTCCCCCACCCCTTGCTGGCACGACTGCGTAATATTATTATAATCATAGGATAGAGGGACCCGATAACCGCCACCGCCGCAGCCGCCTATAACCTAACCTAACCTTGCCGCCGGGGGCGAGGACGGGGACGTTACCGGGGATTGTTATTTCGGTTCGGACTGATATTTTTTTTATTATTATTATTATTCTTTCGGCTCGCGCGAGGTGCGACCGGGAACGCGTTTCACGCGGCGACGACCGCGTAAGAAACACCGAACGCACTGCTGTTGTGCATTGTGTACAGGCGCTATTCAGACGTGCCGCGGTATGCACGGTGCACGGTGCACGTGCACCGCGCGCGTACGCGATTTTTACATGACGGTGCGCGCGCGGATCACGGCGTACGCGGCGTTAAAATATCAACCGTAGCCATAGTATCGTGGCGAGCGCACGCGGAACGGTGACGCGATGACTGTGATGTGCGTAAACGCGCGCTGCAGACGAACGCGGCGGCAATGCGACGCGGCGAGAGCCGACCCCGCCGGGGCGATAAAGAAATAAACGCGCTGGCCGTTCGTCTTGCGGTGCGCTGGGCGCGTGTACGCGTGGGCTTCGAAGCGAATTCGATTCGGCGTTAAAAAGCGCGCGCGCCGAGCGTTCCGCCGAGACCGCGCGAGTTTTTGCGCTCACGTCGTGCCGGCGTTTTCGAATCGAACAATTCGATTTTAATATCATCACAGCAAAAATATTTCGTCACTGTTTTCAACGTTTTACCGCAACTACGTTTTCCCGTCGCGTACCGCGGTATCAAGTGGCGGTCCCACCGTGCGCGGTATCGGTAATTCGGTTTTTATTAACGATGGCGGGGCGTTTACAATCGCAAATGCTACAAATAGCACGAACAATAGTATTTCATCATTTCGCACGCTCGTTCAAATGTTCTCGGCGTCTGAGCTTCTCAATAATCGCGAACCTCCGGAGCACCGAGTGCGCGCGAGACCGGTCAGTGCGTCAAATCGGATGCGCTGCCCCGGTTCACCGGATTCCAGTCGAATCGAATGCGGTTTAGCACTCGGTGCAAACGTCTCGCATTTTTTCGCCAAATCGAATTCGCTATTAAGAGGACGCTATGGCCCGCGCGGCTGCATGATGTCTCAGTCCAACTAACGCGGGTGATATAGCGAAATCTAACTTACGAGGTCTGCGTAGAATCCGCTGGATTTCGGTTTTAGAGTATAAGTATAAGCGCCTATAATAAAGTTGAAATACGACAATATTTTGTTGGGCGAGGTTCCCTGTTATTATTATTATTATTATTCCGCGGGTTTAACGTTCAATACACCGTTTAAGAGTGCAACCTAATTCGTCGATTTCAAATGACTGTAACCCTATTAAAAACTGAATTTAAAAAAATTAATTAATAACGATGATGATGATAATAATCGTTGTAATAAAAATCAAACGGATGTTAGACAATACAAATTATGTACGATAACTGCAGCAGATCAATACATTTTGGTAGGTGCATATCGTTTAAGAATTAATAATTTTAAATTATCCTTAAACATATATTTTGCAATTTACAGTAGGTAATAATTATTTTATAGCTGTTCGCCAAATTCTAAACAAATTTTTCGATAACATAAATAATGTTAATAAATCTATATTAAAACAACTATTTGTACGCTGATGCGAGCCCTTCTACAATATTGTAACTAATAACGATCTGTAAACATAATAAAATTTGTATTGCTTAGCTCAGCCAACTCGTACGTCTTAATATTTATATGCGTTTGTAATAACACTAACAATTAACGATTTCATAATATCAACAAAAAAATAATAATAAAATCACACAAATCATCATCGTGATTTATTATGAACGTTAACTTACGTTTTTGTAGTTGATAAGTTCCTCGGTATGCGTAACGTGAGCCATTTTTTTCTATAGTAATCGGTAACGCAATTAAGTTATTATATTTATTGATCAATTTTTATACTTCATGATTTAATAATATTATTACGTACTGTAAAAATGTTTTAATAAAACATTGCTTGTAGTTTTTTTTTTCAGACAATTTGTAACGAATATTATTATTGAAATTTAAATGTAATGTATAAAATTTGTAGACACACAGAAGTCAGAAGTACAGAATTATACAGACTAAACGCTATCATATTGTAATTCTGCAATTTTGCGTGACATACATAATTTTCTAGCATGTGTCTATTTTTAACTCGTTTAAAAACGAAGACCTTCGTCCTAAATGCATTTTACTACGATGAAAAATATATTTCCAATAGATTCACGTAAATTCGCAAAAACTCGGAAAATAAATAGTTTTTATAGACCAGTTATTTATGTAAAATGCAAATACCTATTTGTAAACGTACAATAATAGATTATTATAATTATGGTCAGGATTTATTCGAGTTTATCGGTTTCGAATGAAAATACAATATTGATATACACCTATATAGTATATTACGATATGTTTTTTCATTTTTTTTTTTTTATTTTACAAAACAAAATAACATTAGTCACATACAGTTGTAACTTGTTGTAATTATATTATAAGTATAGCGTAAGCCATGGGTGTGCTCGACCAGGGGCAACTGCCTCATAACCATCATCACAAATTGTTTTAGTACGCCCATATTTCGAATAATACCTCTGATGTAATTAATATACCCGTATAATATAATATATAGATAATCCAAGTAACTGAGCTCATTTGGAGTACATTTATTTTTTTTTTTTTTCAAATTTTAAGTACCAGACAATATTAATGGACATTTTTATCTATCTTTACGTTTTTCTCAATCTGTATTATTATTATTTTTCAACTAGATAATGGATACGTAAGTATACAACCGAATATCGTCCACATATCCATTACAGATGTTACCTGCAGTCCATCGTATAGTCGTACCGTGGTTTTAAACCAATTACTCGCGTTGTACGGTTGATTATAAAAGTTATGGTTCAACGGTTTCGAATTCTACTGTGTAGTGGTACGCAAGCAAAATCTATTTTTTTCTTTATATCGAGATTTTTACCATTGATCTTTCATTTATATATATATAATAAAATATAATAGATGTTATACATGAGACGAGCAAAATACTCTACAGGTTCGAAAGAATAATTTTCTATTCAATACGTGACCGCGATGCTATACTTGAAAAAAAAAATATACGTATATAAAAAGATAATTTTTCAGAAACATAATATTATATTAACATGTCCTTAACATCTAATCAAATTCACATATACAATAGATCACACGCATTTAACTCAAATAAATGGTCAAAACTAACTGTAGTTGAATGTTGTATTGTCAATCAAACGTGCGAATAATAGTAAATGAGTATTAAAATACCATTTTTTCCACTTACATTATACAGTGTCTCACTATACCGGCCATAATTTTTTACTATTTTTTTATCCCGATAAATTTTATAGAGCTATTTAAACGCATTTATTAATTTTATTTAAAGTCCAAATTCTAAAACAAACAATTTTTTTAAAAAAACTTTTGTTTGTTTATTTGTTTTTTTTTTTAAAAAAAAACATTAATTTATAAACGAATAATATTTTTGAATCGAACTTTTCAATGAATTTTTTTACCACTATTTATTAGGTGTTAAACGATTATAGAGAAACGAAATAAAGCGTTAGTAACTATAATATTCTATGCCTACTAAAAACAGTAAAAACATTAAAAACGCTGGCCTCATTTGGGTATGCAAACCTAAATAAACACAATTCACCTGTAAAATCGTGGTTAAATTCAGATTCAGAGAGTATACATATATATCACTGATTAGTATTGTATACACCAGATTCCAAAATATCATGATTCTCCCAATGATTACCAAGATTTCCTATAAGATTTTCTTTAATATTACTAAAAATATCCCTGCAGTGATTATTTCAGACTTTCATCCCTGGGGGAGGTAAATTTCAAACATTTCCTATATACCTATATAAATTCTTAAGTATTAACTTGTAGATAATAATATATAGTAGCGACAATAATCCCAAGAAGGGAGGTGGGTGGTCAACCCTATTTATATCACTTATATCCGTCTATAAAACAACTATAGTATAGGGGTTTAAGTTCATTTAAACAAAATGAGCCGCTAAAAATCTCCAAAAGTAACTAGATACTATTCAACAAACTAATAGAGTGTTTGAGTACCTAATAGTATTTAAATTTTAAATACAAATAATCGAACACGTATTTTAAATATTTCTATAAATATTACTTAGTATTGTATTTTAAATATCTTTCAAAATTAATTGTACACCTATCTGGAATAGAATACTAATTTTAAATACTTTTATAATTTTCCATATTTAAAATTTAAATGTTAACCACTTTGGAAATTAAATGGATTCAAAATTTTAACTAGCTCTGGTATTAAACCGGTATAAATTTACGCAAGGTAAATGATGCATATATCACGCAAAAAGAAAAACGAATAATAATGACTCTTTTTATGGTATAGTGTGTAAAAAAAAAGTATTTGACTATCTATAAATACATAGATAGTCAAATATTTTTTAACGAACTACTCGAATGCGTAACTTATTTACATTTTAGAGCAAAATCTCCGTATTTGTACTCAAAACACTTTTACAAGTCCGCAATACAACGTATAGTACAATCTATCTATTCCCGGGGAAGTATTGACTAAACTATGTAGGTACTTTCAAAGCCGCATAATATTATTATTTTAATATTCGAAACGGGCTGGTTCTATATGAAAATGTTGGTTGGTTGGTTTTTTTTTTTTTTGATCAACGATATAAACACACGGAACGCGTTGATACGTATATTATCATGATGGCGACCATATTAATATCACACGCGTATAATAATATACGACTATATGCCAAGTGAAAAAAAAAAAAAAAAAACCATAACAAGAGCCGAACAAAAACGGAGTAGTGACTGACACGATTTTTATATTGTATATTAATAATATTGTGTCATAATATAGGACAGCGGCAGAAAAATAAATATAATCGAAAAATCTCGAGTGCGTGAGCCCTGTCCCGCGGGCCACGTGTTTATCGTCGAAAAAAGACCGCGACCCGCCGGCCTTTTTTTTAACAAATCACTCGCGAGTCCGCGTACTACGACGCGTACTACTACGAGCTTAAGCGATATTTTTTTTCTGATTTTTTTTTTTTTTTCCGTTTCTTTTTCTAAATACGACCGCGGCACTGTATCATTCGTTCCGTACGTTATTCCAATGTCAACCGTGCACGACGGCGGCGACGGCGGTGGCACAGCGAAAAATAATAACATCGTTCCTATGTCTAAAAATATCACACAGAGCTCTTTTCTTTTTTTTATCTATACATTTTTTTTTTCGCTTCTATACGCGCACACGGTCCCGCACTGTTGTTGTACAGCAGACGTATTATAGTCGTAGGTGCCTACCTAACCTATCCGACCGCGTACGTACGTAGGCGGCGTTATATTATTACGGTGACGCCGTGACGGGCCCGCCGGTTGTACGAGCGATACGCTCGGTGCGCGCGCGCACAGCACCGCGAAAACCGGGCCCGGAGCCAAGGCGGCGCGCGCGCGGACGGGTCTCCGGGAGCGACGACGACCACGCCGCGGGAAATTTCAGACGATAATAATCCGTCGACGGCCACTGGCCCGGTTGTCCCGGCACAGTGGCGACTGGCTCCAAAGTAAAGTGCGGCCTCTAGTCCGCGGGGCACTCGGACGCTGCGATATGATATTTGAAATATACGTGATCGCGGCACTGACGCGCGCACGCGTTATTACCGATCCGAGACGGGGGTTTTTCGCGTTCTTGTTCCGCGGACAAACGAAATAATATTCCGATTGAACGGCCACATACAATGTACGCGTATTGTGTGCAACAGAGTCTCTCGTGCCGAGAAAACTTCGATACAGGAAGAAGAAACCCCGTATTTTCCCGAAGACAAGAATCCGAAGATAACGCCGACTTAGAATTTCAGCTGTGCCGGATTCCTTGACCTACGATCTTTTTTATTATTATTTCCCCCCCCCCCCCCCCAATAGACTCCATTGGACAACAGAGTGGGGTCCGCGTTAGGTCTGCTTGACTGCTTCCCCCGGACCGGCGCCTACACCCCAAGGTCCCAGCCACCCGTTTGCAAACTACCCGTTTTTTTTATCGACTTGAGTATAGGTTTACGCACTACGGTACCTATAGGCACTGTAACTTCATTGAAAAGATGTCAAGCGGCTTGGATCAATAGGCTTTCGTTTTAGAGTCGTCGCGTAATCTTATCTTTTGTTTTTCATCCGTAATTTTGGGAAAAGTGACCCAATCCCGGAAACGACGACATTGTTCGAGTGGGTGCAACCATTTGCTTGATAGCGCTTGTTGTAACGCGTATCTGCTATCCATGTTTACAAATAGTTCATGAAATAACGTCATGAAAGACGTTAAAATATACCGACAATTTTCGGTGATGGTTAACATGATATAATTACGTAAAACAATCGAAAAGTCTTCTAAAAACAGTTTTAGAAGTTTTACAAGTAATTAAAAGACCGACCATTTTCCAATGAATACAAATTAATTAATTGTAAAAAAAAAAAAAAAACAAAACAAAATAAACAAATGTGAAATGTGTCCCTTCGATTACGAGATTAATGATTTGAGATGATGTGCTCGATGATGATGTGCCGATGTGCCCGTCTCCAAAGTAGAATCATCTGCTAATTTTATAATAGGTAATATTATATCTCTAAAAAAAAACGCCTTTTAAGTGTGTAAATGTAGCACATGGACTAGTTATTGAACTTTAATCTCACGATAACTTATAACAATTTACGGTGTTACACAATAAAAACTTGTTACAGTAAAAATACGATACTACTAGTGCGATTATTTAAAAGCGAATTAAAATATTTGTAAGTTTGTATTTTTATTCTATAGTTTCGTTAAAATGCAATCTTTCAATATTATACACTGTCCATCAAATGTTACAGTGTCATTTCAAGATTTCGTTTTAATATCTTTATTGTTATTTACTTTTTACCACTCGACTCGTCGCGAACATCTCTCTCTCTCTTCACTCCCAACCAGTAATATAATAACGTATATTATAATAATATACGGTCTGATAATGCGGTGTTTGATTGAAAGTTCCTAATATGTTTGTGTAAACAAATAACTGTCGGCCGTAAACAACGAGATAATGTATTCCATTATAATGTTTTATAGAAAAGTGTTTTTAAAACTATCGTCCTACTCCGTGAAAGTCTTCTCAGTTCAAAATAGTATAATTTATGTTCCGTACAAACATATCTAACTTACAAGTATATACTGAAAAGGAAAAAGCAGTTATATAGACAGCGGGGGCAATAATATATTTAACGTCAGGGTATCAGACCCATATTTCAACAATTAATTTATTATGAATATTATATATTTAATACTGTGCGTTTTATTTTTAGTCGGCAGTGTAATCGTTTAAGTCGGACACACCGTCGTTACGGTCAAGAACCGTGAATCAAACGGAAAATTATTTAGTATAATATAATTATATAAATAAAATAATATAGTGTATAACATTGTTTTCAGAAAAAAAAAAAAAAATAAAAAATATAGTTCAAAGAACTTAATTTTTAACAACCGTGCCGACCTTTTCATTTAAATTTTATTGAAGAAATATAAAACGGCTGCAATCAAATACATTTTATAGTTGACTATTTTATTAATATAAAAGCCAGGAACAAATACTATTTTGTACAGCAGAACACCACGAGATCCAAGCTAAAAAATGTTGTTCAACATTTCAGTTGGCGAGCGATTTTATACGTGATTCATTTAAGTGGGTACATTCATTATCTCGGAAAGTATTAACTTTTTCCGGAATTTGTTTTCTAGAATATTTAAGAAATAATCCGCTCCACAATTTTATATTTGTGTTATTTTTTGTCACCTTTATTATTGAGGGTAAAACTACTACTTATTTTTGATTTTCAAATGGCAACCTATACTAAAAATTCCATATAAATAGATGGAGAATTAGTTAAAATGCCATTTGAAAATCAAAAATAAGTAGTGATTTTACCCCCAATAATAAAGGTGACAAAAAATAACACAAATATAAAATTGTGGAGCAGATTGTTTCTTAAATGTTCTAGAAAACAAATTCCCGAAAAAGTTAGTATTTTCCGAGATAATAAGTGTATCCACTTAAATGAATCATCTGGTATGTAAAACGTGACCAATCTCAAAAGAAAATGAAAGAAAATTAGCAGTTCTGGAAAAAAAATTATTTTGACACATATTTGGACCAAAACAAAATGAGCAAACAGACGAATAGGCTACAAGAATAAATGCCGAAATAAAAAAGCTAAACTAAAAAAAATAATAATAAACTAAACCATAATCTCCAGAAACTAAAAGTTTGAATAATTCGAAAGAAGTGGCAAATAATAGAAAAAAATTAAGAAGGCGTGTATAGGGAACATCAGTGATGGCCTTTGGAGCTGAATATAGATAGGTATTTAATTAAAACGGCTATAGAGAAAAGAGTTGGATTTATAACTAAATTTAATGACATATTGACGTTATAAACTTATAATGCTTTACTTTATCGTTTCATCATCAATTACGTAATAGTGTTCTTGAATAGGAATGTGAAATCAAAAATAATATTTACCCTTGATATTTTCAACGGCGATCCTGTATTTTTTCCACCGGTCATTCGGAATCCCCACGGCGGACCGTCCTTTAAAACGATCACTTTATCCGGCATCCTAAAACATATAATATAAATACAATGTCATTATGGAATTTCACCAAAATCATTAATTTATTAAACCATGTATTTGTTGATAATTTAAATTAATTCATTAAACTAATAGAAACCACAATTAATATATACTCATAATATAGATTTTTTTTAAATTTTGTTCTGGGAGGGAGAGAGGGGAGTAGATAATCTGTTAGGTAAACTTTGAGTGGTCATCCACCTCTAAACCATTCATACAGATCTATGTTTTAGATTCTAAGTGTACCGAAAGTATATTTTGTCAACTTAGATTGCTTAGAACTAGAGTAACGTATTAATTTGAAGCTTGCAACAAACAAAATAAGAGGCAAAAAAACAATTTTTTTTTTTTATAAATTGAATATACGTTTATATTAAATTAGTAAGGTATTAGCATTTTAAATGCTAAAAAATCTAGTTATACGTAAGTTCATACATTACAAAACAGGAAAATATTTATATTTATTTTATAAAATTTAAATAATCAGATAAAACGTATTTTAAACGTTTGAATTATTATCGAGTTTTCCTTGAATACACGTAACGTTTAGTATATATTTAATTTGGCAAATTATATGTAAGTACGGTGTTTTAAAAAAAAAAATACAATATATTCATAAAAAAAATAAATAATAATAAAAATAATAAACGTAAATAGCTCATATAGCTTTATGAAATAATTTTTTTTTTTAATAATTAGTATTAATCATTCTAGTTAATTTATTGAAGGTTGTCCGGTCTCTTTTAGCCACTCAAGTTAACCAATTTTAATACGCGATGCACTATTATTCATATACTAATATATCTACGCACCAACCAGATCGAATTACACTCACAAACTATAATAATTTTTAAAATTGTTTAGATAACAAATGTCAAAATACATACTACTATATAGTATTACAAACACACACACTCGTACGTGTTATCTAAGTGGATTATAATATAATATTTAATATTCCATTATGCAACTTGTTTTGTCTACATTACCTATAATACGAATAAAACCGAATGCACATGAGTTTTAGAAAAAATAAACGAAAATTTAGGTACGTGAAATTATTACTCCGCAAGATAATATTATAAGTTCTAAAGTATAAAATGTAAAAACAAATATATCTATTCTTATAATGTTTTATGATTAATTGTTTTGAAACATAATATCAATCATTGTTTATATAATAATTCAATTTTTCACTTTTTTTTTTACTAACAGAAAAATATACGTATATTAATTAATAATACTCAAAACGACGGGATGACCTTTAGAAATTGTATCATTGACCTTTGTTATGCTATATTAAAGTCGCCAGATACGAGACATTAAATTCAGTGAACGCACCCGAGGTAGATTTATGTACCTGCCTATACTTTTATAAATTGTATAAATAATAAACTTAAGGAAAGTAAATTATAAATTATAATAAATTATTTCAAAATAATCGAAATCGAATACTTCACCCCTAATCACCCGTCATGTGTTTCATGACTTTTATACCTTATAACATAAATAATTATTTCCTTGAAACCAGAAAATAACTAGGAAATAAACAAAGTTTTTGTACAAAAGATGTAGATATAAAGTGATAACCGATAATTATATTATCAGAAGAAAATCAGACAAAATTATATTTAATCAAATGTGGGTACTTAAAATCAATTAATTTAAAAATAGGTAACGTAATACTATGTTAATTTAAAAAAAAGCAATTTTAATCTCGTAGTATTGATACTGTATATTATGTATAGATTATGTAATATTCTACAACTTGAATACAAAAATGAATGGGCCATTTAAGGTTATCACAATTATTTTACAGAAGATAACACATTTTACATATTATATACCCAATGACCAATGATATTACGTAATACTATTCATAATTCTTACGAGAAAGATAACGGCATTCATTACGTATGTATATACATACTGTGGGGTGAACGGCCTCTTTCGTCTGCCTAAACGGTTTTCAAATTTTCTCCAATTTTGAATAATTTGAAAATCGTTTTTTACTCTATAATAAACTCTCAGTGATAAGACCTTTCCATTAATCTATTACCATTTAAGGAGAAGGGATACGGCTGCTTTTACAGTCTTATATGACGCTTAAGATTAATGAGCTGGAAATAAAATTTAACTACTACTACACATTCAATTTTAATTTTGAACGCATATTTGAATCCTTCGATTTCTTTGTCTACGTTTTATATGAAATATTTGTTCGTTTATTATTATTTATTTAACTAAATCAGTTAAAGTACATTATGACAGTTAACTTTTTCTTCTTAAAATAAACTCGTACTTAAAATGTCGAAAAAAAAAATGAAAATGTTATTGCTACAAAACATAGAGAAGAAGTATTTTTTAAAACAGAAATTGGATTACCGGGAGTATTTTTATTTAGTTTCAGCTTATATTGATCTAAATTTATGAAAAAAAAACGAATCGCTTACAACCGTCTTAAACGTGTTCATTTATTATTAATACGTCAACATGCATTTTTTCAATTGAAATTTCGGATTGATGATTTTATGGATATCAATAATTAATGTGATTTTTTTTCTATACAAACATAAGTATTATATACAATATTAGAATATAAACTATTGAGTCGAATGTAAAATTACTACGTGACAGGAAAATATAGGGGTGCATAATATCGTGTACCTTATATAGGTAACGGGTAAAATAAAGCGATCATTAATCATCTGGATCTGAAATACTTTCTTTTTTTTATTTATTTGAAGGCAAGTAAATTATACACCCGTATATTATACTGCCGAGACTAACAATTTAATAAATTGGTCGTTTTACTATTTCGAAAAATCAAATGCAGTAAAATAGTTTTATAAATGCATTAAATTAAATTTTAAAATCAATAACATTAAATACTGGCTGCACGATTAATTTCGAATATAAAAACAATTAAAACGGAAATACGGCGTGTTTGTATATCAATATATATATATGTACCAATCGAAAAATAACAAAGATTCTATGGTTATAACTTGTACATATTATTATAATATATTAATAGACAATCGTCTTGAGGCAGTAAAACTATAATAATGAATTAAATTATTATCGTTTAAAAATTAAAGTTTCCTGGATAAATCACACAGATTCATTATGATTTTCCTAATAAAAATGGGATTAAACTGGCCATTTTGACTGGATACATAAATTGTATGGATTTTTGGGCTACTAGGGTGACAAGGACAAAAATACCACTAATAATTCTCTACTCAGAATAATTTTTCATGAGTTACGAGCTAATATAAATATACATACTCTATAATATATCTTCTCATCCAACTCCCTTTCTAAAACAGCGGCACGTCTGTTAGCTGCAGTATCAACTTTGTTTTTTTTTTATTAATTGATTTGGATTGTTCATAATAATTAACAATAACAATGCTAAGGTAAAATAATAAGTATTACGTAATAATACGTATAATGGACTATATTATAGTAGTGGGTGCTGGTGACCTATACGATAAAGAGCTGATCTGTATGATGCGAATGATTACTTTCTTCGAAATGTTTTGTATAGACTTCTTGAAAGGTGATTAAATGTATTCGATCAGGAAATGAACTCAAAATATATTAGATAGCTTGTATATTTTACAGTATTTTTCACGGTGTATACCCGGTATATTAAAATAAATCTGTCCTACATTGGGCGTAGGTACTTTTAACAAAACACTATATGCTGAAACACGTTCAAAACACACGTCGACGACCGTTTCTACAATTTTTATGAACTTTTGTCGTTATTACTTGAATCGAGCGGAAAATTCCCATCTTTCTAGTTTCTTGGTACCCACAGTATGCGAAAATCTGAGTATTTTTACTAATCTCGATAAAAACGTCTTCCGAGAAAAGAAAACATTTTACCAATATGTTTGTTTGATTTTATAGTAAACTGCAATAGGTTATTCGCGACACTATGCATCCAAAATCTACTTACTAAATTACTCGTCGTCTCGTTTATATTGAGGTTACGGGGTAGCCCTTTTTTCTCCGTTTTACCGTTAGAACCACGTTCAATTTTTGTCCGGGTGTTAGGAACGATATGGAATAAAGCACGAATAAAATCGAATGATTTGAAACGGAAATCTAACCTGACCTATTCGACGTGTATATGGTTGGTATTTCTTATTAAAATCAGTCATGTCTATTTGTGTGTCCCCGGTGTCTATTATAATAAATTATGTCACTGTCCAGATATACCCTTGAGAACAGGGGTTGGCTTATGGTATACCCATTATTATCACATCTATCGCTCTAGTTAGTAAATACATGTATAGGTAAAAATTACAATTAGATTTAAAAAATTTGAACCGGATCGTCTGAACACTGTACGCAGTGATGAGATCGTGTGTGTGTGTGTGTGTGTATGTGTGCGTCGAGGGGGGAGGGGTACTCGTGAATATGAAAAAATACATCCAAGTATCCGAATTATAAAAACGTATTCGAATCGAAAACGAAACGAGCCGTTTACAAATATTAATACGGTATACTGTAGGTACGGTAGGTAGATATAGGTACTTACCCCGAATTTTCGAACTTCACAGTCGGAGGCCGGCAAACGGCGCCGGAGACGTAGACGGCGCACGGTGGAAAAAAAAAAAATTTAAAAACCGGACCGGCAGTCGTTTAAAGGTACGCGCGCGGGTCGTGGTTGGGCACTACGCGTCTTTTCGGTACCTATTCGGCCGCGGTCACCGCCGTCGTGGTATATACGCGGTACGCGGTAAACGCGCGCATTCGTTTGGCGGGGTCTGCGGAGAAAAAGTCGCGAGCGTAAAACGTCGGCGTCGAGACGGTGCGGTGGCGCGGTGAGGCGGACCGCGTTTCTTCGGACCCGTTGCCAGAAAGCTAAAAGGCGGCCGCCGCGACGCGCCACACAGCTGTTCCGGAGGCTCCGCGCGGTCGCGACCCCCTCCACCGGTGGCGCGGCGTGGGGACAGCCGACGCGTCGAATTTTGAAGGGCTGACGGCGGCGCCGCCGCCGAAATCGTCCGCCTCCACACTGCGGTTAACACACGTGGTCGTCACCGATCGTTTTTTTTTTTTTTTTTGTGTCTGTGAACAATTTTTCTACCGGAAATATTGCTCCGATGTTAGAGTGTAGTACTGTCCATGAAAGGAAATTTTGTCTATTTAATGCATCGAAGATGTGATTTTTCGATTTTCTAATGGGTTTTCATATTAGTTGGGAAAACGCGAAAGAAAATTATAGGCAAAAGAGCAAATATTTACGTTGCGCCGCACGTGGCGTTACCGTTTACATTGCGTTATTCTCGAGTTTTCTACCAGAAATATTACTTCAATCGAAAAATGACAAGAAATCGATTTTGTTCCTTTTAATACATCGCCACTGTCAGTAGGTCGTTTTTTGATATTTAAAGAAGTTTCCATAATAACCGGGAAAAATACGATTTTTTTTCAAATTACAGAATAACGTTTTCATCGTTTTAAATTTTTGATCTCATTCACTCATAACATTAGTTATTCATGGCCGGTACCTCGTGCGTCGTATGTTACGAGTACGTGCGACGACGCAGTTCTGAAATTCAAAAAAAATATATACATATTTATGTATTATGGTATTTCCGGCTAGTTATTTTATTGTTGAAAAAACGTAATGCAATGTATGGTATATACGACCTAACCGATTTGTGTTGGTTGTTGATCATTTAAAATGTGAACAAATTAATATTACTCATCACCTAATCCAATAATTACTATCGGACAAATATACTTACCTAAAATTAACATTTTATTTATGCCTATTTAGAGTAATTTGAAACGCATTACACAATGTAGGTACCTATATTTAAAATAAAAATTTAATTTGAACATATGTATAAGGCCGATTTAAGAACGACGATGAAGTCAGAATTGAGCGGACTGACTAAGTTTCGAAATTATAGCTTTTTGAAGTTCTGATATTATGTGTTATATTAAACAACTTTAGCTTGATTGTCTACTTTAAAGTATATTTGTCGTAGTCTAATGGTTACTTGACATCCTAGGGATCACGAATTTAAACCCGGATTTCGAAAAAAATGGTTTGCATTTATTTTTTCCCTTTAACCTAAACAGGGAAGAAACAAATTGGTTTTAGGTGTACTTAGAGACCCAGCTATCGCTCGCTTGGACTATTGTAATCGAAAAATACCCATTGATTTGTTGTGTAAACTTTCTAAACGGGAGAATGGAAAATTAGGTATAATATTAAACAAATATTATCAAAAAAAAAAAACGTTTAATTTCCCTGTATATCCTACATTCTCGATTTCTTACCAACAACATTGGCTGCTCCCATCGTGCAAAAGATATCCGTCTTTTATTTCAACTAATACCTATACCTATATCTATTTATTTCATACATTTTCCCGTTTTCTTTTTTAATATTGGTTAGTATAAATTTATATTTAAGAGGACGCTACACTCGTATTTACTGTTTCCGTTTTACAAACGCATGATATAGCAAATTTTCGTTCAGTAGGGCAAATTTTGTGCAGTTAGTTTTAATATTAAAACTAATTGACTTATCACTAAACGTAAAAAGATTATATAGGCCTTACGTCGATATTTTTTTGATATTTTAATTTTTAAGTAAAATATAATCATTTTTAAATTGTGATATTTCGCATACTCATATCTTGCTTAAAAATTAAAATATTGTAAAAACATCAACGCTAGGGTATATATAGTCTTCTTCCCTTTAAGTTTGGTTACAAGTCAATTTGCTTTAATATTAAATCTAACGGCATAAAATATGTCCTATTGAACTCAAATTTGCTGTCTCGCGTTGTTAAGATACAGCAGATGCCGGAGTGGCATCCTCTTAATACTCGTATATAAATTAATAGGTAATGAAATAATACTTAAGTAGTAACTATACAGACGTACGAACAGTGTCGGATACTACATGGATTTCAATTCATAGTTTTACAATTTTAAAACAGTTAGTTTACGGAAAATAAATAATAATAAAAAAAAAAAAAAAACAGTTGCATGGAGATCCTCAGACAATTAACTCCACAAGGTGCAAAATACTTTTGGTGTCAATATGGGCCTAGAATAAATCCTCCTAATACTATATTTATATAAAATCATGGCACATCAATGATATGTTTAATAAAACAATATTTATTTAAAACATGACTAAATTTTTTTATTAGTTTTAACAAAATGTGTACGTATATAAATTTACATTTATATTAAAGCAAAGCCAATCATCTAGAACTCAAAAAATGACCTTATAGTACCCCAGTCAGAAAAAGTGCTATACTTGAAAATTAGAGAACAATTTTTGGAAAAAAAGTTAAAAAAATAAAGAAAAAATAAAGATAATTAAACATCATTGTAAAAACAATACAATTAAAATTATATTATACTATTCTTTCAAAAATCATAACGTTTGATACAATCTTGAACGTTGAACTGTGTGACTTTCTAAGCTCCTTTACTTTGGAGCCCGACTTTAAAATTTTGACTTGCAAACGACGCTATGAAGTTGCTGTGATTAATTCGTTGTAATTTTTACTCGAAATTCGAAATTAACAAACCCATTCTAAACCCTTAAAACCGTATTTTCATTTTCGGGTGCTAAATTACAAAAATTTTGTTTGAAATTTACTATTATACATTAAAATTATGTTTCTAATAAAGTTATTACAAAAAATAATGTAAAAACGGGTGGTTTTAATCTTTAATTGATAGAGTAATACAAATAAAACTACATATTTCTTGTTTTTACCTTCACCTAACAATAGTCATCCTACATATCCATTGACTAAGGATCTTTTTCATCATAAACACAACATAAATATATTATAATATTAAATTTACTTTATCGATAAATCATCATAGTGTTTTTTTTTTTTAATACTCGACGACGATCATATTATTATAATATTATCGTTCGTGTATGCAAAATTTATTCGGCAAATCTAATCGATACACCCAATATAATATGGTAACCGTAACCCCTCTCTATTTCGGATTGCATAAAACGTCCTTGACCATCGTCGCTCTTTTATACAGTTTCACGCGTTTGTTTACAAAATATATCGAACCATTAAACGTGTCCGACTTCCTTGTGTACAAGTGCAAACTTTGTATTTTTATGTCGGCTGCACAGCTTATACACGTTTTTGACACGTGTTTTGGAAGACACTATTTTAAGGGATTGAATATGTCGTGGAAAAATTTATATTCCTAACAATATTACATGGCGCGTATTTAATATAATAAAATAACGATTATAAGTGTAAAATTGTATTTTGTATCGAATTAAGGGTATCGTAAATATTGTATACGGTAGCACGATGAAATGTCTGCGTTACCTCAGCCTGCAGTATAACACGCTGCGTGACATTTTATAATAATTAACGGATGGAACTTATAGTCTATACATTAAACTGACGCTAATATAATGTACACAATCTTTCTTGGTAGGAATTTTCCGATCTACAACTTTTGTATCGGCTTTTTTTAAATGTAAAGGGAATTTTCTTTTTATATTATTTTTTTTAAAAATCATAACGTTTCCCCTACAATCTAAGACGACGAACATTCTCGGACCTCAGAAGAATGGGGCATTTGTTTTTGACTAATCAGTACCCAGGCGAGAAACTGTCTGCCAAGTTTCAAAAAGTCAGTATTTATTGCAATGTAAAGCCTTTTTTGATACACCGTTGAGTGGACTATATATTGTCTACATCGCGTTGAACAATAGATATTAATATTGACATAATGTCCATGAATTAATTATATATTTAGTTGATTAGACATTAAAAATGCCTAATATTAATACGATAGAATATAATTAACATTATAAATGAAATTATAATAAAACGAGTATTCAGTATTTTAAAAAATAATATAAAGGACACTAAAAACAATACTTAATCGTGCCAAGTTTAATTTTCATCAGAATAACTAATTATTTAATTTAAATAATATGGGTAGGTGAGTGTACCTATAAGGAAGGATCGATAAGCATTATACAGATTATAGACAAATAAATTAGTTAGCAATCAGAAAAAAAAAAATAAAACATCAATTTGAACCCTCGTGACACATTCGCCTTTTATGCCGCGCACCGGTCGGTCAGCTATAATGCATTTTTTTTATAATAACAAAAACTTCTCCATTTTTATTATTTTTGTAGTCCTAATAATTTCTTAATATCTTTTAAAAACAATTAATCACAATGTCACAATTTTCTACGTGAACTTATTAAACAAATATTTTCCATGTTCTACTCGGAATGTGATTAACCGTTCCATTCATAATTTATACTAAATTGTTGATAATAAAGTTGAGATATCTACCGTCTTACGCATTTCTCATGACCACCCCGAAACTAAATTATTTACCATTTTGTACATTTTTAATCTGTTGGCTATTAAAAAAAATATATTATTCTATTTTTCACAACACTATAATTTATCTGACTGTCACTCTGATGATATAATTTTCACTTCATTGATCATACTATCGCCCATGGTTTTACATTGTCCTTATTAGGACTATTAAAATATATAGGTGCGTTCGTTTCATCTTTTCAGGTTTTAGCTCGTCTCAAATACCAATTACATTCTATACAAATCAAAAATTTCTCTGTTCGGTTTTACGATTACCTATTTTGTTAGTCTATATTTAACAGAACTCTAACTGTTTCCTCGGATATAGGTGTTGTTAACTTGATCATGCTGATATCCCGATTGTAGTAAATTTTGATGTGCTCCACAGGAGTGTTTTATATATTTTTCTTTTATAATCGTAAGTAGAATATCTACATTTGTATCACAAAAAGTATTTATAATTTGTGTATTTATTCACTCAGAGAGAGGTACCAATCCGCCCAGATAGAGCGAAACAATTGATACTTTATAATCATTCCTGATAAAAATAAGAACAAAATTATTATTATACACAATAAACGATATTAAAGTAACATCCGTAATACTTTTTGCATGACCCTGATTTTCGAATTGTAATTTTAAAAATCACCAAGCCCTGTTATTTATCCGTACAAACCTGTATGTATTTTAAAATGTACTTGAAATAATCTTATGCTAAGTAAATTAATTTTTCTAAACAAACGTAGGTACTTTTTAAAGATTTGAATAAAATTTAAAAAATATTTAGATGTTTAAAATATCTTTTAATAAATAATAGCTAAATTTTAAATACTTCAAACCAAATGATTTCTTTGTATTGCTGGGTAATTAATCCGAATAGTTTATTGGTACTTGATAGTATAAAAAAAAAAACAAATTTAATGTATAATAAGTAGAAATTGTCTGATATATTGAAATTAAAGCCATATTTTTTCTTACTATTGTTGCTGGTAAAGGAAATATATTGGTTTGTTTTTTTTATTTAAATAATGTAGCGTGATAGTTAAAAATGTGTTTATTTTTCTATTATTATAATAAATAAATAAGTAATATTTTGGACCTATCCGATCATATAGTGTACAAGTAATCAATATGACGATATTATTATAGAAGAATTGCATTCCCCCCTCCCCACCCCACCACTTAAAACGTACACTCATTAATCATTCAAAATTTTGTTATGAGTATACAACATAATAAATTACTCACATTTATCCTTCAATATATTTCTACATATTAAACACATAGTAAAATGTAAAATGTCTAATTGCTAAAACAAATAAACATTATATGGTGTCATTGATAACATTCCAGTTATACACGTTACAAACATACATTTACACTTTTGGTAATCCGCCGGTTATACGGCTTTCAATTTCGCATTCGTTGATCCCTCTTCGAATTTTAAACATTCCATTCATACCCCAAAGATAACCCCAGGTATTAGCGACCAGCCAATAGTCTATTCCATCGTCTTGGCCCCATCCCATCAATTTTACAGCGTGATCTCCTTGTAACGAACCAGTTACATATTGGTATATTCCTAAAAATGGAAATAAACTATAATTATTTTATAATTTATATAATTTATAAAGTACTAATATATTTACAATTGCGGGTGTAAAATAATTATATTATATTAATTGTGGTTATGTACAATGTAGTATATTACTGACCGCCTTGGTAGTACAAGAAATCATCATAGACTTTCATAGCAGCAACAACTGGGCCATTTGTGTATATTTCATTCATGATAACTTCCGTTTTTGGTCTAACGGAGTACACTTTAGTAGCTTAAAACCGTTTATACGATACAATAAAAATTCTTTTAAGCTACATTACTTAAATATTTTAAAAATTATTAAAATGTAGTATTTACCGTAGTACAGATCCGATGATAAAGGTATCTCGTAGTTGGTATTGGTACACTGAGTCTTGCTACACCGCGGGGTGGCTCCATTTTTCACTGAGCAATCGTTATTTGTTATTCTTGGACAAGGGGGTATACTATATGGTTGGCATCCCTAAAATTAAGTTAAATATAAATAATGAAATTATTTTTATATGGGAAAAATATGTGAATTTTGTATGAATGCTAAAAAATGAAGTATTATTCTCAGATGTTCTACTTTGTGCAATAAATTAATAACGCTGAGAATTATCATTAGATCGCTTATTATTAATAATTTAATAAAATTTATGCTTGTAGACTGTGGACATTGACGCTTAAATATACTCTGGTAAACGAATATACATATGTGTGCATGTATATTGCTCGTACAATATTATGAATTTACGATAACGCGGTAAAATTAATTTTAGCGTGAAACAATCTATCACGGTTAAAATGTTATTGACCCAAAGACAAATATATAAATCCATTGTAACGAATGAATGAAACGGTTGTGTTGCTAATAATATATAACGTCCTAGAATGAAAACTGAAAGAGGAGTGGTAGCGATTGTTCCATTCAACAATAATATGACTGAGATGATATTTTAGTCAGACTTAACTCTCAAATTCTAAAAATAAAATATATTGAACACTTGTAAAAAAAAAAAAAAAAACCGAAAATTAATAATGATAAATATTTGAATAGATATATATATATGATGATTTTTTAATCTAGATATAGATACCTACTTATTTGATTAAAGACAAGTAAGGAAATTTATTACAGCTAAGTGATTCTAATAACTACCCATTAAACACAATATACCTACCTATTTCATTCTTAAAACATTTTTAAAATCACAGGATTAAACATAAATTTATTTTTTTTTAAACAAATATGAAATTCTAAAGACAACTATCAAAATAACACACGTTTTACCTACATAATACAATCATTAGCGTATTTACTGGAGGGTCCAGAGGTACTACACTCTAAGGAGGCCTTCAAACATTAAATTAAATTTATAATTTAAAATTACTATAGATAAAATCAAAGAGGAGTTGCAAAAATGTACAAGATGTTTGAAATCGTTGTTTATAATAAAATTTTACTTCGGTTTGAAATGAGATATTTGCACATAACTGCAGGTAAACTATACTAACCTCGTTAGAATCGTATTCGCCTCCTGTGCATATTCCATTTTTCTTTATAAACTTCCATGCCTTTTCTGGATGGCCTCCGTTACATCCACCACCTTTACAACATGAGTTTATATATTCTCCGGAGAGGACTTTATTGATAGTTGTGTTGGTAGCTATACATAAACGATCACCAAATGAAGACGCTGTCGCTAGGGCCTATATATTTAAGCAAATGTACAATAATGAGTAATATTATAAACCGTCAGAAAGTACTCATCTAATTAATTAAAGATAATAATTTATTATAAAAAGAACTAAGAATTAATAGAGTTTAAAAAATAATATAAAAAACAGTACCCAACAAGATCCACAATGTGATTGATCTCTAATTGAAATGACTGATTCGCACATGGGCCAATTAAGTGTAACATCATAACTTTCCGGCAGAGGATCGCGAGGATTAGGTAAGTCGTATGATTGAAGAATGTCTGTTAAACTTAGTTTCTTTCGTGGCAGAACTCCAACAAGATGCTTCACGGTCTTTACAAATTGCAGGCCAATGTATCCAGCCTAAACGAATGTACATAAATAAATAAATACATTAACACATTTTAATAAAATAATCTGCATTGTGACCTGTCACACCATCAATCCCCTATCAATGTCTGCGGCATACAAATTTCTAGCTATATCTGAATAGCCCAAAAAGTGATACAAAGGGAAGAAAGCACACATCGTTGTAACATTCGCGTCACTCTCCGCATATTTGTATGTATGAATAACATTGTAATACATTTTGCATCCGTTTATGATTACATAACAATTTATAATTACTATTTTTTATGTATATATATATATATGTAATATTACTAATTAGTTTTACTAAGAATAACTTTTAACTAAGTAGATACTCCAAATTTATATTTGGTTCATTGCCCACAAATAAAATTGTCATCGTCCCTGCACTATTTGATCATGTTGGTATTTTTTGAGTTATATTTATAGGTATATGAAATGTTCGCGGTTTTTTTTTTTTATTTGGCTTTAGACTAATACAATTGTTTTGGATTCTTAAAAATGTTAAAAAATTATATTCAAGGTCCATCACTAGTTGTTCCTATGGCAATATAAAAATATTAAAAATCTGCGGTTAAGATTTTTTAGCAACCTAGGGTTTATTTTTCAAAATGTGTATTCCAGAGTATACAATAAGAGTGTAAAAAAAAGTCAGAAGGCGCTTGATGGAGGTTATCGGTGAAAAACTTTAAAAAGTTCAATTTTCCGTAACACACAATAATAATAAAAAAAAGAATACTTAAAATAAAACATTCCCAAAAACAAAAATGTATTTTGGGTACAAATAGAAACCTAGTGGCGTCAAAAAAAAAACTTAAAAGCGAGCGAGTGACCCCATTGGATCTCTGAGTGCACCCGAAATACATGTCTATTTATATGCATTTATATTTATTTATATTATATATACGTCTTTTTGCGTAATTCTCAAAAATATTTGTCAAGGTTCACGTGCAAAACTATTAAAATTAAGGAAATTAGATTTTATTTATCAACTAAGTATAAAAATTACATATTTTGATAAAAGAATTGTTGAAAATCTTAAAGTTTTTTTTTTGAAGTTTTTCACCAATAAATTTCAAACGAAGTACACCCGAAAACACATTTTGAAAAATAAATGGAATTATTTCGTTTTTCTTTATTAGTGTTTGAAGTTCAAAATTTGATAGAAATTGTAAAAGCCTAAACAGCTAAATGACTGTGAATTTCGAATTTATTTTATTAAAGAACTTGTAAAACAATGAAAAATAATCATAAACCCAAAACTTTCACTGAATACTTAGCACTGGTAGCGAAATTTTAAATATATTCTGACGTTTTTGTTTTATTGTAATGACTATTTAAAATTGTTGAGTTTTAGGTTCGGAGCGTAGCGAGGGATCTGTTGGTTTTACTGTGATGTGTATTTTTTTTTTCTTATGTCTATAAACAACTTTTCTACTAGAAATATTGCTCTGATGTACTGAGTGTAGTATCTTTTATAAAAGTGAATTTTATCTATTTAGTGCATTAAAGAGGTCGTTTTTTGAAGGGGTTTTTTAAAATAATTGGGGAAAACTGGAAACAAAATTATAGGAAAAAGTAAAACGGTAAATATTTAAGGCGCGCCGCAACGTTACCGTTTTCATTGTTTTTAATTTATGTTCACGGTGTTTTCTACTGGAAATATTGAAAAACGACAAGAGATCAATTTTGTTTCTTTTTATATACAGCTACTGTTAAAAACTCGTTTTTTGATACTTACGGAAAAAACTAAAAAGACGAAAAATACGATTTTTTTTTTCAAATTACAGCGCAATGATTTCATTATTTTAAATGTTTAAGATTATATTTTTCTACCGGGAATTTCGTTCAAATTTCAAGAATAGCATATTTTCTGAAAGAAAATTTTGTCCAGTGTATGTAATTTGGGTATTTGTTGTTATTCGATTGAAAAATGACTGTAGAAACCTATAATTTTTACGAAATACTTATATTGGCGTTTTGTAGACAAGATCAAATGTACAAAAGATTCTAAATTTAGGTACAATGGATGCCGCTTATAAGACTCACGGATATAAGGTTCATTCGGTTATAAGACTCACTTTGTGTTAGTCCCAAAGTGAGTCTTATTAGCGGCGTCCACTGTATTTGATATTTTGGTGTTTTTATATGTATTTTTATTTGATAGGTGTCTGCTATTAAAATTGTACGACTTATGAAATGTTGGAAAATTTAACACAAAGTACATTTTGAGTTGCACTTAGTGGTCTAAAAAACAAATTTGAATTAATGCATTAGTTGTATTTTCATACTCTATAATATATCCTAACTTTCCAACTTCACACTAGTGCTTGTTTTCACTTTTATTTATGTATGTGATAAAATAATTGTATTTTTTCGGTAGTACTTTTGTTATTTATAAATTCTTGTTTTATACAGTTTATGAAAAAATCAAAATAGGTACCTATACTATCCTAAGAAATTCAATGGGTATGTACATACAAATATATTAGACTAGGAATATGAAATCTTTAATTTTATACTTATACTTGTCCTTTAACAATATCTTCTTATTTATCTTTGTCCCACACACACAATAGTGAGGTGATCTCCATCAGCACATCTCCCTATCCATAACTATTACTTCATCCAATCTATATGCCCTCATACCCACGTTTATCTTGTAGGTAACATATAAGATATCTACTGAAATAGACATCAATCCCCCAAAATATAATATAATTGTTGCATAAAACCAAACATGAAAATAATTACAAACCTATATTATGTCATTTGTAATTTCACAATATGCGTAGTAGACAAATTTGCAAAAAAGATATACGGTCAGGCGCACAGGTTTCAATTGGTTTCTATACTTGTATGTATGTATGTATGTATGTATGTATGTATGTATGTATAAAAATCGTTGACCGTTAACAGTAAAATATGCTTCTAATATGAAAATCTCTTTTAAATTTAATTCAAACATCTTACCTTCCACGTGTTTTGTATTCGATTATTCACGATTTTTGTAATATTATTGACATTGGTGTTCATAAAAGGCGTACAACTAATTAAATTGAAACTATTAAATACCAAAACAAATAAAAACCGTAAAATAAACGATTTACAATTAATAAACATTGTCAAAAATGTATTTTAATTTTAATACACCGGTTTAATGTCAGATATAAAGTGACCGTACGCCATGAACAAAAGAACTTTATATATTGCAATTTAGATAAAAAAAAAAAAAACACCTATAGGTACTATATTGTCTTTTTTCTAAAGATAATATACGTTATACATCGATATTTTACTAATTATTACAAGATTTTACTTAATTTATTGTTTGTACTGAATTATTATCGAGTAGTTGAAATTATAGCTACTTAAAATATCATATACCTACCTACTAAAGATACTGAAGATGGGTTCCTGCAGTGTTCCTACCTCAATATTATTATTAATAACTTAAAAAAAGGTATACCTACAAACCAACGAATATTATACACAATGAGTAATAAATTAAATAGAAATTTATACGTTTTTCCGAAACATAAAAACTTACTGTTACTAATAGTCATGTTAGAATTATTATTTATCTACGCCGGCATATATTGACGAATGATGTGTCATAACTATTTACAGAAATATACACAATTATACAATTTCTAAGTTTTTATTCGAGCCGTGCCTACTCACAATAAGTTACAGTTGCATATACTAATTAGTATTTAGGAATACTTAAAAGTATAATTATCTATATAAACTTGTAATTGTTAATGTTATTGTATGAATTTTGTTTTTGAAATTCCCGCAGAAACTACATTCAATAATTATTACAAATACCATTTATTTGTACAATAAACTGGAAATTATAAATCAGAAAACTCGTATGTCATTTGAAAATACCTATAGATTTATCGAAACATATAGGAATGAAGGATAATAAAACATACGATTTTATGATATTGGTAATAATCGATATAATGGTTGCTTGTACCTAATTTACCGACACGTGATTTTATCCGTAAATTATAGTTTTTCCGCCTTCAAATACCTATCTAATAACGGACACAACTCATATAGATTTTATGTGAATAATTAGTTCTAAATAATTTCAATAGACAAATAGCAGAAATGGGTAGGTACTCACATAAACAAAAAAATAAATGTGTTAATCGTAATAATATCGTATTAATTGAACGCACATTTTATTTCAAAGTCAGCGATTTAGGCAGATTCGCAGCTTTACGCATAAATATAGTTAAATTAAAAGTTTTAAATATCAAATAAAACAACTTTGTTGTTCAACTATACCTACAAACACTTTCCGATTCGGTACTGCAGTTACTACAGTTTACTTTTCACACTATGCAATAGCCAATAGATTAATAAACGTAAGTATAGTTGTTAATGATAATTATATCGTAGTAGCAAGATATACACAATTTCAGGTTCTATCTGAATAACATTAATAATTATCTATCTACATTCCTGCTAATAAAACGTTGGACGACAAATTTGATAGTTTTGTTTGTTAATATTTATTTAATATAAGCACCTGTCTATATAATATGTATGTGTGGCAATAACTAATGCAGGTTGAAGTACTCAGGTAGGCACTCAATAAATATGATTATTGACAGAGAAATAACAATTCAATTAATATTTTTAAGTATTTGTCTGATAGTATAGACAAAAAAATAAATAAAACCTATTTTTAAACTTGTTGAAAGTACGATGGACGAACATATACGCAATTAATTTAAAAGGATTGCACCGGTCATGCAATTTTCGTCAAAAAGACCTAAACGACTGACGAAATAATAGAATGGGATACGATTTTTTTTTTATACGATTTAGAAATAGAAATTTTCGGTAAAATTTTGACGATGGAAGTGGCATAATTAGGATTCCTGAGTTAATTGAGGCCCGTGGGCAGGATATAATTGAACCCCAGTCGTAAAAAAAATAAATGTGACAGTAGTAATATATTTTTTGTTAGCAAATTTTTACCTTTATTACAAGCACAGATTATTAATAAAAAAAAAAAAGGACGGACGTACTTCGAACGTGGGTGCAGCCACTGTTGTAGTTGGGAAGTTGGAAAGATAGGATACCTACAGACGGGAATTTAATGTATATCTGTAAGCAACGATAGACCATTGCTAGCGAAAAACGATTCTGAGCGGAGTTCAGTTGATAGTGTTGCTTTGTCAACCTTATTTTTGATCTTTCAATCATTTTTAATGAGGTTTTCCTCATTATTTCGAATATTAATGAGAATTTCAAAAAATGACTTCTTTAAAGTACCGCCCAGAGAAAATTTCCTTTCAGAAAAGGTGCTATACATGATAATCAGAGTACGCTTTCTGGTAGAAAAAGTGTTGACATAAAAGAAAAAAAATAAACATCAATGTAAAACCAATACATTCCTCGCTCCACTAAGAATCTAAATATATATATATATTTATATGAGTGTATAATATATATTATATATTTATTAATAATACAAATACAAATTTACTAATAATTATTAAGTCTCTATATCGTATACCGAGTGATTTAAGACTTAAGTGTGATTGTACTCATCATATTGAAAAGTATACATTTTTCCGTGACCAAACAAAAAACTCTAAATGTTAAATTACCATTATTTTTGTCAGCTTATTTTTACAAGTGAAACTACTACGTACTTTTGGTTTTCAAATGGTAACCTATATTAAGAATTGCATACACAGATGGAATATTGGTAAAAAAAAAAAAAAAAATGTCGATGTTACAATTTTTGATTTCTGTCAACCCGTTGACGAGGTAATCCACTTTTAAAATTTAGTCAGAGGGAGATAAAATGATGCGCCGTGCGGCCACACAAATGTTGCGTGGCGGCACGAAGTGTGGAGTTTTAATAAAATATTTTAGAGCTGCTTGTTGAGTGGTAGTTTTGATAAAACATCAAGGGAGGGGGCGATCTTAAATTTGCTGGGTTCCATACAATAATTACATATTATAACAAATAAATAATAACATTTGTTTATGGCCCTATCATAAATTTTACATAACTTTCATTTTTTATTTTATAATTTAAAAAGTTTAATTATATTGGAGTCTTTATCGAGTAACTGTTTCTGAATTATATTCACCTATAATTGTGTACGTTATATATTGTAATAAAAACTAACAAGTCCTTAAATTTGATTATAATTTAAAGAAAAACTAATATCCCTACATTAATAAATGCATAACTGAAGAAATAAAGTAAAACCAATTTAAGCACTTAGTGTTCAATAAAAAGAAGTAAGGACATGCGAATAATACCTAGGTAGTTGCAAAGAAATTGTATTTAAAAAGCACCGTGTAGAATATTTAAATAAGTAGTTTAAACAAATTTAACATGCAAAACAAATGATCTAATTAGTTTATTAATGTAAGTAAAGTAAAAATAATAATAATACGAGAATATTAATTATTAATAATAACATGTCTCCTGTGATGACATATATTGTTCCATTGTTATCAATTCAGTTTTCATGCTGGTGCAAAAAAAAACCTGAAAGTTTGAACATAATGCATGAAAATAATATGTCCCCATCGTCTCCCTAAAAATCGGAAACTTATTTTTTAAAAAAATCGTTGAAAAAAATTTATGTTTTCCGAGAAACCTAATGAGTCACTTGATAGATATACCTAACGCATTCACGTCGCACGCGACAAACTCACTAACTCACAAGTTGTCATTTGGGTTGATGGAGGGACATAATAATCGTTCTTGGGTTTGCCACAGTTCTCCATAGATAACTAATGTAGATAAATTCAGATAGTGAATAAATAAAAAAAAATCTATAATCGTGATCGGTGGTCTACACTTTTTACAGACAATAAAATATAATATCATCGTTGATGTTGATAAAATTATTGACTAATGACTATTGATTACTGGCGCTTTTAATTCATTATTTACTACGTTTGAATCGATGATTGCAGAAACGTCAACAATCACACATTTTAAGTCTTCCTTTTTTTTTTTTTTTTTCTGTTTTATTTAAATTTTCCGCTAAACATTATTCATTAAAATTATTATTAACATATTATTCTAAATTATTTCGACTATTAAAATCGGTTTTCAATACTTGCATATACACACTTAACCAATTTTTGTTTTAAAACGTCTTGATAATTTCAAAACGTTTTAACGTCTGAACATTATCATACAGACATACAGATTTATAAAATAACGTTGTTTTATTTATCGAATATCTATGGTTTCACGGTATTGGACAGTTACTACGTTTATACATAAAAATATAAGACCAAGGTTTATAGATAATATTATCTATAAACCTTGATATAAAATTACGTAGTAATTGTTTAATACCGTGTAACCACAGAATGTGAAACTGACAACAATTGATAAACATTATCATTTAGTGGTATTTTGTCAATAATCATATTTACAAATACAGTATTATTATTGTTGATTTTTCTTATAACAAAAAATTGTTCTTGTTGACCATTGACCTTGTTCTTAAGGTTACTTCAAGTTCATATTATTATAATTCTTAACGAGTGATACCTCACTCATAATTCATAATTATTTAGAGTTTGACACAGTGTTATTTTAGTGCCAATATATTCAATACTCATTCATAATCATGTCTATCGTTTACAAAGCCGTCATTTCTGCAGCTGATAAAGTTGTGCCACGGGGTTTACGGCCACTCTGGGAACATCCAGCGGGTAAATAACTGAATTTTAAATCTACTTTCCTCTTAACTAATTTGTCTGATAAACCAATTCTGTCGGTACTTACACAATTTCATTTTCACAGGTCCTAAGACTATATTCTTCTGGGCACCTGCATTCAAATGGGTAACATTGAATTTATTTGAATATTTATTAGTAATTTTCCTTTTGATTATAACGGTATATTAATATATATGTTTTTAGGGATTAGTTATTGCTGGTATTGGAGATATAACTCGTCCAGCTGAAAAAGTTAGCATATCTCAATGTTCAGCATTAGCAGCTACTGGCATTGTATGGTCAAGATACTCATTAGTCATTATACCAAAAAACTGGAGCTTATTTAGTGTCAATGTTTTTGTGGGCGCTACAAATGTATACCATCTAGTGAGAGCTATGCTGTAAGTTTTAAATATAAATAACAGTAGTCAATAAGTACCTTGTATAAATAATTTTGTAAAGAGCAAATGAAATTCAAGAAAAAGTATTAAATTTATATCACTGTAAATTAAAAGTATATTAAGTAATATTTGTATTTTTTTTTTTAGGTATTTTATTTTTCGGGGAGGGGGGAGGTCTGACACCTAAAACCTCCTGTATGTTAATAACTAAATCTCTCAAAATGGTTTTAATAAAAAAGATATTACACATAAAATGGATAGATAATTTTATTAAAAAAAAATAAAATAATTATGAAACTACCCTAAAAAAAATTATCAACACTTTTAAACATCTTTTAAATATTATACATTTTTCTTTCGAATGTTCTAGTAAATAATTTGTATTAAATATTTGAATTCTAAAAGTTTTTAATACATCAAAATACATACATACAACTAAATAAATACCTACTTATAACTATCTCATATTCTTAACTAACATACAATTGAAATGTGATCCATTTTCATTATACTTTTGTACTATACTAAAACAATTTTCAAATTTTATATTTTAAATATACATTTTCCATTTATATGTACCAGTAAATAATTTGTAATGAATATTTTAATTCTAAAATTGTTTAATACATCATAATACATACAAACATAAAATTAAATATATATATACTTATAATTATCTCATTTTCTTTATTAACATCAAATTAAAATGCAATCTATTTTATTATATTTTTTATTACTACACCAAAAAAAAAAAAAATTGGCAAATATTATTAATTTTCCTTCCATATGTACTAGTAAAAAATGTATTAAGCAGAAAGATAGAATAATACTATAAGTAAATTGTCATATTACAATAAGTTTACTATAAATTAAAATTGATTGTATTCAAATAATATTTCAGATATCAACAAGAGAAAAAGAAGTTGGAATCAGAAAACATCAAAATACAATGAAATCCAAAAATTAAATTATATTACCCTTATTATATCTCAAGGATATGAATAAAAAAAAATATGTACATTTAAACTATACAATATAATAATTTATAATATAGTCATTAGAAAGTAAAATCACATTTATTTTATTGACTTAATATAAAAAAAAAAAAAACCCTAATTCACAAACTTTAGAATCTTCCATAGTTTTCATTATAGCTTCTTTGAGCTGAAAAAAAAAGTATAATGTATAGAATATTATACTGGGATTAATTACTTAAATTAATCATAATTTAATAATTTATTAAACTATATGACAGAATATTTTACATACAGGGGAATTTATTTACACGAGGACATTTTAAAAATTATATATAAAAAAAGGTCATTGTTGTAGGTAGGAAGTTAGAAAGGTATAGTTATTTAGGTATACACCCTGGGTGAAATTATAAATCATTTAAATAAAATACAATTTTTGATAAATTTAAATTGATAATTATATTCATTTTTCACTATAAAATTATACTACCCTTATGCAAGTATGAGAGAACGTGTTTCTGCTGAAGGAGAATATTAATAGAAATAATAAGGATCTCGTTTTTCCACCCCTTCAACAAATATAATGTTATTTATTTGATCAATCATTTTAATATTTTATGTTGTTTATAAAATAATACTATACAAATGGAACTGTGCAACTTAAGTTGAAATATGCAAGCATAGCTGCATACGATCGGTTGGAAACTGATTTCTAATTAGCCTTATTTTGGTTAACAAATTTGTGGCCCTCTACTTCATTTACATACGTCAAGTCACAAAATGATTGCTTGCACAACTGATTTGCAATTCTCGTTGCAAACCGATATTTTTGCTCTTTTTGAATTATAAATATAGCTATATGAATTTTATTTTTTTTATTTCAATTAGCTAATAAGTAATTTTTCAGAATTTATGTACAATTTACTTCATCAAAAAGTTATTTATGAAACCATGAATATAAGTATATACATTATAAAGTTTTTTTATAAATAATTAGTAGTCTAATAAAAGAAAATCTTTTCTTTTGATCTTTTAATGGATCAAGAAGAAATATAATATGAATATGAAGATAAGAGATAATAAATAAAATATTATTAAATTTTACATACCAAAATGACCTCTTTGATTTCTACTAGTAAATGAAGAATGATAACGTTGACCTCTTCCTCGGTTATAATTTCCTCTACCAAAATTATTATTAGGATAGTAACTTTGATTAAATTGTCTTTTATTAGGACTCTCAGGACTTGAAGAATTATTTTCACTTTCAGGAACCTCGTACTTTCTTTTATACTGTAATTGATGTCTAAATCTGTGGGTAAAAACATTTTATTTTATCTTTTAATTCATTTTATTAACAAAATATGAAATTTTTATCTTACCCTTTATCAAATGATATTGGAGAAAGATTGTATCTACCAGCATTGAAGTTACACAATTCTTTTAAAACATCTATTAGTTTGATATCGGCCTCATTTAATGTTGATATTTGATGTGGCGATTCGGATACACGAACAATTAAACTTTCAATGGCAGGTCTTAGAGCTACAATAGCAGAAGCTGTCTTAACATCCATTTTTAAACTTATCCTATAGAAAACAATCATAATATTATTACAATTAGCATTTTTTTATCAAAGAACCTCTTGTTAAAAAATCTAAAATTATAATTTTTTTAATAACATTTTTCTTAAATTATTTGTATTTTATATTTTAGAACCAATAGTTCAAATTAGCTAACATAAGTTAGTACTAAGTATTTTTATTATTATAAATACACTTCTTGATAAATAATTGTACGTACCAATTATCTAGTTGGACCTTATCATTAGTATACTCAATTTTACGGGCACCAAATAATAGAAGATGAATAGGGGTTACCATAGACATTTGTTTGCAAGCCACAGCCCTGGTACGTACCTAAAAAATAAACAATAATATTGCATAAGAAAACACTAAACTAATACAAGTTGTGTTTTTTTTTTTGTTAAAAAATCATGATCATTAAAAAATTAAATACAGATTTTTTACAATGGCTTATATATTATAAATCCAATATTTTAAATTTTAAACAAATAAATAAGACTCAAAATTAATAATGTACCTTCTCAGTGAACACAAAGAACGGCGATTGGAAATGTTCTATGGTATTTAAACAATTAACAGATGTCTTATGAATAAGAGCAGCTTTTCCTTCTGTAGTATACACCTAAAAGTATATAAAACAAATATTTAATAAGATTAATTAAATTAAAAAATAAAATGCTTATAATAGGAATAAATAGTAAATTACAAACAGAAATCAAAGTACTGAAACACAATTATAAGTAAATAAATTCTACATATTCCAAACACAAGTAAAAATATTCTGTATACATTTTTAATCAAGTAAATCAATTAGTTGTTTATTCTAGAGTAAACAACAAGCATTCAATGAAATAAATATAATATTTTCAAGATGATCAATTTCAAAGTATTTAAAGAAAATCTTGATTAAGACAAATTAATAGAATAATCAGATAAGAATAGAAACAATAAATAACCTTTCGTTTTTCTTTATGGTAACACACATTAGGATAAAAGCCCATAGGTAAAATTGCAGATATCATATCCAACATTGGTTCATCATAATTTCCATTTCTTCCAAAATCAAAATTTTGTTTTTCAAAACATTCTTCAGGGAATCCAATCTTAATGAATAAATCTTTTATTTGTTCCTAATAAAAAAAAAAATGTAGGTTTAAAACAATAAAAACAATATTATACAATTACAAATTGTTTCAAACAATGAATAACTACAATATATTACCGCAATATCTGCAATTGTAACTAATGAAGGTTGAGACAACATTTTACGATCACAGTAATCTGTTGTATCAATATCACGACGAAATAAAGATGACCATTGATTGAAGGCATTTAATATAGTTAAATGATCTGAACAACGGTTGCCAGAAAAAGCACGCTGTGCTTGTGTCATTCTATGGTCTATAAACAAGGAAATATAAATATATAAAAGTAATAACTTGACAATAACATACCAAATACAAATATATCTGCCATATTTGAACAAGTCGCAGCTACGATGGATAGAGAATCGCCCAGCAATAAAATATTTCCCAATACCATCATACGACCAATCTGTGGTTCTATAGGTAATTTTGCTAAAATACGGCCAAGTGGAGTCAACTCTTCATTTATATCAAGACATTTCATTTCTACAATTATTATATATTATTTTAAATAATATAAAATTACAATATAATTTTTACAAATATAAATAAAATATAATCTTTTTGTATTTCAGTAGAAGAGTACAAATAATTGTGTTTTGTGCATGTAACTCTTCATCTTTTACTTTGTTTATAATATACAACAATTATTAATTTTTATTATTTTAATATCACAGTAACAGCATTTTACCTTTAAGCATCACTTGGGCCTCAATTACAGCATCAATAGGAGGCGGTTCAATAGCCTTACTAAGAAATTGCCCTATATCCCCAAGTTTTAACAATTTAATACATAATGAAATTTCATGTAGAGGTGTACGGAAAATTTCTGGTGTAATATGGTCATCCATTTTTTCATAACGTGCCTATAAAATTCAATATTTAATTAAAATATTATAAAAACAATAGAATTAAATATATGTAGTAATAAAAAATTTATGTCAAAGCTATTTTATCATATAAATATTAAAAATAGATAAAAATATATAACACAAGTTATAGTTGAGTTAACTCAAGTTTTTTGATTCATAAACATTTTTTTTTATGGAAATTTTGAGGGGTCAACTTTTGAAATTCAAATGAGAATCCTTATTCAAAATTCTATAAATAGATGGAGTGTTAGTTGATAAAATATTCCCCTTTTTAGTTTGCGTAAGGGAATAGTGGAACACTATACAGTTGTGTAGTGACACGGTGCAGGGTGTTGGAATATTGTTCCATTAATCTTCCCTAACTAAAATAAAAAGTGGAATATCTAGGTAATATGTTGAAGGAAATCAAACATTTCAACACTAAAATGTATTATGTAAACTAATATTTCATCAAATTGTGTAATTATGAGTATAGGTTTCAATTTGAATTTTAGAAGTTGACCTCTAAAACCCTCTCGAAAGACAGTAAACAAATAAAAATAAAATGCACAAATTACTTTAGATATTTATTGAAATTCAACAACTTTTGTAATATACATATTTCTCATTAGTATAATCAATATATGTAACATACATTTTGTATCACTCTGAATATATTTATTTAAATCAAATATTTGAATTTCAATATTAAGGATTATTCAACTCAATTAAGTTATTTATTTTAAAGCTTTTCAAAATAAAAATGTTGAAAACCATTTATTTATTAATAATTATATTATATTTCTATGGCTTGGATCTAAAAGGTCCTATCTCACTTATTGGCAAAATTAAGTTAACAAAGCTATCATATAAATTTTGATACACTTTAAACTTAAATTTGATGTTTGAAAATAAAATATTTAAATCAATTTTAAGTGCAAAAACTAATAAAAGTCCTCATTACTGAAAATTGTAAAAAGTGAGATTGGCCTTTTTAGAAACAAGCCACAGATTGTTGCATTATAAACTGTATTAAGTTTTATACTTTCAATTCCAAATACATTAAAATATGTAATACATAATTTTTTCTTTTCACTATCATAGAAAATCAAAGAAACTACCTTAGTGCATAAATTGAAACAGTAACCAGGTTTAACACGACCAGCTCGTCCTTTTCTTTGTTGCATATTAGTTTTGGACGCCCAAACTGTAGCGTAATGAGTCATATTATTATGAGTTGTAAATAATTTTATTTTTGCTTTGCAATTATTAATTACAAATACTACATCATTTATTGTTATTGATGTTTCCGCTATATTTGTTGACAAAATCACCTAAAAATATGATTGAAATGATGAAAAAAATAATAATTCTAAAACTTCTTTTTACTTTTAATAACCAAACAGAAAAACACACTTTACAAATTTAAATATTTTAAACATTCATGTAAAAATAATTTACCTTCCTTATTCCAGGAGGAACACTTTCAAAAACTTTACGTTGATCAGCACAAGGAAGTTGTGAATGAAGTGGTAAAATGCAAAATTTTGAAGATCCTGATATAAAACATAATAAGCATAAGTAAATACTTTTAATTCATACTTATAATACATACCAAACAATTGCTTTTCAAGTAAATATTTTTGTAAAGCAAAAATTAAATTCCAACCTGGTAAAAATATTAGTACTGCACCAGGTATACACATTTTCATGTCAATGTATGTTAATAATGCCTTAACAAAAAATATAATTAAAAATTAATATTAAGTTTTAATATTTAATTTTTTTTTAATATTTGTTGAAAATATTAATATTAAACATGACAAGAATACTTGCTTCAATAATTCCAAAATCAACATCTTTTTCACTTATCATAGCCACTCTAGCTCTGGTAGACTCAGAATAAGAAACAGGTACTATTAAATTACAATTCTCCTCACTTTCTTGTCCTTCTGTTACAGATTCTTCAACTTTTTCTTTAGTTTTACGTCTTTTAATATCTACAATTGGCTGATAATCTAATTCTTCCACTATATCTTCCAAAAAATATTCTGTAAATAAAAAAAAAAAAATTACAATTATTTGTACTTATTTACATTTTAAATAAAGAATTTACCCTTCACAGGATAGCATCTTCCTTCTACATCAATAACTGGACAACAGTTGAAATAATTAGAGAACATATTAGTATTTATAGTGGCAGACATAAAAATCACTCTGAGTTCAGGATAATGATATACCATATCTTTCAAAACCACCATTAAAAAATCAGAGTTTACATCTCGCTCGTGTATTTCATCGACAATGATATGAGATATGCCACGCATACCATTTTCCAATTTACGCAATAATACACCTAAACAGTTTTTTTAAATTTTTTATTATTGTATGAAAAAATATAAATATAAATAATAAAAATATTTACCAACTGTACAGAACATAATTGCTCCATATGGTCTAGGAAATATACTATCAAATCTAACACTATAACCGACACTTAGTCCTACAGACTCCTGTCTTTCAAAAGCCACCCTATCAGCAACTGAAATGGCCGATATTTTTCTTGGCTGTGTACAAACTATATTACAATATGCTCCTTCACCATTTTCCAAATATTCATCAAGTATAAATTGACAAACCTAAAATATTTAATTATTATTATTATTGTTTTCTATTGATGTATTATAAAATCTATAGTATTAAATAGAAATCACTTAAGTATACTAATAATTAACGTTATAAATTAATAATTATTACTTACCTGAGTAGTTTTACCACAGCCAGTACTTCCTTGAATAATTACTATTGAGTTTTCTCTTATTTTTTTTAATATTTCTTGTCTTTTAGCAAATGCTGGGAGTTCACTACGACTTTCAAGCTGTTTTTTAAAATCTTCACTTAATTTAGCATTGTAATCTGTTTTCAATTCTCTACTTATTTCATTTAAAGTAGCCTATAAATAGCAATGAAAATTTTAAAATGCAATAACATACTTCAAATCTTGTTAAATAGAGTTAATAGATAATAAATAATACACGTTTTCACTTTTAAAATAATCTATTAAATTATCTCAACATTCTCATTTTTACTTTATTTTTGATTCATTTATTTTCTGTTAACAATTCAATTTGATTAACTCTGTCAAAATATAATGTTTTAACACTATTTTCTCAAAATTATATAAATGTATGTAACATAGATTAGCACTCAATTAAACTCTACCAAACAAAGGATATTTTAAAGAATTTTCAGTAGGTGACATTGTGAAATAAAATTGAAAGGTCGGCTACTTAGCAAACCCATCCAGTTGCAATCAAAATTATATTCAAAAATTTTACATACATATTATTAAAATGTATAGTATGAACTTTAATTTTTAATTTTTGGTTATCTATCAATAAAATAGCAGTTATCTGACCCTTTTTAAATTTTAGTATAATTATTAGGGAACGGACTTTAATGTCATAAAAATAAGAAAAATGTCCTAAAAAAATACTACTTAATGCCTTAAAAAATTGCTTTAATATCAAAAAATGACCTAAAAAACATTAATTTTGATGAAGTAATTACTCAACTCAACAGTGTAATACAAAATTACAATTTAGATAAATAGATTATCTTATCTTTACTTGTATATATGTATATATGTGTGTCAACAATAATTTTGTCTGGAGTCAGGGTTTATCCGATCGGTAAAACATAAGAAATATTTATTTTTATTTTTTTAGAATGAATGTTAATCTACATTTTTACCGAATTTTATCCATTCCTATACAAAAATGACTTAAAAACATAAAAATGTCCTAAAAATATCAAAAAATGCTCTAAAAATATAATAAAGTCTTAAAATGCAAAAATATTCAAAAAAAAAGTTACATTTCTTAATTCTTTATGTATGAAATGAACTTTAAGCTTGGAAAGCAATGTTTTCTGACATTAAAAAAAAAATGCAATTTGCATTCAAATCCGTTCCCTAATAATTATTATTGAACACACTCGTGTAAAAATATACATAGTATATATTTGTGTCACCTAGTATATTAGGTTAAAATATCCAGCAAAGTAAAACAATTACTACAATTAATATCTTTATTCTGTTTATTTTTTTTTAAATTTAAATTATTCATAACTAACTTACAGTAGATAGTGGTCCTTCATCAATATTAATGGCCAACCAAGGGTTCCAATTGGGTTGAACTGGTGACCACGGAATGACTCCTGGTGACTTTGATGATTTTGATTCATCAAATTGTGCAAGTACTTGGTTAGAAATTAATGATAATGTGATTTCAGAATTAATAACAGTGTCATCCTAAAAAATATACAATTAAAGATTTAGGTTTATAATTGTTGGTCATCTGCCAATATTATGCACTTTACTGCATTATTAAGATATTTGTATATTTGTGCTATGTATTAAAATCTAAATTTTATTTAACTTAAAACCAAATAAAAAACTATATAGCTGTTCAGTAAAAAAAAAAAAAGTTTATTTATATAACTATCCTAACACAATAACATTTAAGGTGAAGAAAAATAATAATTTATAAAACAAAAAAAACATTCTGAAAGAATATTCAAAATATTGATTAGTGATTAAATACACAAAGTATAATTCTAATAAAATCATCCAATTAAATTTATTTATTGAAGTAGAACATAAAATGTCAATGCATTACATATTGACAAATGATCTTATTATCATAAACCATTTAATTTACCATGATAACAGGTTTAATATTTAGTTCTTCAAGTACATTATACACTTTGTTCAATAACAAAGGGTCAATATTAACTTCATATGATTCTATTATATTTGAAATACTTTTTTTTAAAGATCCAGAAAATGCTTCAATAACTCTTAAGTGATATAGTTGACGAATAAGAGAAAGTGCACAACTTTTAGAAGCTGATTGCTTATTTGAACCACTTTCACGTGCAGTTACACCTATATAAAAGAATAAAATTATGAATTATGTAAAAATACAAAATGAAATAAAATGCATATAACTATGTAAGAAAATATGGAACAAATCTAGTTTACGACCCAATCTAATTTTTAAATTTTTGTTTTTTCAAAATGTATGTTTTTGCCTGTATATTAAGAATCTTAAAAAAAAATCTGATGAACTTCGTTTGTAAGTTATAAGGGAAAGCTTCATGAAGTTCATGTTTTCCATTTCGCATATTTTTTAGTAAGCATTTAACATTTTATAATTTTTTTTTTTTTCTAAAATGTGTGATTTTTAATGCTCTATTTATTGGTATAATGAAAACTTATCTTTCATACTTACTTTTATAGTTATTGTACATAAACCCTGAAAATAGCATTTTTGGAATTAATCCAAAATGTGATCGTTTTTATTATTATTATGATTTGTAATTATTGATACTTTGATAACAATTTTTTTCTTTACTAAAGTCAGAACAAGTGAATCTAGCTTAGATTTAGATTTACAAATGTTCAAACACGTTATGATTTGCTGTGCTCACTCATACAATTTTAATCGAAAATAAACCTCGATTTGTAATGCAAAACCACATCAGGTAGGTAATAGGGAAAAATAAAAAAGCATTTTGGGTGCACCTAGAGACCTAGCGGGGTCACTAGGGTTTGAACGTTTGTAACACTAAATCTAAGCCAGATAAACTTATTTTGGCTTCAATAAAAAAAATGTTGTTATCATAAAATCAATAACTACAAATCATAAAAATAATATAAACGACCAAATTTTGGATTGATTCCAAAAATACTATTTTTCAAGGTTTATGTACAATAACTATACAAGTATAATAGGTAAGTTTTATTCATACCAATAGATTAAGCATTAAAAATCACATTTTGAAAAAAAAAATTTGAAAATGTTAAATATTCACTAAGAAATATACGAAACCCTTCATTAAGTTTTCCCATATAACTTCCAAACGAAGTTCGTCCGATTTTTTTTTCTAGATTCTTAATGTATAAGCAAAAAAACACACATTTAGAAAAAAAAATTTAAACAACGAGCTTGGGTCGTAAACTAGATTTATATCAAAAATATAAACTCACTTCTTCCAAGTTTAGCTACATATAATGACATTTCAGCTACAAAACTCCTGAAAGTGAATAGTTTTTAATATATTTATCTCGTTAGTGTTTATTTAAAATTTGCAATAATTATATAAATTTATAAAATATATTTATATTAACTATTAAATTATAATTGTTGACAGGAGTAAATATTAAAAATAGAAATAGGGATAAATTAAGCGTTTTAATTTTATTATTTTTAATTTGTACGATTTATATTTCTATCAAAAATCATGCTTTAATGAAAACCAACAATTATTTTGTTAAATTTTTGGTCTAATTGACAAGTAAGAAAGTAAATTTTTTGTAATTTTCTTAATAATTGAACAAAAATTTAAAAAAATGTATTACTTACATTTTATTATGTAGATAGAATGCTTGAAAATGTAACATGAGATTCATTATAAGTTGTACTAAGTGGTAAAAAAAAGTTGAGCATTATGTAGTAATTTTTTTTTTATGCTTATTAAGAACAAATTTATACGAAAATCTTAAAAATTACGGTATTTCAAAATATGTACAATCAAATTTCACTCAGAATGTTAATTCATTTGTAATGGTTTATCATTGCTAACAAATATTAATTAAATGACTTAATAAATTCTACCCTCCCAATTTCTACCTATAAAATTGACACACTCATCAGCAGCATTAACTCTCTTAGATTTAAAGTGAAGCCAAGGATCTATATTTAAATTTTGACAGAAAACCTATAATTGCTTTCTTTAGATGTGGTAAAATTTTAAAAACATTTATGCTGTTGTGTACTTTAGTAATTTACTCACTTTCCCATAAAAGAATACTTGTAATCAATATTTTTTAACTTATTAGATTGTATAAATTGATTTAAACGCGATTTTGCATTATCTATTGTCCAATTTCCGTGGATAGAAGCATTTACATCCAAATTTTCAGCCTATAAATAAAATGACAAAATTATGATACAAATTTATGTTAAGAAAATTTAATACTTATTTAATTTTAAATATCTCACTTCTTCAACTTTTTTTTCATTCAAAAATTCTTTAAACTCAAACTCTTTTTGTCCAATTGGTCGGTATGCTTCACCCAGCATATTAGGAGTTTCTCCATGTTGATAAACAGATTTTTGTGGTGTGTTTGTCATCAATCTTTGTGGTGGTTGTTCGATATTTCTCGCGTGATTCATAATATTCTGATAAAATTAGATTTATAAATAATTATTTTAAAATAAATTTAAATAGGAAATTAACTCACAAGTGATAATATATCAGATGCTATTAATCCTTGGCGTGTTAAGAATGAAAGAAAATCTTTTGATGCATTTCCTTGAGCATCTTTTTTATTAGTTGAATTTCCTACACCAATGTAATTATATCCTGACACGGTGACTTCACATTTAAAACGTAAACTATGTTTTGATCCTAAAAATATAATAATTTAATATTTTTTAATAATAATATAATTTAAAAATACTTGGTAGTTACAATTGATGAAATAATTTTCAAAACTTTAATTCATAGAACATTTGTGATCCCACTGTTTTATAGAATTTACCCTTAACTTTAAATGTAAAATATTTGTCACATATTATTTTTGTGCTTAAAATTTTAATCAGCCACATTTCATTTATCTCACTGTGTCTTCATGCAAAAAGTGAACCTAAAACCTTGAATCTCAACTTTTTCATCAAGTGTACGTCTACACCTAACTGTTTCAATAATTCTATTTCTTTCTGTCTCGTTTACAAAATTAAACTCTTAATATTCCTTTTTATAACTACTTATTTTTAATCCATTTGTGTATTATTTTAGATGAGTTTTCAAAACATTTATTAAATTAATTGTCATTAATATCTCATCTATGTATCATTATAGTAAGGTTGCAAGTTGTATTTCTAAAATACAACACACTATATAATTTTAATATAATAGTATACCTAGGTAGTATTTATTTTAATTTTAAATGAAACAAAATCAATTAAATATCATATAATTTTACCAGCTTCTTTAATATCAAACACTGGCTCCAGACTGTTTTTTGCACACCATTCGTGTAGAAAACTCTTTGGATTCGCCATGACGGTTCTCTAGACAATAATTTATTAAATAATTATTTGTACATAGAAAAAATTTAATTATATATAAGTCGTACGATTCATATACTACCGGGCATAGAAAGTAAATCGAATAACACGTCGTACTGGTTAATATAAACAATACCCGGCACAGTGATTTTCCTAGAAGTATTGATTTTACACTATCAGTTATAAGCAGTTTATTATTAAAATTATTGTTTATGAAACCCAAGATATTAACAGAACTCTCACGGTTATCGGTTCAATGGTTCAAATACGAAATAAAAAGATGTTATCCTTATCAGTAACCATCGTAGATCTTATACCGTGGTATGTTTTGTAATATAACCACGAATTAAGATATACAGGACACGGGGCTGCACTTTACTATCCCGTACATATAAAACTATGATTCATAGTCATAATTTGAGATAGTAAACATTAGTAGATCTTAAATCTTTTTTCTGTTTTAAATTAATGTACATGGATTTTCACATTTGTTGAGAAAACTCCGGAGAAAATCGAAAAATGGCATCTCTGAGAGTACCTCCCCACACCGATTTCCATTCAGAAAAGTTGCTACACGTAGAAATTCGGGGCAAGTCTCATCTGGTAGAAAGGTTGTCCACAGAAAAAAAAAAACATCTTTATAAAACCATAAGCTTCTTCGCTTCACTCAGAATCTAAAATTGTTATCATTTTAATTAATATATTTTTTTTAACAATTAATTGTGTAGGATATTATGTGTAAATTATAATTATATGATTTAATTGTAAAAAGTACTTATTGTGAGCGAAGCGATCATTTTTTTTTTCATATATATATATATATATATATATATTGACCATATTTATTATGGTGAAAAAAAAGTACAAAATACCTATCCGCCTATGCTCCAAACCATAGACATTTTAAGTACGCGCAGTCCATTTTTTAACATGTCTATGCCCCAAACGTACTGATTTTTAAACCTTCATAAGACCAGAAAGATGAATAACACGACACGTTTTTTCATGTAAAACACAATACCTACTATAATGTAAAATTACTTTTGAACGTGCGTAAATATTTTTTTTTAAAACACTATAAAAATAATAATTACACCCTAGGCTAACATATGATGGTTGTATCTTTACTTATTATTCGTGATCATAATGGTTGTGTGCTTTTAAATTATATTTCCGCCTAATTTAATATTGTAATAAAACATTAATTTCATGCACTAAATTAGTTAAGTAAATGTTTCTGAGAGCAATTTCAATTGCCATGTGATAATGCTTATAAAATAGCTCGTTGGGTAACCAGTACATCTTTAATCATGGTCACGAAGCACTTATTAAATAAATAAAAAATATTATAAATTACCCAATAAAATAGTAAATTTAAAAAAAAAAAAAATCTATGTCATTCCGGCGATAAACTGGATTTCTAAGTCATTTTTTTTTTTAAGAACATTTTGCAATAATTTTTATTGCATTCAAATCTGGACCCTAGTCATAATCTGTGTCGTTCTTTGATTTATAAAACTATTTTCGGTGCACCCTGATCGAACTTTTTTTTTTTATATCAAACACTGACTCATTCACAAAATATGACCATCAAGGCTGGTGACAGGTAGAATTTCTGATCTCTATACGTATATACTGTGTACTATATAGAATTCAGTTGGTAGAATGCATAGCCCAAATTTAGAATTGTAGACTTATAGTTAGATGACACATCAATGAAAATTTAATAAAATTATTAACTCAATTTGTTACATGGCTTATCCTTATCTTATTTTCATAGAATATATTAAGGTTAAAATAATTTTCTAAACAAATGTAAAAAACATAAAAAAAAAATGAATAAAAATTTATGAAATATATTACTAAAATATTAAGTTTTTTTTTCTATGAACAACTTTTCTACCAGCAATTTCGCTCCGGTACAAGTTCAAGTACCTAAGTACACTTATAACTCCACGAATCTGTTAAGTGATTATGCACTTAGAGCGCAGTTTTTAAATCGTTGGATTGAGCTGCTCTACTTAATTTTTCCTAATTCAAGCACTGGATAATACAACAGAATAACGTTTTAGTATTTGAATGAAAAATTCTGAGGTGATCTTTGGCCTTTACAAAAAGGATAGGAATACAGGATAATGCAGAATTAGACATAATTTGTTGATTAAAGAACTACATCAGAAATCAAACATAGACAATATACGAAATAGGCGGCTCTTATAGCTGGCCACGCATCATGGTGTATGGAAAGAAATCCACCTTATATTTGGTGGACCAAGGTTGAGGTAGAATTATTAGGTGTTAAAAGATGTGGAGCGAGTTGTGCTGGATGCTGATTGGTGAGTCCTAGCGGAGGACATGTTAAGATGGCATGGCTGTGTCGGTTTTCTCTTGAAGGATATTTTTGTAAAAAAAAAGCAAATTTATGATTAACTTTCCGAGTTTGAAACAGTGATACCATAAGTTTCTCACGCATTATATTGTCATTCCCAAAGACAGTAGGTACTTGCCTATCAGTCAATAAAATAGTTACATAGATACATTGAGGGATTGACAAAATAAAATGTTTACCTAACAATGAACAGTTACTTTACTTAAGTACATTATAAGATTATTTCGCTATTTTCATCAAAATAATTAAACACATTAGTTTATTGACATTATTTTTATAATTTGTATTATGTATAGAAAAACATTAAGAATACTACACAACTTGTAACTATAGATAAAATAGTCGCTTAATACAAATAATAATAAGTGTTATATTAAAATATACAATGTGCTCGCGTATCTTGGTAACACCAAATATTTTGGCCAGATGACCTAGGTTAAACAATTTTGGGAGGTTTTTTATTTATTATTTTTCGGGAGGTGATACACACAGACTAAAATATACTTAAGAATAACTCAAAATGTATGAGAGCCCATTAAATGAACTTATGCGCAGTACAAATTACTTTTTTTTAAAACTTAAAAATTAGATGAGATTTTAAAAGTGAAGAAATTATTTGTATAGCTACATATATATTATACTTAACATTTTTTTAAAAACCAATAAAAAGAAAAAAATCATATTTTTAACCAGCTATAGATGGCTGTATTTTAGATAATTTTAGAAAAAAAAAATGGAATTTTTTAAACTGGGTGTCAAGTCATTTTTTTTGCTGATAAGCACACCGAAATGGTTAAACATTTGTAATTTATCCTGAAGTGTGTAATTAAGTACCTGGCCTTTACTTTCTGAAAATGGAATTGAAATTCAAAGTCATCTGGTTAGGTATTGTTACCTAGAAACATGATCACATTGAATAATTCCAATAATAAATAACAAAATCACAATTTAATTTTTTTTTTAACTTTGGGGTAGAGGGTTATTTCCCTGATTGTCCCTATGATTAATACTTAATTAATTAATACTCATAAAGTTTACAAGTATTATGGTTTCATTGTATAATGATCATAAATTGCAATACAAGTTTAAGAAGACAAAAACAATATTGAGATCAGATTAATTTATAACTGGAAGAACACATATATTTTCTTAAAAATGAACTGTAATAGGCAAAACAAATACTTGTATTATACTAGAAACATTAATAATATTTTATATTAATTAATTTTACAATGTTACTAAAAAAATAATTTGCATTTCAATTTTTTTTTTTTAAATTAATATTTAATGAATTTAGGGATTTAAAGATTATGTATAAAATTATATTAAACATGAATAATTAAAAAATTAGAATTGGGAAGACAACTTAATTTAAAATAAATATAAATAATATAACAATAAAGATGCAAAATTCTGAATCTAATAATACTATTAAGAAATTATACTTTTTTTAAAAATTATTTATCAAATTACAATTTAATCAATATAAAATGACAATACACTGAATAAGCACAAAATTAAAATCTATTTGTATAATTTGTGTTATATTCACCTGGGAAATAAAATACATATATGTATGAGTTAAATGTCATGCATGAAATTGGTGAATATCTTCAACATTGTATTTAATGGAAAACAATCAATTTTTTTAATGAGAGAGTAATAATATAAATATAAATCTTTTATAAAATAATTGAAACATAAAATTTAGTGAACTATTTGAGTAGCATGGACTAGTCACAAGATTGATTGGTTTTAACTATGTTACCTGGATCTTAGCAAAAGGTCTGATTTCAATAATTAATCCATATATAAGGTATTTTAAATTTGTTTAGATTACAGGGTTATAATTTAATTTGTACTATAATTTAAATTCAAAGTTTTTTTTTTTAAATTTGCATTATTGTCTTAGTAGATTAATCAAAATACCTTAATCAGTTTATACTAAATAAATAAAATATATAAAATAAAGGACTATGAATTAATTATTTTTCAATGTTCAAAAATTATTATAACGATAAGAAGTAAACTATTATACAGCACTGCATTTAACAGAATTGAAATCAGATCAATAACTTACTTGATTTTATAATTTTGTGCTTGGGTAAAACAATAAATTTATCACAAAACAATTAAGTATTGGATTTGTAAAATTTTTCATGTAACTGTTCATATATCTTAAATAATAAAAGAAAAACTATTGTTCCATTTAAATACAATTTTGATTTTTTCACACCAGATACAAAAAGAAAACAAACAAATCATTTTGAGAGTTCAATATTATTTAGTTTTTTTAGAAGACTTTTCTAATTCCATATTATAATCTTCATAACTGTAAAAATATAACATTAATAATAATTATCATCAACGAAAGTTGAAAAAATACACATATTTTGAAATTAAATTACCTGAATAAAGCTTTTAAATCTCCAGATACTAAAGCTACTAATATTGGAGTAATCAAACACGCAGGTACCAAGTACAATAAAGCTGGTTGAGCAGCTTTAAATATGTGCATAATAATAACTGTAGTAAGTAAACCCAAGAAGTAGGCCAAAAAAGTTGCATTGAAATATAAGTTTGTTTTACGTTTTAAACTGTATATAAATAAAAAAAAAAAATTGTTTGAATTAAAATGTATTTATTTGAAAATATAAGAACGTTATCATTAACATACCTTTGGTCAAACCTTAACAATAAAGCAATAAATATTCCAGGAATAACAATATCCCCTAGACCCAACATTGCAAAATTGTTAGCACCTAAAATGCCATTTTCCAATAAATCTTGAGGAAAAATAACTGCAGTACAAAAAATAAATATAAATAATTAGACTTAATTTTCTATATTTATAAATACATATATATATACATATATATATATATATATGAATGTATTCATATTTGTGGCTTGATGCAAGAAGAGTCGATGTCAACAAATAAATGTATTTCCAAAAATGTAATGTTAAGTCCATAATTATTGTGACAGGTACATATATATATATATATATTTATTATTTGTTGACATAGCCCTTCTTAAACTAAGCCACAAATATATATATTATTAAATAAAATATTGTTTGTAAACATTTAAAGTAACTACTTTTTTTGAAAACTAACGTTTGATTGGAGCATCAAAAGATTTGGCTACTGTAACCATAACATTGGTGCCAAACACCCAAAATATATCATAGATGAATAGACCACATAAAAGGATACAACCAATTTTAATATTGTTGAGGTGTAACATTTCTACTCCATTTATAGCGAATGCTAAACCAAATATATTGTTTGCAATCCAATGCTAGAATTAAAATAAAATCATAAAATAATATAATAAAACTAAATTAAATTATAAAAAATACTTTGCTGAACAGGTAAAGTGATCCTAATGCTGCACATGACAAAAAACATATAACTTCATGTAATGTAAATTTGAGATTTATCAAATCTATTTTATTTTCATCAGAGTTTTTTGTAAAATTCAAGTTAAATTCGGTTTTAGGTATGTTTTTCGGCAACATGGAACTGAACTGATTTCTAAAAAAAATATACATGTCTATCACATACATATTATTGATACAATGTTAACGTGCATGTATTCATAAAAAATAATGTTACCTTAAAAGAGTACTTAAGGCTGCCACTCCAAGAATATAGAAATATGAAGTAACTAGTAAATTTATAAGTTCCTTAGAAAATATCTATATTTGAAAAATCAAGTATTTACTATCAAAACAAATTATTTATATAAGGTTAAATATATTTGTATACTAATGGTTTAAAAAATACGTTATTTTTCTTTGAATCTTTCAATACCAAATACATGTATATGTATTCGTAAAACAATTATAAGTAATAATAAGTAAATTTAAAAGATAAAAAATTATAAATTGATCATGTAAACAAAAAAAAAGAAGTTCAAAGATTAATTCAGGATTGTAAGGTGTCATTTTAGTGTAGTAGGTATCTAGTAAAATAATGTTTAAATTACAATATGAAATTTACTGTAAAAATATAAATGTTTTATGTATTTTGGACTTTGGTAGTTGTTCTGTATGTCATTTATTTGGTTAATCACTGGCATACCATTCAAAAATAACTATAATCAACCAATACTTAATGTAAATTTGATAAATAATAAATATTTTAAATTTATACCCTGAATATAATGAAAAGTGTAAAAAGAGCTCCACTAGCAATTATTGGAAACATCATAGCATCTTTTTCCGTCATTGATTCGGGTATTTCTTTTTTCATCTAGAAACACAATTTTTAATACACATCAATACATTATAATTTATTAGTGTTAAGTACTAACTTTGTTTTTTAAATGTAATTTTAATGAACGGAAAGATCCTAAAAATATGGGCACCAACGCCATGACTACTAAACTGATGTAGGCAATTAACATTCCTTCTGGAGTGGCTGGAGTTTTTTTGAGTATTGACTCTGTACTAGTATCGTTTGTTTCATTAAAAGTTTTAACTATATTATCCACAGTTTCGGCCATGGTTGGGTTATGAAATTAAATTTAAACCGTCACTAAATTATATAAATGTATACACAGGTATCTTAGAATTTAAATTAAGTTTTGGGTTGAATAAAAATATGTTAACTCCAAAAAGTGAAATTTATCCACATCACAAAATTGGTACGAATAATCACATAATACTACTTATGTTCAATGTTGGCGTAAAAAGCGCACGTCAACTAATAATCTAAAAGAAGTATGGGAATTTTTGACCAAGAGAATCCCATTCCCATAGCATATTATATAAAATCCTGATAAGACCTATGTATTTTTCTTCTGTCATGTTGTCACCCTGTCACTAAAACTTCATAGATAAGGTAATAGAAAAACTGTTATTTTTTGTTGTAATTTTTGGTTATATTATGTTTCGGCGGTAAAATTAGCCAATTGTCTACACTTTTTGTATTGATTTTGTCACAATTCATGAATTCATTACAGAATTTAGAGTTTAAATGTTTTTATGGTTGATCTTGCTCTAACCACAACTCACCATGCCAGTGAAAAGAAAGGACAAAGAAAACAACAATACACCTGTTCAAAAGAAAAAGCTCAAACAAGAAAAAATTGGAGATTTTTCTGACGACGAAAACTTATCAGATATTGATGATGATGGTGAAATATTCCACGGTATTCGTATACCTGCGGAACTTCCCCCAATTATGTCAGCAGAAGATAAACGTGGACCTCGTATGGTCATTAAGAATATTATTATTAATAATTTCAAAAGTTATTATGGTAAAATTATTATAGGACCATTTCATAAGGTATGAAAACAATATTTCATATGTACCAGGTAGTTAATATTTTAGATTAGCACCAAAACTGGGTATTTTTAATCATTCAATTTTCAATTGTATTATGGGTTATGGGTATAAATGCTCTGATAAATGCTGATCATGACCTATTCTTTGGTGAGCAATTTATATCTACTTAAAAAGTTATTAGAATTTATTGATTAAATTTGCTCAGTGTCATTTCAAAATCTAACAAAAACCATCTTTACTTTGGAGGATGTCAAAGATATAAAGATGATTTACTAGTAGTTAGTATAGGTATAGTAGATGTATTCAATGAATAACATTGAATAAGATCTAATTTTATGTTTAAATTATAGAACTTAAGATTAAACAAATAATAATTTATAATATTATGATTAGTATATTACTTATAAATAATTTAAAATGATTAATAAAAAAAGATAATAATATTATAGAAAATCAAAAGTATTAATATGTTGCAGGCGCTGTCTCTCTCCCTTTTATAAATAATATATATAGCAAAAAAGTGGATCTATGTCAATTGGTCCCTGCAAAAATCATTGTATGTGAATAATTGACCCTAGCATAATTTTATACACGGACAATAAAATTGGTCCTGGGACATTTTTTCCTGTGACATAAAACATGTTTGCATTGTGTTATTACAATCAATAAATGTATAATATAAATATAATTTAAATAACAATACGGGGAAAAAACAAATAATGTTTAATACTGAAACTACATAAATAATTTAAAAGTTCATCATTTGAAAAATTTATTTATTTATTACTAATCAACAAAAATAAATTTTTTTTTTTCAGTTACAGATTTCATAAAATTAATTAAAATATATTTGTGTATATATGTTTTTATTAAAATATATCATTGTTGAATTAATTATTTGTATAGATTCAATAAACACAAAAATCCTTGGGTGTTTAATCTGGACAATATTTTGCAATTTATTGTTGTATGATTTTGATATATTGTTAGCTATCCTATTCAAAAATTGAAAAATGTGAAAACAAAATATCCCTGAGATCAATTGTCCATGCATAAAATTATGACTGAGGCCGATTGTCCGCTTATGAAGTTTTTTTTTACGGGAACCAATTGTCTGGGGACCAATTGACCGTTTCCCCATAAAAGTATTGGTATGCATTATAATATTAGGAAAGTTGTTTTAATTTTTAATTTGCGTTAAAATATTTTTTTTATGAAAATTTTTATATATTTTTTGATAATCAAATAAACCGTAGCTTATATTTAGAAAAAATTAGAACAATCAAGGATTTTTCAGTTTACATTGATATGTATAATATCTGTAAACCTATTTAACTAATTATTGTTTTGTTTTGTACTCGCAGTTATCAAACTATTTATTTATGTTACAGAGCTTGTCAAGTATTGTTGGTGCCAATGGCAGTGGAAAAAGTAATGTTATAGATTCTTTACTTTTCGTCTTTGGATATCGATCTACAAAAATTCGGTCGAAAAAAGTATCAGTACTCTTACATAAATCAGATCGGCATAAAGATGTTCAACAATGTTCGGTTACAGTTAATTTTATGCACATAAATGATGATGTAATTATATTATATTTTAATAATAATTGAATTAATTTTCTTAATGACATAATATTTCTTTTAGGAAACCCATGAAATGGGTTTTGTGGTTATCCCAGGTACAGAAATATCAATTACACGCACAGCATTTAAAGATAACTCTTCTTTCTATACCTTAAATAATAAACGCGTAAAGTTTAAGGATATAGCAACTATTTTAAAGAAAAATGGTATAGATTTAATTCACAATAGATTTCTTATCCTTCAGGTAAATTGTATTAAATATTGTGTACAAAAAATATATGTATGCAGAGTGATCAACATAACATAACACATTTCTTATCTCAGAAAATATTACCTGTTTTTGGAATTTATTTTTTAGAACATTTAAGAAATTAGTAGCACTGAAATATTACATTACTTTTTTTGTCACTTGGTGAAACTACAACCTTCATTTGATTTTCAAATGACAACCTATATTAAAAATTTCCCAAATAAATGGAGTATAAGTTCAAATACATTTTGGTGTTATTTATTTATTGTATGGTATACAATTCATATTATTGATATATAATAAAGCAATTAGATCAAACAGTTAATGAAGTAGTTAAAATCCCATGATCTATTCTTTTCTAGGGATGTGTTTTTTAGCTACTTCAATTTTGGCAGTGGGACAGTAGTGGTGCATTATTTGTATAGTGACAGTGTGCACAGTGTTTTAATAATATTCCACTGCTCTCCCTCTACGTAAATTTAAAAGTGCAATATCTTGTAAATAGGTTGATAGAAATCAAAAGTTCAACTTCAAAATTTATTTAACCTAATACTCTTTTTGTTTATGCAATTTTAATATAGATTTCAATTTGATAATTAAAAGTAGGCAGAGGTTTCACCTCTTAAAATAAGGACAACAAAAAATAATTGTAATTTAACATTTTAAAATTGCACATTTTTTAAATGTTCTTAAAAAAAATTCTAAGACAATTAGTGTTTTTTTGTTATTGTTGATCACTCTGTATACATATAAATTATTTATTATAATTTAATGGATTTTCTTTTTGAATTAGGGTGAAGTTGAACAAATTGCCATGATGAAACCTAAAGCTGAAAATGAACATTCAACTGGAATGTTGGAATATTTAGAAGATGTTATAGGCACTGCAAGATACAAGGTTTGTTTTTATTTTTGATAGATCATACTTTGAAAATAAAAATCATATTTTTATCTATAGTATTTTATTAGAAATGTTTATATTATCAACAATGCTTTTTAGATTTAACTATGTTAAGGCCTGCAGGTCAAATTTAAGTTGAAGTTTAAGTTGTTGGATTCAGTGATGCAAGAAAATAGAGTAATTGCATAGGGTGTTATTATTAGTAGAATTAGCTGTGATTGGATAAAGTAGTTAGTAGACGAAAACATGGGTAGATTTGGAGAATAATAACAGGAATAAGAGTAGCTGCTCAATTTATGAAGAATATACATTTTATTTTATTTTAGTAGTTTTCTTATCATGTACATTTTATGAATGTTCTTAATGTCAAACATTTAATATTTGATAAATTTATTTTTATTATTTATGCAAAATTGAATTAGAAATAAAAAGTATTTTGTTCAAATCATAACTAATTAGTAAAGTCTGTGAGTATTATTTTTATAAGTATGGAATTGTTCAAATAGACTCAAATTCAATATTTAAGTAATCAAAAACTGCTGAATACTCAATTTTATAAAAATCTTGTATGTAAAAAATAATAAATGTTTAGTTGACACTCTAACTTTAATTTTAATTTCCACTTATGGTAATTGTTAAACAAACTATTATAATAATTATAATAAACATTTTTTGTGTAGTATTTATTTATTCATTACTGAAAAGTAACCTATGCACATTTTTTGTAGATTTTTCCAATACATGTAATAAATAATCATTAAATAGTTTTAAATTTATATTTTGTATTATGGTTATACGGTTGAAGGAAAGTTGAATGTGGTACTCAAGTTTTTGATAAGCACACAAATTTATTCAAATTTTGTTATGTGTCAAACTCTGTTTATTAGTTATTAGAAATTAGGCTATACATTATTTAACAATTTATTATATATATTTAAAATATTTTATTTTAGAAACCAATTCTGAAACTCGAAGAAAAAGTTAAAGAAATAACAATGGAAAAAAATGAAAAAGTAACTCGTTTGAAATTTATTTCAAAACAAAGAGAGGAACTTCTTAATCCAGTTGAAGAAATAATTAGATGCCTAAAATTAAAAAACAAAATGTCCAGACTTTTAAATAAATTATTTCAAGTAGAGATGTTAGTATATTTAATATATATTAATTATTTAATGATTTCATTTTATTTACTGGTATATTTTTATTAGATATCAAATAAATAAAAAGTTAGAAAAAGAAACTGAAAATAGTAACAAAATGAAAAGCAGATTAAATACTATCAATACCAAATACTTAGAATTCGAAAATATTAAAAAAGTAAATCTAAATATCTTGAAGGGTTTTCAAGAGTAAGTTGTATTCTACTTTTATAATATTATGTTATATGTTTCAATCATTACCATTTCCATACATACAATAATACAATTATATGCTTTTTAATCAGGATACTTGTTCTTAATTAACTTGGATCTGATTATTTGCATTTGAAAATGTTGTTATTTAAATGTATTGGGTAACTCAATAAAATGTGCAACGTTAATAATTATCTAGTACTGGGACAAAGGCTATTAGTATGGTCTAATTGTGAAATATCAAATATTTTACTCTTTCGAATCCGCATTGACTTTATATTATTCTACAGTATAAAATATTTTTTAAAAACCATATTATTTTTATTTTAATACCTAATTTCTATGCATACGAGGGCTAATCAAAAAGTATCAAGACTGGTTGTATCATTCGGAAAAGGAGCATCGAAGAGCAGTAGGATTGGTATCACTTGCTTTTATGACTTTTTCTGAGTACATTTGTTTTTATTGCTTCTCTATAAAATTCTTCGGTTTGATTTCACTGATATTTTTGTAAAATATATTTTTCGAGTTTGGTGATTTTGTAATAAACCCAAAAGAAGAGTAACTTGACAGATTTGGAGATTTTAGAAAATTTGTCTGCATTTTTTTCCAGTTTCAGAGGGATGCAACATTTCATGGTTTTTGCCATTAAATGTCAATTGAAAAACTGAAAATGTGCCCTTGAGTGGCTTGATACTTTTTGATTAGCCCTTGTATGATAGATAAATGGTTTATAAATTGGATCCTATATTGATATTGGGCTCACTGCTCAGTAATTATTAATGCCACACATTTTTTATAGCAAATACTGTAAAAGATAATTTTGAATGACTTATTTATATGTTAATATTATTTGTTAGTGAAATAGATACGAGCGAGAAAAAAAGAAATATTCTTCGAAATGAACAAAGGAATCTTAAAAATAATGAAAATAAATTAGAGTATGATATTTCAAGTGCGAATGATATGATTAAAAAATGTGAAAACTCTATTAAACAAGAAAAAAATAAGGTAAAACTGAAAAATCAGTCAATTTCAAATACATATTATTTAATTAAATTAAATATTTAATATCCTTGTCTTTTATGTCTTTAGATTTCTTGTTTCTAACCATGTTTCAATGAATTATTTATTTTATATTAAATGTGATTTAAAGCTGTACCGATTCATTTTGAGCATTGTTCAGATACTTAAAATCATCATTGCAATAGGACCAAATTTTAAACCCTACCTTTTTGTTAGGTACTATCTTTTAGGTTGCTTTTTTTTATTCTTACCATACAAATACATATTTATGATTAGTTCTTCTAAAATTCAGTTGCGAAAAGTTAATGCTATAAACTTGGCTTAACTCACATAAGATATATCAAAGTTAAACATCCTCTTTATCTTCTTACTTTTGTATATACCACTTTTTCTTTAAATTTTGTTTGTTTCTATATTTATATTTTAACTTTCATTGATTTATGTATAGTACATTCACAGTGAGAATTATTTCTTTACATATTTTAAGGTGAAACAGAGTTTACAATATCTTCAACTTTTTTTCCAATTAAAATAGATATTCTTGTTTTTTTTTTTTTTAATAAAAATGTAAAATAGATTGATAAGTAATTATAATATTTGTTTGATTAGGCTACTAAAGCTGAAAAAGTTCCTAAAATTAAAGAAGCTGAATGTGAACGTTTGAAGTCCGAATTAGCATCTTTAGAAGAATTATATAAAGAGCTGGACGCAAATTATGCAAAAATATTTTCTGAAAGTTCAGTTATTTCTAAACCATTGACCGATGAAAGAGAACTATTGATTTCTGAGGCATCAAATTTACAAAATCTTGCTGGCATTAAAAATAATGAAGTATGTTTTATATTATAAATTATAAAATGTTATAATATGTAATTTAAATTTTTATAATAATATTTACTTATACAGGTTGTCTTACAGTGTTATCCATCAGCTAATAACTCAGTATTTTTTTTTTAACTTTTTAAAATGTTCAAAATAGCTATTCTCTAAAATATATTATTCTAAAAATTTAAATATAACCGATTAATAGTTTCTTAGTTATATTGGCTTTGATATATAGAAATTAGGAGTGAAAACAATTAATTTGCAATACAATAACATGTTACACAATAAGAAATAACAATCAGTTCAGTAATTCCTTATTTTCTATTCTGTCAGTGGCAAAATATTTAACGGAATAAAATCGATTTCTTGTAATTTTTCGATTAGTGCAATATTTTTGGTAGAAAACATAGTGTAAACAAATTAAAAACAATGAAAACGGAACGGCATGGTACGCCGTTAATATTTGTCGTTTTTCCTAATTATTTCAAAAACCTTTTGGAAAAAAAATTACCTATTTAATACACCAAATTGACAAAATTTTCTTTTGAAAAAAATATCACTCTACATCAGAGCAAGATTTCTTTTTTAAAAGTTGTTTAGAGACATCAAAAATTAAAAGCTCACATCATAGCAAAACCAATAGATCCCTTACTACGATCCAAATTTAAAAACATAAAACATCTTTATAGTCTGAGTGAAGAGGTCTATATAGATTGGATTTAAAACAAATTAATTGAAGCATATTATTTTGAATTTTTTCTATTTGTTTACAATGACTGATGAAATCAATTTTTTATATAGTGGGGCATATTCCAATAAAGTGTGAATAATTGAGGTGTAGAGACATTTTAGTGTTAATAGATCATTAAAGTTAAAATATGAGCGAAAAGTAATTTGATTAGACAGTGTGTAGTTTTCGGGAATAATATTATGTCTTTTATTATTATAATACTTATATTAATTCTAATAATGAACTATTTAATATTTTTATTTAGTTTGAATCTTTAAAAACCGAATTAGAATTATTATTGTATAATGAGAAAAATGCTGAAGAAAAATTAAGTCGCCTGGAAGAACAAATGATTAAAGGACTTGATGATTTTCAAGTTAATACTAGGTAATCAACATGATTTAATTATTACTTTATATCATATTTATATCGGTCATATTTCTATTATGTAGTACATTTTTAATTTAAACATATATTTATTTTCTTAAAGAAAAAAAGAAAACGCAGAAGGGGAAATATTAAAGAGTAAAAATGCAATTAGAAACCTGGAAAAAAATATTGAGGATATGAAGAATAATGAACAAAAATTGGATGCTGAATTAAAACATATACGGATGAACTTAGGTGAGAAAAGAACAGCTTATGCAGAAACTACTGAACGAAGTCGACCAATTCAATTCGCATTGGATTTGAAAGACAAAGGAATTATCCCTGGACTTCTTGGTAGATGTGTAAGTGCATTTTATCTAATTCAATGCAATTACAATACAAATCTAAAATATGTAAATGTACAGGGGGATCATGGCCAGGTAGAAAGTAAGTTTGATATACCTTCATGTACAGCCTGTACTTCTACAGACCAGATTGTGGTCGAAACATCAGAAGCCGCTCATGCCTGTATTAAAAAATTGAGAGAATCTAATATTGGAAGACTGACATTTTCCATCTTACCTCAAGTTCAAAAACTAAAATCATATGCAGATATGAAAAAGAATTAGTAAGTAAACAAATTTATGGTTAGAGATATTTTGATTTAAATAAATAGTTTAATATTTTAATAATGTTTAATCTACCTCCTCCCTCCCTCTCCCAGTTAAGTGGTTGCACAGTTTAGTTAGTCTATATGAGTATATTTCAAGACACACTATTTACATCATAATAATTTTTCAATTACTTTATTTTTTAAATTTATGACATTAATAGTTAATAGTTAATTTCATACAATTTAATATAAAAAAAAGAAAATAAAACTCAGGGTTCGCTGATAATTATCCAATCCTTATCCGAGATAATATTAAAAACAAATCTGACAAAATTTTTTCTAAAAATAGACAAAATTATTAATTTATAACAATAATTTAAAATTTAATTAAAACTATATTGTTATTTATTTATTTATATTTGTTTATATTTTAATTTTTTCTAATAATAAACATAGCTTTTTGATTCTATACATAATATTACCTACATACTTAAATACTTTATACATTTTCTTTTTTGTTTTAAATTAATTAATAATTAAATATCAATAATTATCAAAATTATCAATTATTTTGATTAATTTATCAAATTATACTACAATTACCGATCCCTGATATTATAACGCCAGTATTTTAGTAGTCAATCACATAATTATATCTAATATATAATAATATTTCAATAATCTTGTTTATGATTTTTCCAAATTATTATAAAAACATCTTGGAAAATCGTAAAATGATCTCTAATGTACTAACTAGATCCAAAATGAAACAAAAAATGTCTCTTGTTAATTTTTGATTAAGGTAAGATTTCTGGTAAACAAATTTGTATAAGTTTAGACACAAAAAAAGAAAACTCATAGTAAAACCAATACATTTGTTTACTTTGGCAAATTGGAAAAAAATATCCTGGAATATTCAGGGAAAACTATAAGTTAAATTTTTTGGCAACCAGAATCTGCCTAAATTACCAATTTGATAGTAATACAAAATAATAACAAATTGTGTTTTCCATTTTTAACAGCCCTGAAAATTCAATGAGGGTTTTTGATGTTATTAAAATATTAGATCAGCGTTTCAGACTGACATTTTATGCTGGTTTGTATGATACACTAATTGCTGAAAATTTAGAACAAGCTAGAAGAATAGCATTTGGCACTAATACTCGCTATAGAGTTGTTACATTTAAAGGAGATTTAATTGATCAATCAGGTACAAGATTATATAATTTTTAAAAAATATCATATTTATTCAGTCTTTATTTAAATTTAAGGTATTATGTCTGGTGGTGGAAGACCTATTAAAGGTAAAATTGGACCTCAAGAAATTAAATCCAGACATGCTGGTTGTAATACATCCCAAGTTAGTGAAAGAGAAGTAGAAAAATTAGAAAAACATTGTCAATGTTTAGAAGATGAGATTAATAATATAAAGTCAAATAGAATAGGATTAGAATCTGAAATTAGACAACATAATTTAAATATTGATGCAAACAATATTATTGTTAAACAGTGTTTGTCTCGTATAAATGTAAGTTATTTATACTCAAATAATGTACAAAACATAATTCAATATGAAATTTATCAATTTTAAGGTCTTTAAAGAAAAAGAAAGTCAATTAAAAGGTTTGATTGAAGCCCAAAAATTAGAAGTTAATAAACAGAAAACGGACCAAATTGCGGTTAATAATAAAAAAAAAGAAATAGAAAAAGCAGAAAAGGGTAATGCAATTTGTTTTTAATTATATCTAAACAGAAGTAAGTAGGTTATAAAAATTAATGTAACTAAAAATAAAATTTAAATAATATTTGTATTTAATTAAATTCTGTTATGGGTCATAATTGTGTTACAAGGTTTAATAAAAGTTAAAATAAATATTAAATATTTATTCAATCAAATCATATTATAATAATATGTTCAAAAATAGAGATAAAGAAATAGCTATTAAATATTGTATTAAATAAATAGCTTATTTTAAAAATTAATGTACTTTTATAATATATGTATAACATACATTGTGTTAATAATTAAAAAAAATATAAATATATCTGAATATAATTTTTATTTTAGAATTGGAAGAAGCAAACAAAAACTATACTAAGGTTGCATCTAAAGTAGATGAATTAAATAATAAAATTAAAGAAATGATTGACGGTCCACGTAGAAAAGCAAAAAGTTCAATTGATGAAACCACTAATGCATTAGAAAAAGTTAAAAGTGATTTATATCAAGCTAATAAGGATATAGAGGCTGCTGAGAGGCAAGTTGGATTCATATATTTTTACAGCAATATTAAATTTTATTTTTGGGTTCTAAATAATTTGATTAGAATTAATACAATTATAACGTTCATATAATTAAAAAAAAAAAAAAAAAACATTAATAGTGATTAATTTTATCTTTCATATGCTAATGTGTGAATCTCCATTGTAAGATATAACTACTACACACATTGTTTACATGCCCTTGTGTTAAACACTTTCAGAATTTCAAAATTTTATTTGCATATATTTTTAACTACTTGACATGGATACAATTAAATGATATTTCTCAATTTCAATATACAGTAGAAGTCGCTTATTAGGAACACTTTCGGACCAAGATGAACTGTGTCAATTAACTGATTGTTTTTAATAAACGATTGGTTTTAATATATGATTGATTTAATGTATCACCGGTCCATTCCTATACATTTTGCTTCAATAATATGATTGTATCAATGATCTGTGTTCCTAATAAGCAGCTTCTACTGTATTTATATTAATCAGGAATTTAGAATATTGTTAAACCTAAAAATAGAAAACTGTCTGGATAAATGCAATGAAACAAAAATGTATAGTTATTGTAATGGTTTGAATCTAATAAATAAATTAAACCTAATGATATACTATTTATTTTATAATATTATGTGGTTCTTGGTTTTCTTCTCAAATTTTAAGATGGTAAAAAAAAGTTTAATATGATAGTTTTAAAGTTGGGAATATTTTTAAGGTATATTAAATAATACATTTGATTATTTTTATATTCTCAAGAAGGTTTTGATCTAATTAATTTTAGCTTTGTTTTAATTAAAATTAATAATTGTTATTACAAACTTACAATAAATAAAACATTTTAAAGGTAAATTAAAAATAACTTCTAACATTTTTCTTAATTTGTATTTAAATTAATATATAATATGTTAATAGTAAATTAATTATAATTCAATTGACCAAAAAATTACCAAATTAACAATAACAGTTTTAAATGTAACTGTACAAAATATTTTTAATGCCTAAATTGAAGTGTTTGTGTTGAAGAGGAGCCCGCTTAACTAATTAATCATACAATTTTAATTTTACTTGTGTTATAAATGTGTATCTAAACCGTTGATGATTTTGATTTAAAAATGATATCGAAGAAATACTAATTATTATTGTCTATTGAATATAATCAATATTATTGTTCTAGTGGGGAGTTGAGTGATTTGTGTTTAATTAATTCGAGTACTTATATTGAATTTTATATTTTTACTGTAGGTTTATTAACTAGTAATTTGTTACAGGCAAGTAAAAAAATCTGAAAATGAAATAACATCATTAAATGTTAAGATTAATGATTCAAAGGAAGAAATAATTTCCTGTAAAGTAAAATTACAAGAATGTATAAAGTTACAAGCTGCTATAGAAAAGAAAATAGTTGTTTGTACTGTAAGTATTAAATTTGAATTTAAAATGTTTATGAAAATTATTTTTACTATTTATTTCTTAGAATTGTATTTATCACAAATTATAATTACTGTTTAAACTGATGAAATTATTGTGGTATATGTTACATTATTTATTGGTTTTTTTCTATGAACAACTTTTCTACCAAAAGTTTTGCTGCGATTTTCAAATGCAGCATCTTTTCTGAAAGAACATTTGACTGGGCTGTTATTTTAAAGTGGTTATTTTTTAATTTTCCTAGGGGCTTTCATAATAAATGGAATAAAATGTACAAAATTTATTATTTTCAAATTGTTATATTACGGCCTTTCAAAACATTTATAACTGAACTCTGCTCAGAATCGGTTTTCATTAAAGTGATTAATTATTTCATTCATATATGCATTCAATTTCCCCTCTACTTTCCCAACTTTTCACCTACAACAGTGGTCCAATCATCGTGTGAAGTATGTCAGTAAGTTTTTTATTTCCCTCTTATTACAACAAATTCTTTTTTCTTGGCTATTTTTATCCAGATATCTTCTACTGAATTCATCAGTTGTAATGAAATTATAAATTGCATATTGGATTTTGGTTTTTAATCAGATGCTTCTGATTAAATATATTTTGGGAACTTGTTTACATATTTAGTTTTCTGTGTAACTTGTTTTAAACATTTCTATAACGTATATTATTGTCAAGATATTACATCTCAAGATAACTAATTTTAAATGTAAACTAAAAAAAAGAGGAATGTATTGTAATGCGCATTACATCTATACATTTATATAGCAAACAAAATCTGAATTTATCTACACACCTCAATAATATACAATATCAAATTCCCTGAATTTATTACAATGTATGTTTTTCTATTCTAATAATGACACTTTATTACCACTGGGTGTCTGTTATTTCATTGTATAAGCTTTTGATATTGATGCTGAAGTTTTTTTTTAATATTGTTATGTATATATAATTGTTATTGATGGTTTACATGTTTTTAAGTTCAAAACATTAATATAAACTTAGAAATATTTTCAAATACAATGATTTATACATTTTCTACATTTGCTCAGTATTTAACATTGAATATTTGTTTACCATAAAAAGTATTATGTGACCAACCCAATTTTATGTTCGATAATATTTTTATTTTAATAGGAGAATGTAACCAAAAATAAAGAACTAATTTTGGATTTACACAGAACTGAAGAAAACCTCCGTAATCAAAATTTCTCGCTAGACAAAGAGAAAGCAGATTTGATAATAAAATTAAAAGATAGCGATGAAATTATCCAAACACTAACTGAGAAAGTTGATGGTAAAAAAGAAAAGGTAAAAATATATATTTTTTATTGTATATATATTAAAGAAAAAGTATTTGTTTGGTAATTGACTTAGGTGGTAGGTGAATTTTAGGGGTATCTTATTAGATACCTTTAAGACCAAAAAAAAAATAAAAAAATGTATTTGTCAATTACTGTTTTAGCAACAGGAAAAAAGAAATATAGTTGTTTTTCTTAACTGTTTGAGAGGAGTAATGAAATCTTAAAAAATGTGTTTTTGTTCATTACTTGATTTTCATTTAGAATAAAATTAGCTTTTTGAGTTTTTCTCAAAATTAAGTTAAACCTTTATTCTCTTGCACCAATGATATATTTATAGTTCTGCATATTTAAAATATAAATAACAATTCTTTTTATTTTTTTAGCTTTCTAGCTTAGTATTACATAAAATCCCTGAAATAGATGACACCCAACGTGATCCAGTTAAGGACTTTGCTACAATCAATTTAAATAAAGAAAATAATAATAAACCTCCATTAGAAAATGGGGATGTTCAAAAAGAAAATGGGGAGGTTCAAAAAGAAAATGGGGAGGTTCAAAAAGAAAATGGGGAGGTTCAAGAAGAAAATGGGAAGGTTCAAGAAGAAAATGGGGAGGTTCAAGAAGAAAATGGGAAGGTTCAAGAAGAAAATGGGGAGATTCAAGAAGAAAATGGGGAGATTCGAGAAGAAAATGGGGAGATTCAAGAAGAAAATGGGGAGATTCGAGAAGAAAATAGTGGCTGCCAGGTAGCAGATAATAAATCACCAGAAAAAAATGATCATATTAATAACAACGCTTTTAGTGATGAGAATGAACAATTAATAAAATATCCTGAAGAACAATTACCTTTAATTGTAGTAAATAAATTACATTTGGAAATATCCTCTATAACTGAAATGGCTAATAAAAAAATTAATCGAGAAATACTCGAAGAATATGAAAAGAGGGTATGTAAATAAAAAAAATAAACGTGGTTTTAATAAAATTTAATTTTTTTAAATAAATTATATATTTTGTAAATAACAGTCAAAACAGTATAACGAAAAAGCAATAGAAGTGAGTCAAGTTTTAAAGTTGTACAATGACTTTGGTAGTATGATTAATAAAGTACGTCAACGGAGAAGAGATGAGTTCATGGCATCATTTAAAAAAATTACAATAAAATTGAAAGAAATGTATCAAATGATAACACTTGGTGGAGATGCCGAACTTGAATTAGTTGATTCATTAGATCCATTTAGTGAAGGAGTTAATTTCAGGTTTGGTATTTTCCTAATGTTATAATTGAACAAGTATAAAATAAAATTATTCATTATATAATATTTTTTAAATTTAATATTCAGTGTGAGGCCACCTAAAAAAACATGGAAAGTGATATCTAATCTATCTGGTGGTGAAAAAACACTGTCGTCATTAGCTCTTGTATTTGCTCTTCACTACTATAAACCGTCACCATTATATGTTATGGATGAAATAGATGCAGCTTTAGATTTCAAAAATGTATCAATAATTGCTTATTATATTAAGGTAATTTAAAAAATATATACTTAAAAACAGTTATTATAATTTGATTTTTATTTATATATGCATATTTATTTTATTTTATCAATTTTAAATACATTTTATATTGGTAAAATTAATTTTTTTTTTCCAGGAACGTACAAAAAATTCTCAGTTTGTTATCATTTCATTACGTTCAAATATGTTTGAAAAAGCTAATCTATTAATTGGCATATATAAAACAAGCGACTGTACAGAAACTGCAGCAGTTCAAACAGACCATTATCAAAAAGTATTGGATAAGGCCTTAGCTGAAAATGCTAACCAAACATCTCATGTTTAAACAATGTATTTTTTTTTTTTTTTAATGTATTTTACAGAATTTCCCTTAATGAATACTTTCTTAGAATAATAATTCAACGTTTAAGTGTGTTTAAGTGTGTTACAAACAGTTAATTCAATTTTTTACTATTTTTTTTTTATAGAATATTAATTTCAGGAGACCTTGCCGCCTAGTACAATTTTTCAAGTATAATGTTTTTGTAAAGATAGTATTCCAACAAGAAATCCAACAATTTTATTATTAAATAAATATGTATAAACAGTAATTAATATTTATTTGGTTTGTTTATAATGTATTACAATGTTGTTTTTGTATTCTGTTTATTGACTTTAAAGAACATATTTGTCCAAGTGGATAACAATGACCAAACAATATTAGCAGGATATTTTATGAAGGGTTGGAGTGAGTGCTACAATTATGTGTGCTCATATTGTTTATAAATATTTGGTAAGCCACAGTACCTAGATAATCAACAAGATTAAGAAATGGTAAAATGTAAAATATTTTGTTTGCCTAAAGTAAAATAATTTCTTTTAGGCATTTGCTAATAGACAATTACTGTATTTTTGACATTTGTATAGTGAAGATGATACTCAACTGGCGAGGCAGCAACTGTATTATTTACCTATGTGAAATATTTTTGTTTAAAACTTGTTTATCAGATATCCTATCTCTCCTATAGTTATACTGGTTCAGCTCATTAACTGCAGTGGTTTATTGCTGTTTTTTCTCAATTGAATTTAGATATCTAATAACAAATGTGTTTTACATAGGGTACTTAGTTTAGAATGTGAAAGTTGACACGCTGATGAATATTATCTATTTTTTTTTTATTTCCTGTCAAAATTTAATTTTGAAATTATAGCATTTTAAAATTCTGATATTATGCGGATATTATTTGTTATGTTAAATAACTCCATGTTGTTAATTTAAAAATATGTGTGTCGTAGTTAAATGTTGGTACATATCTATTTTCATCGAGAGTAAAGGGGCTGTTAATTACATTGAAAATTTGTTATTTATTATAAAAGAACTGAGAAACGATAGTAAATTTGAATTAAATGTTTTAGAAAAACTCAAATTTATTGAATCAAAAAAAGATAATCTTTTGTTTATACTTTTAGTACGTTCTAGAGTAAGACTTGAAAATTTCGAAAGACCCTTTTTTTAGAGAGTTCTATACTGTCTTCATATTTATTGTACATCAAACATTTAGTTAAATACTTACCAAATTATGATCGTGTGACCTTTTTGGTTGTGAAAATAAGTTTTTTCAAACAATCAATGATTTTATTTCAAATTACACTTATGAGTTATGATTAATACTCAAATACTTTACTGAATTGCTGGAATTGCGGAATTCAAAACAAAAAAATGAAAAAAATACGCGATTCCCGAAACGGGAGCGTAAAACAGCGGTTTTAGGGGGAAGTCGGCGAGTCGATCGGCCCGACTCACCGCTTAACTCCGCTTTGTTCGTGCAAATATTATTACTATGTAGTAAATGTTAAAATAAACATACAATCTATAAATAAATTTTACAATAAGCATGTTTGAGGATTTATATAATATATTGACATGGTTGACATGATAAAGTAATCACCCAGCGGTGACACTTACTGGCTAGAGAGTTATTTCAGGTCACGGTTCCAATTTCGCTTTAACCTTCTAGGTGGGTTACCGGAGATGAATTCAGAGTTTAGAGCAATGATTAGAGAGTTGGAGTGGTTTCTAAGACGGGAACGGAAGAGCTTATAGGAATTTTTGGCTTCTTCTTGAACAGTGAGTATTTTTAAGAGTGTAAGGTATGGTTTGAAACATACGGAGGAGCACATGTAATCATACGTAGTGAGATTGGTTGGAATGTTTGAATTTTTTAAATATTGGATTTTTTTGCTGATCTCCATAGTTGGATACCGTATAACCAAATTGGTTTGAGTAGGGTTTTATACAGCAGTAGTTTTGTATTAAGGTTAATTTTTGATTGTTTTCCTATAAGTGGAAAGAGTGCTCTTCGTCTAGCATTAAGTATGAGTCTTTTTTGTTTAATATGTGTGGCCCAAGTCTTTTATCGAGAGTTATACCCAAATATTTGACGTTAGATGAAGGAGGAATAATTTTATTGTTTAAGTAGACTGAGGGAACTGTGCTTTTTTTGAGAGTGAAAGTAATGTGAGATGATTTTTCGTTATTTATTTTTATTCTCCATTTGTAGTACCAATCTGCTAGTAGGTTTAAATGATTTTGTAAGTTTTGGCTGGCATGGTGTGGATTTTTTTCTGAAATGTATATGACTGTGATCAGCGAAGTCGGCTACCGAAGTATGAGGGGTGGTTGGTTGATCGGCTGTGTATATATTGAATAGTATAGGGGAAGAGATGGCACCTTGGGGAACACCAGCTAGGATTGGGGTCAAGTTTGAAATTTCAGAACCAACTTTGGTGGCAAAGAATCTGTTTTCAAGATATGACTTAAAAAATAAGTAGTAGGATGGTGGTAGAATTATTTTTAGTTTGTGTAGGAGATCAGAGTGCCAAATACGATCAAAGGCTTGGGCAACATCGAGTAGAATAGCTGAGTAGTATGATTTGTTTTCTAGGGAGTAGGCGATTGAGTCGGTTAGGCGGTATATTTGATGGATAGTAGAATGTTTATTTTGGAATCCAAATCGCGTGTGGGGAATGATTTGTTTGTCATTGATGATTTTTGATATTCTTTTTAAGATCATTTTTTCACATAGTTTCGTGAAAAATGGTAGCAGGCTTATTGGGCGATATGATTACGGAACATCTGGAGGTTTTCCAGGTTTAGGAATTAAGATTATAAGTGATATTTTCCATCAAGTAGGGAAATACGAAAGCTTCAGAATAGAATTTAAGATGTGGGTTAGGTGAATTAATGCAGACTAAATGTAGTAAATGTAAAATTATAAAAAAAAAAAAAAAAAAAAAAAAACGGGCCAGTAAGCAAGGCTAAGAACTAGTAAGCGGTCGGACGAAAAAGTATTGGAAAAATGTTTTTTTTTCTTTCTAATAATATTTGAGTATAATAGTTTAACGTTTGTTTTTGAGAATACTATTTTCGACTTCAACTCTTAGAAAAAATTATGTCTCGACGTTTGTTTGGCTATATTATAATTAATATATTTCGCTATATTATTTTGTCACAGAAAACGTTGTTAATAAGTAACTAGGTAAGTTATAATTTCTAATGACACTTTTTTTTCAACGATAACGCCTAAAAACTGTAGATTTTGACAACATATTGGTTATATTTCAGTGTTTTTCGATAATCGTTCACCGAAAAATGCATGTTTTCAACTTCAAACAACTCTAGAATTCAAATAATTTGTTGTATTTATAATATGTTTTAAATATTAAAGTGATAACAATATATAACTGTAAGTTATTCTAAAAAATAAACATCTTTGTAAAACCTGTTACACTCAGCGTTAATTATTTTGATTCCAGACACACCACAGTTTCTTTAAATACAATCCAAAGAATTTTTAAATCGTCTTTGTATAATTGATTCGTATAATTACTAGTTTGAAGGTCCATAATAATAGCTAAGGTTTTACAAAAATTTAAAAACTGTTTTTTTTAATTAGAATCAATCAATGTTTTATAATTCGGATTGTGTAATTATGCTTTAGAAATTGTGACAGCAATATAATCGTATGCACAAGTGTCACTTACGAGGTAATTTTGGTTTTTATCAATTATAAGTTATAACTGAGGAATCATTACCATTCCTTAATACAGAATTGAAAATTTCATCAAAAACGTCTAGAAAATGTAAATATAAGTTTTCTGTCCAAATTTCAAGTTACTGCGAATATTATTAACTAAATAACAACAAAATTGAAAATAATAAAAAAATTTTCCTGTTTTTTCGGTTTTGCTTAATTCTTAAAAACCTAAAGGAGAAAAAACGACTTTATTTTGATTTATGAGTTTTTTTAATAATCTATACATTTAAAGATTGTATTTACAATGAATATTCAATTGTTTACAATTTGTCTGAAATCGAACGGCAAACAAAGTGGGGGGGGGGATTTCACGTACGTAAGATAAGCATTTATTGCACGAGCAAAACCGAACAGGACGGCCAGTTCTATTAAATTTTATGTCGTAACTTATAAATTGGTTGGTAATTTAAATTAGATACTGTAAATATTTTTAAACTCACAATAAAACTACCTAATACGGTATAAAGTATATTTTGATATTACTAAATTAATAACACACTATATTGAAAATTGAGGTTTTTTGTCAGGTATGCAAGGTGATATTCATAATAGATTATTTATTTTTATCGTGATTTACGAATCAACCGTTTCCATAGTCAATTGTTTTGTATTAATAACATTATTTTGTTTAAACTGAAATTGTTCGTACAAGTTTTAATAATTCGTGTAAGTAAACAATATAATATATTAATCTTGGTTTGTAGATTATGTTCATTCAACATATTAAAGATAACATTTATTTTCTCTTTGCGACGATTGACAGATATAACAGTTTTAACGTTTTCTCAGAATGATCGTTTTATCAGAAATTATATTCCTGCGGATATTTTGACCAAATATTATATGGAATATTATTTGTAATTTAAAGTTGTAACGTAAATCGTTCGGTTACCGATAGTCATCATAAAATTCAATACGACGGTGTGATTAAAAAAAAAAAAATGTCTTTATTTTACAAACAGTATCTGTGGGTCGTATATAATAAATATATGTTTGGCTTGTTAGGCCGATTGTAGTGGTCGAACAATAAAAAAAGCCAATTTATCGGTTAAATAATTTTTTTCATTAGCTGCAAAATTAACGAAAAAAAAAACGGAGCAATAATGTGATCACATGTGGACAATTTTATCCGTACGTGCATGAAGAGGTTAAAAAAACCATTTACGTAAAACTGCAGGAACAATTTTAACTAATCCTGCAATACTAAATCCCACTAAAATCCCTGCGATTATAGATTTTGAGGTTAGTAAAGCTCCTTTGGACTACTTATCACGTGTTGGACCCTCAGAAAGTGAATCGATCAGATCATGTCCAGTGAAATTTCTGGCAACGGTCTTTGTTTGGGAGTAAAACATTTTTGAGCTATGGGTGAAAATTTCCCGTCAATGGGAATCTAACCGAACTATGGCTCAATGTAGCGTAATAACGCTGAGGAAATGCGAAACTACCTTCGGCCTCACTGAACGTAAGCGGAGCGTTATTGGCGGTGATATCATGATAATTGGATATGATAATCGAACCACTACAGGGTTCCGGATTGACCGAATCGACCGATGTTTCGATCGCGGGCTGCATCGAATCGCCATTTATTTCTTCACTGTACTCGGTCATGAAGGAAGTGCTATCTTCGCCGTCGAGTTCTGAAGTAGTCATAGAGTTTATGTTTCTTCTCATTTCAAATAACATCTCCCTTGTCACGAAGTAAGTCTATTGGTTATTGATTTTAACATGCGTTATTATCGAGTGCGCAATTTATAATGTTATTTCATTTTTTTATACAAATGCGTATTTTACCTCCGACAGTTTCGGTGCTACCAACGTCAAGAGGGCGCACAAGCATCGGACTTGTACTTCACAACTGTGTCCATTCACCAGATGGTTTACGAACGACCATACAATTTCTTTGGGATAAACCCCGAAGTTAAACAGTTCGCCTATGAACCTATAAAACGGCAAAACACATAAATAATATCGAATAAAATATAAAATATTCGCGGTGTATATTATATTTCTAAATATTGACAACGTACTGACAATTCGTAACGAATTCATTGGTCCGGCGTTCCGAGCATTGACTCGTCTAAAACATGGTTATTGAGTATTTATAATATTATTTTTATACGGGAATCGAAATTTAATATTAGATTTTGTGTTGGTACCCAGTGGCCGGTGTTGTAAAAAATAATTTTGAAAAATATGTGCGTAAATTATATTAGACAATTATACTGAGACGCGACGCTGTCGTGCACTGTCGACTGGGTACCTACCTATATTACGATTTTGGACGTTATCGTATAATTTGAACGACAATTCAAAAATATTTTAAATTGAAAATTCAGAAAAAGTAATTGAGGTTAAGTATTTAATACTCCAGTGTTGACTAGTGGAAACAACTATTTAAAATGTATTTCAATACTTATAAATAAACAGTATTTTAAAATACGTATTAAATTCTTGGAAAAGAATTTAAATACCAATACACACATATACTTTTACTCAAATGCTTAACAACACTGTCGGTACCTCCGAAATCTTGCAACATTTTTTAAGATCATCGTAACATTTCGGTAGCAATGCAGTTTGGAATGCCGGCGATGATACGGCCTATAAATTGATAAGCTTTCTATCGCGAGAACAAATTTGTAGGTAATACACACCCCCAAGAGCACCCCAAATTGTGCCAATGTCTTTGAGGTAAGTGCGATTTAATATTATTTTATTATTTCTAAAAATGGGCTTATTGTATATAAAAATATAAATTGAAATGATTAGTTTACGAGCGATTTTTTTCCGTTGGTTTTTGTGATCAAAAAAATTCCTCCCTCCCAATTAAAAGTAAAATTACTTGGATTAATTTTTTGATTTTTGCAGCAGTTTTCCCAATAAAAGAAAAATCGTGAGAAAAACGGGGAATTAACGAAAATAATGCTATCATTATTTGTTCAATTTTGTTATTTATTGTAATTCAGTTAAAAATATTTATAGAAACTTGAAATTTGGAAAGAAAACTGATATTTATCTTTTCTAGACATGGTAAGTTTTTCAAAATATTTAGGCCATTTTTGATCTATCTATAGATATTTTAATTTTGTGTTCTATACGTAATTTTTATTCAGTAGGTACTTTGTGGTAAAATTTTTAGACTTAACAGAAATGCGTGACAATTTAACAGGAGGTTAATTAAGTCTTAATTTGTGGTAAAAAAAAAAAATTGAGTTGAATGTATAATTTTTTTTATAAAGGAATTTTAATATAGAATTTTGACAAAAATCGTTTGATTAAAAAATTATGTGGAAAAAATGTATTTTTCAATTTCTTTATTTTTGGACATATGTATATTGCAGATTTACGAACGATTATAAAATCAGAATTGAGCGGACTAAGTTTCGAAATTATAGCTATTTGAAGTTCTGATATTATGCGGATATATGTTATGTTAAATAACTCTATTTTGTCATCTTTACTGTTTGTTTGTCGTAGTCGATGGTCATAACAATAATGTTATGGATACAAACAAGGTAACAATACAAGATAAAACTGTTTTCAATCTGTTCAATGACGTAGAAAGTGAGAATATTTAATATTATTATAATAAATTATAAATAATGTATAGTAAAATTCATATTTTTATGCTTGAAGAGTATGGTGTTGCTGTGGACTTGGAACAAATTGAAAAACAAGATGAATCTGTGTTCAATGACTTAGAAAGTGAGAATATTTCATATCACTGATAAAAATAATGTATTTTAAAATTGACTTGTTTTTTAATGTTTGAAACAAATGGCGATTATATTGTATTCACTAATATAGAAAAAAATAATCTAGATCTTATAGTTTTTTTCAAAAAAGGACTTTTACAGCATTTGCCAAATGATCTAGGTACCGGAAAAATGCTTTCCAAAAATAAGATAGGTCGGTCTTTTCACAAATATCGATATTGGAAAGGTGATGGAAGTGTAACGAAACGAAAATGGTTGACTTACTTTATACAAATTGATAATGTATTTTGCCATTATTGTGTTTTATTTAAAAAAAAACAATCTAACAGTCATTGGACAAGACATGGTTTTAATTTATAGAAAAATAGGCCTGTCAAAATAATTAAACATTTGAAGATCACATAATATCGTCTATTAAACATAGTTATAAAGAAGCATCATTTTTATTTATTATAGTGTTTATTTTATTGTTGCAGTAAAACAGTATAATTTAAAAGTTAAATTTATTTTGTTGACATTAAATGAATAATAATTAGAATTATGATAATATGAATAACAAAAATAATAAGAGTCATAATAATAATCAATAAAGTTAGATGACCAAGTTTAAAATACTATTATTTTAAGCAGCGTTTTGCAAGCAGTTTGATTAACGTTTTCTATACCTATTAATGTTTTCATTTCAATGAATACCTGTTTTAAAGTAATTTTGGTCTAAAAATTTTATCCATAGAGTACCTACCAAATAAAAATTGTATAACAACTTGAAATATCCAGTTAAACTTTCACTGATTATCCGAAGCTTAATAATTAATATAAATAATTATACTTATTTTTGCGTGGTTTATTTTAGGCATCCCATTAAGAAATTAAGTAAAAGGAATACGCAAAAGAATTAATGTTTTTAAAAATCTAATTAAACAATACAAAGTACTACTCACTATCTCACTCTGAGATAGTGAGATGTACACGCGTATACATTGTAATAAAGTTGAATTACTGAAGGAACAAATAACAAAAATGAAAGAAACGTATGCCAAATCCTTGAGATTGAAAGATAATGCGCGGAGGAGGGCAATTTAAAAGTGAAGCTCTGTTTTTGTAACTCTCATGTTATATGAAATTAGCGTATACAAGTAGTGAAGAATGAAAATTTGAAACTGTAAAGAAAGACAAGGGAAATATGTATGCGACTGTTAACAAATTGAAAACCATAACAAAGTCATTGAAGGAAAAATTCCCATAGCAAGACAGCTGTGAATATTTAAATAAAAAACCATTATAAGAATGTTAATTAGCTTAATTAGTTTTTATCGAATATCTTATAAGATGATTATGTTTTTTTTTAATGATACATTTTTATATTTCGGAATTTGTATGTAAAAACCAATAAACGGAAATGTCCGTTTTCGACGATTAATAAATTTGTCAGTTTGCCAAAAAAAAATTACACATTTATATACATAATAAATGTTTGAATTATAATAAAATTTATATCATAATAGTATACACACACACACAAATTATTGGTGTTCGTGTTTAATTTGTTTTCTTCCGGAACCGTTTATACATTTTTAACCCTATAAATCATTTTTTCTCTCCGATTTCTTTCGTCCATTCGCTTATACAACCGATCGTTTTTATTATTATTCGTGTTTCGTACGACATGCATAAATCATGTACCCAGGACCGGGTAATGCGCGCACACCCTGCATCAGTTAGTTGGTCTTATATTATGACTACCCTCTCGCCACTCTCTCTCGGCCAACCGCGTTTTGACATTCCATTGTAAATCGGCAAGCATGCGAGGTCAAGTTTGCGCAAGCCTTCGGGTGGTTCTTCACGTAAATATCACTATTTTTTTCTGATTATGTATTTTGCCATCAATTTATAAGAACAGGATAAATATACGTTTTGGGCACTAATTAATGACAAGTTAAAATATTGGGTAATCGTGAAAACGAACGTTCCATGGGTGAGATATCGTGATATTTTGAACTGTAATGTCAACGGCTCTCTAGGAGTCAGATTTCGCGCCAACTATTTATCATAGAAATGTTCTTTGCGAAAAACAATAAATAATCGAATATTATAATAAACAAAGTACCTACACAAAAAAAAAATAAGATACGGACGTACTTTTCACGATAGGTGGGGCACTGATGTAGATGAGAAGTTTGGTAGGTAGAGAAGAAATTTAATGTATATTTGAACACAACGAATGACCGTTGCTATCGAAAAAAGATTCTAAGGGAATTTCAGTTGAAAGTGATGCTTTGTCAACAATATAATATAATATATCATATTAAAATAATAAAATATGCATTACATATTGTCTTTCATAATATTTGTTTAATATTGTACCTATTTTCCCGTTCTCCTGTTTTTTCTGATTTTTCCAATATATTGAGAGAATTCCTGAGAAAATCAAAAAATGACATCCTTAAAGTATCTTCCTAGTCAGATTTTTTTTCAGAAAAAATGCTATCATTTTAAAATTGAGAAAAAGTAATTGTAGAAAAGTTATTCATAGGAAAAAAAAAAGGCCGAAATATTTTTCAACTAATACCTACATTTTGTACATTTTCCTCTGTGTTTTCTTGGTTTTCCTATTTGTTGAGAAAACTCCTGGAAAAATCAAAAAATGACCTCTTTAAAGTACCAGACAGTAAAATTTTCTTTCAGTAAAAATGCTACACTTGTTACTTTGTACACAGTATTTTATTATAAAAAATAAAAAATAATAAAAATATAAACATCATTGTAAAACCAATACATTCCTCACTCCGCTTGGAATCTAAAATGTATAACAAATTGAATACGGTCTAACTGTCTCGATTTTTGAGGAAAATTTGATAAAAAAAAAAAAAAAAAAAAATTACAATGTAAATAACCTACACAATTGTTTAATAGGTTCATGTAAAAAGGGATCTGTGTAGACACATATTATACCAATAAGCATGCAGTCCTCTTGGCAAGGCAAGCAACGATATTTAGCGGCGAAGTTAGTCTTAAATTCAACTCTGGAGAACATATTTTACCAGCCCATTAGCTCATCAACTGATAGTTTCGGAGCTAACCTAACCTTCAAGCTTATGTCTCTACAGACATAAGCTTGAAAAAATTATTCTTTGATCTATCAAATAACTTGAAAATCAACAAATACATAATTTTTTTTAATATTTTCATTTAATATATATATATACATACACATGTCATAAAGTAACTTATAAGAGTAATTTAGAAAATAATTTGGATTTTTCACCAACTTCATTAATAATCATATCATTATCTAAACTATAGAGAATCTGTTTTTCAATTTCCATCAACATGACTCTTAAATGTTTGGTTGTCATTGAATTTCTCAAACGGTTTTTTTTACATATTTTAAAGTAGAAAATGATCTTTCACAGATCACTTAAGTTACTGGCAAAGTTAGTAAATACTGATAAACAATGGCTAATGTAGGATAAACATTAGAGTAAAGATTATATACTTAATCATTGCATTATAACAACAAATGCTACAGTTTTTGCATGTCTTACATAGTTTTGATATGTCTTTATTCTCATCTTCATTTTCTGTGTGGCTATTTAAGTACAGTTCTTCAATATATTCAAAATCTACAGATTTCTTTAAATTTATTCAAGATTTTGAAAAACTTAAAATTTCTTCCGACAGTTTATATTTTATTTCATTTTCATTGTCTTCATCAAAATTTAATTTCTCCACTGAAATCATAGGGAAGAATAATAGAACATTAATCCATCACTGTTATGTCTTGGTATCAATTAAGACCGAAAACATACCAGCTGTTGAGGTTTTCTCAGATATTATTTGTTTTATTATTAACGAAATTGTTGAGGTGGAATAATCTATGGAATAATGGCTATGAAAAGTCACAAAATTGTCTCTTCCTTTAGATCCTTTTAAATGAATGTTTTCACTTTTATTAATAATTATATTTACATGTTCATTTAACACTACATCATACGTACTCAACAATATAATCATTTCCAAAAAGGTACCATAGTCTAATACAGGATCTCTTAGAAAATATTCTGCCTCATTACGTTTTCTCCCAACACTTTGATTGAAAAAGTATTTGAGACTGGTTGGTTTTGGTTTTAAAAAATATGGAATGTTGTGGTTTTCAGTTTGATCTATTTAAAAATATTTATTTAAACATTAGTAGTATAGTATTTGCATAGTTTTTATTATTTATAAAATTGTTTATAAACAAGCTAGGTTTTTGATAATTTGGTGATTTCATATAAGAGATAATACATTTTTCACATTTGTATATTAATTATAAATTACATTATAAATGTTATATTGTTTTTCTACTCTAATATATCAAAAATGTCTTTTCTGTTAAAGGATATGTGTTATTTATCAATTATTATTACACTAGACATCTAGACAGTTCTTATTTTAAAATATTAAAATAATAATTTACCTTCGAGTACTGTATATGAACTAGTAGGCAAGTCAGTATCAGTTTTAACACACTTTTCATTTGATTCTACTATATAATCGCCTGAAGCTTGATCTATTTTAAATTAAACACGACTGATATGAACACAGGACAATTTTTGTTTTAAAATAATAATTTACCATCAAGTGTCGTGTTTGAAAGCATCTGTAATTCTGTATTATTTTTCTCATATTTGTCATGTGATTTTGCTGTAAGTTTTTTGATTTGCCCTATTTTAAATAAAAATAATAATAATTAACATAATAATTTCTACTGATTTTCGACGATTTCATATTTTAAAGAGAATTTTCCGTAAATTTGTATGGTAAAAAATATTAACTACTTACCGGCTGAATAAATAATGAAATAATATTTGTGCAATTTTGAGATGACTAGAGAAGAATTATTTTTTTTTTATCACGTTCTTTTTCTACTCCTCCTTTTCTTTTTTTCAATGTATGTGAATTGTTCATTATAAGAAAATTAAAATTTGTAGAGAAAAAACAAAAGAAGTAACAATGAAAAACACTCTCGAAAACAGCAGTTATAATTGTTTAAGAATAATTGTGATAGTCCTATGTTATCATGTAATCGTTTATCGAGTCAACTGACGTACATAGTATTTAGTTACGACTTGGGCATATACGATTCAATTCTATAATTAGAACTCGAAACTGACGCGATAGATAAGAACTTGCGGGAATCGAACACTCGCCAGTATCCATTCGTGCAGTCGTGTGTACGAGAAATTGGAGTGTGGAAATACCACAATAGTTAATAATTATCGACATTTTATAAACCGTAATATCTAATGTTCTGATGTTAATTTATTAGTATGATTCATAAATCACTGAAATTATAACAATACTTATTTGTAATAAGTGTCGATCAATGTTATTTGATATTTTGAACAACAGTGAGCACTGATTGCACTAATATTGTTATTAAATGAAATGTTAAAACAATTTTTTTTTTTCAAATTGTTATCCGGCCCATCTTGAAAACTCCAGATTTCCGAATTTCAATTTCGTTCGCATAGTTATCCTGTGCATTTGCTTGAAAACCGTCGAAAATTGAACAAGACCGAAAAGGATCGTCGCGGAATTTTTTTAGAGTGCGCCCGGGCCCTTTGAATTTTGACCGCAACGACTTGAACGCGTTTTACGACAACGGTCGGTCGGGGTCGTAAAGACATCGGAAATGTACCGCGCACCTCGTCGCCGTATACTAATGGCCGGCTAATGAAGGTCATGGCGTGGCGCACGGCACGCGGATGCAGGTGGCCGGTCACCTCGCCGTCGTGCCTACCGTAGGGCGGCCACCGCGGCGCACGGTTACCGCCAACGCGCACGCTTCCCTTACCGTGGTAGCGGTAGCGGCGTGCGGCTTCGGAGCTTTTTTCTTTTTTTCTCCGTGAGGCGTTCAGTCGTGTCACCGCCGTCGCACAACGCGGAACGTTCGCGCGTACCGTTCCACCCTCCGAACCGAGTTGTCCGCCGCCGCCGCCGCCGCCGCCGCCGTCGTCGTCGTCCGCCTGTTCGCCGCGTGCGCGTTTCCGCTACCGGCTTTTTTCTTCTTTTCCCGCCGCCGGCCAGGCCCCGACCCGACCTAACCTAACACTGCAGATTCCCGGTGTTGATTCGCCGGCTTGTCCGGGACTCGTCACCGACGGCTGATCGGCCGAAGACCGAAAACCGTGAGTAATCGCAATAATATCGTTAATCGTATAAATTGTAATATATCTGGCACATTACGATGCCTACGACGTTATATTGTGTAGCTCCACGTGTTTACATATCGTCTCTTGATCGTCCGGACCCTTCTTCGCGCCGGGGCTGCCCGGTGAAGTGTCGTAGCAGCGTATTCGTTTTTCCGGGGCCGGCATTCACAATATCGTTTACCGGAGAATTTTTTTTTTTTTTTGTTCGCTGGTCTCGAACAAGTTTTCGACCAAACGTCTTGCTCGGCAAACAAAAACGTTTATTGCGGATTGATTTCCTGTTATGCTATTATTTTTGGCGCGTTGGGGAGTTCGGTTTTTCGAAAACCCTTGTATTTTTTTAAATAAAAGCGACGAAACTCGTCGGGAAAAAAATTAAAATTACGCAATGAACGCCGGTTTTTGTCGTCGCGGATTTTTTCCCCCCCTTTTTCGTCATAATCCGGTGAGATATAATCGCAGGGAATTCTTTTTTTCTCGGGGTGCAGTCAATTGGTCGTTTTATCAAATGGTCGATTGGATAATTGTTCTTTTTAAAGAATATATTATATATATATATATATATTATGCAAAAATAATCATTTGTCGTCATTTTTTTTTAAAAATTATAAATAATACACGTGTTAAAAGTTATTATTAAATTGTAAAAAAAATAATCCGTGTGAAAGTAATTATAAGTTATGAGCAATCTCTGGTATATATTCATCAAATGGTCTGCTATTAAATGTTTCGCATACTTTATTTATTATCTCGGCCGTGTTATCATACTTCTTCTGTCGTCTAGGGTTTTCTGCTCCCGTGCAATATTGAACCGTTTTCAGACGGTTTAGATTTTCTTCTTTTTGTAGGGTTCTTATAAATTTCCAAATATCTGGGCCGAATAGTATTTAATATAGACGGAAATTCATTGTGTCATCCCTCTATCGAATTATTGGTTTCTGGAAGGTTATATTCATCAGCATAGCGATTCCAAATTGTAGTTGAATATTTTTGGATTTTTCCTCATCCCGTTTATATTCATTTTACCAATCCACGTTTCTTCAAAATAGTCAAATAATCGCAATAAATCAGATTCCAGTAGTCGGTAAAAAAGTAGTGTCTACTAAATGTTCAAAATACCTAACAATAGAATCAACCAGAACATATTATGCTATTATTTTTACTTTCAAAACGATATAAATAACCATCATGCACGAGCATGTCTCTTTCTCATTCACTTTTTTTGAATTCTAGAGGCATATTAATTATTTTTTTTGAATTTTTGTTCTAACTACACAATATACCACTAGACTGCACAGTGCATCGTAGTCAACTGAAGTGTGTGCACAGAGTATACAGGAAACATATTTGGATTTCTGATAAACGACATAATCCGACAATATTTATTTTATGCTAATAACGTTTTTAAACCAGTATTCACGTCTCGTGACGAAAATATACTGTGACCAATTTTCCAAACGACCAATCTCACCACGACTAATATCATACGATCAATTGAAATAAGCTCTTTTTTCTCAGCTGATCGACCTGCAATCGAAAAGTTTGTTTTCAATCCTAGGTCCACCGGCCACCGCCATTGGATAGGCCATGACCGAACTGCCGAGTGCTGATCTACAGACATGCTTATGAAATAACCGCCTAAGTAACCTAATATGCAATATGTATATAAATGCCTTTGTTAATCGATATGTAAAAATGTACACACACATTATTTAAAATTTATATTAATATAATAATTTGATAGATGATATTTTCGTGGTATAACGATTTTAGATTTTTCAGGATTTTAAACAAATTTGATTTATGATTTTTCAAATTAGTGTAATTGAATTGTTTAAACTTTATTTCATCATTATCTTTTGTGTGCCTTAAAAGCGTTAAGCTTATTAACTATTGATTTTTTAGAATTAGGAAAGTTTTATAAATTCCATGTCAATTTTAAATTGTTACAAGTTATTATAGCTTACAAATGGACGATTTTGCACATTACAATTTTTAGAAAAATATCTGTTTTACGTTGTAACGTCCAAAAATGACCATTTTCCGTTATCAAAGGACAAGCATACCCACAATCAATATGGTCGACTGGTTAATAGATTACACCCGCGTCGACGGATAACATATCCGACGACGTGAACAATCATTCCCCCCTCCGCGCAAAGGTTTATGCGATCGCAATCTTTTGCAATTCACAATAATATTATATTTATGACTATGGGTTAACGGCCAATCAGATCACGTTTCCCCTTATCGCCAAAAACGTCGGCCCGCGGTGACGTGTGCCATGAACGTCTTCGCGCTCCGCTACCGAGTTTTCTGTTTTTTGTTCGTTCCTTTCCTTCTTCGTGTCTACACCTCGTCTCTAGACTTTGTCACCAGATGGTCTTTCGATACAGTTCTCTTAATAAAACACTCCCGTGTATTGCGCGGATATGAATCCGCATATATATATATATATGCGCATATATTTTGCCATCAAGAAAAGGTCGTGTACCTTTGCACGTTCATGATGGTGCCTCAAACGAACCGATGAAGTGAGTCCCGATATGGTACGCTGGGCGGACATCTTCGGGCGGAACGAATGGTAATATATATGTGATTTAATAATTGGCCGATTCCCGTTAGTTAGTTTTTAAGGTAGTTCAGTTAAGGTCCCTTGTATAAATATTTTTATTTAAAATGTTTCTTTTTCTCGTGTGTTAAATTCTTCTGATATACTTATGGAGTATAATCCTATATATATATATATATTAATGTCAGAATCTTATTTATTATTCATTTTTTTTCTCAGGTGACAGTTTTCATGCCCCTGTGCTTTTCTGTTGCATTAACTTAATTTTACTTTTTAACTGATAAATTAATAAAATAATTCTATATTTTCCCCAAAAGAAAACACGTGTTTTTTTTATTTAGATTCTCCTTTTTCCCTTCCCTCATCACAAAAATCCTAGGACTCCGGTCTTCGGACCTCTGTCCTAGGTTGGCGACCTTGCTCCTAGGCGGGTGGTCAGCTAGGCGCTCGGGTCGGTTCTCTCAAACAAGGCCGACCTAACCGGGACGTCTCAACGTATCTGAAGCTTTTAAAAAGGGTGGCGGGATTTGTTATTTTAAAATGAAAATTCGACGTGTTTACGGTGTGTTTGTAATGTGTGGAATAAGAATACGGTTTTAAATATATACTATTTATATATATATATATATATATATATATATCACGACCATTAAACTATTCTACGTAACGAATGGAAAAAAATTACATTTTACTCGAAATGTTCGTAAATGTATTTCTAATATAATCGTTCGTGAGAAAAAAATCACTCTGTATATTATGCCATTTATATCGTCTTGTGTTGGATGACCATTTCTATGGGTGATTAAATTAGATTAATACTTATCCTAGTGCTCAGTGTGGTGTAGACGTAGGTAGGTTGAGTGCAAAGGGATAAAATTATATTGCACTGCCAAAACCAATATAACAATAATAATAATTATGATATGAGTTCGAGCAGGCGGAATCCACGAGAAAAGGCTACGTGACAATTGGGCTTTCTGCTGTTTTTGGTCTTTTGGGAAATTAATAAATTGTTGTGCCATAAAGTTCTTTTCGACGGTCACCCCCCCACGATGTAAATAAAACAGTAGGTAATGTCACGCTACGGAAAATTAGAAAGCGTGTGTCCTAACTGATTAGGTACTTTATCTCAATATATTGTTTCCAAAAAATAAAAATAAAATAATTTTTACACCGATATGTGGCCCAATCAGGTTCGGGTCTTAGGAAACCCGCGATCGTTATAATATTTTTATGATTTCGCAGGGTTGCCATTCATTTGACTTTAAAAATCTCGGATGTAGTACTCCTGCCAACTATCAAAATCGTTCTTTTTGGGACGCCATTTATTTTTTTCATCTTAATGATAAGACTTTTCTACTTAACTACTGTCCAATACTTACTCATTTAAGAAGATAGTGTAAGGTTTTTTTCACGGACGAATATGGCGTTTTAGATCAGTGTTTCCTCATCTTTTTGACACTATGGACCACTAGGTTTTAACTTTTAACCTCCAGTCCTAACATTTGTTTGTATATTACCAACAATTTCGAGACTATATTTACTTGCTTTGATGAAACTTTTTTTTTGTTTCGTTCCTTATCGTTACCGGAAGGAAATATGATAATTTGTATACCTACATAAAAGAGGAAAGAGTTAGAAGACCGTGATATAAGGGGGTAGGGTAGCGGATAGACGTGGTAAATATAAGTGTCTAGTGAACACAAATAATGAATAAATATAAATACACTCAAACAAAATAAAATGTTTCATTCAAATGGTAACATGAATTATCAAAAAGTATAATAAAAATAATATTTTTATATACAATACGTAATGGTCTTTCGTATTTAAAATGTATTGCTTCTTCTTTTTTTAAACATCATTTTATAACTTGTCATATTATCTGCAACTTGACTGATGCCGATTTCGAATTTGAAATTTTTTTATTGTGTATTGACGTTTTTGACATCCTTTCATT